TTTTCAGTGATTAAAGATGGAATTTTTCTCTAGAGGCTATCACTTTTATTTATTTCAAAATTTTGTAGGAATTATATGAAATCTGACATTTCGTCCAAAATTTTGCTATATTGTTTTTATTCGTGAGAATACGGTTTTTAGTAAATTCGGAAATTTTTTTGACGGTACCGGTACCTTTTGCGGTCTTACTATTGCAGTAATGCAAGTTTTGTAGCCCATCATATTTGATTACTTTGATAACAGCAAGTGAATATGGATTGAATCGGATCAATATGCCAAAGAAGAACCGTTTCACGATCGAATTTTTGGCCTACAGGTACGGTACTGGTAATTTACCTTACCGCAGTTTGTGTTGATGAGAGAAAATGAATTGAGTTTTTATATGCGAAGGAAGAATCGTTCCGCCATCGAATACCAGGCCTATAGACCTTTCCCCGACATCAAAACATCCGTATTCTCAACCAATCACAAGCGAGCAGATGTAAACAAACATTCTCCACTGAAAAGTCGCTCAGACAACTTTGGACGCGTTCCGCACAGGTTGCTGGCGGTTTAGGCAGATCTTTGTCCCTTTTTTTCGCTTTTTGTTTTCTTCACAGGGCTGCGAGAATTAGAAAGCTGTAATACTGTATGTTACTTGTTGCAAATCACGTTCACGAAATCTATACATCTATACTAAAAGGATGTACCCGTTGCAGGCACCTTACAATTAAGGTACCGTACAGGTCAACCAACTGCTATTTCGAACCAAAAAATAGTAGACAGTCATACCGGTACCGGTGCAAGGGTACCGATAGCCTACCGTATGTCAGTACGGAAGAATTCGCCTTCGATACGATGTTGCATTTTTATTAAACAGAATCTATTAGTGAATTATTTTGGTAGACTAACTATGTTTAAACGCTGCGCATATGGTATTTGCCGGCCTGACAACCTGTACGGTACTCCTGCCGTTCAAATGGAGTAAGATTTGTGCCTTGTCCGAAGCCACATATTGACCGCCAAAAAGCAATGAGGTGGATAAAGGAATGCAACAGGCCTCACAGTCGATTAAACCTAGGGAAAATCACCAGAAATACCTACGTGTGTACCAAGGTAGGCCAACATAAATATTGTGTTCAATACCGATGATATATTTAATATGTTAATTTTTATATAAATTTTCATACAAGCAATGCGTTCCATCATGCATTTCCATGGAGGCGATGGACCAACTGATGAATACCCGCACCCTATATCAGATTCTTGTCGCCCAAAGCAGCACCATCAAATAGTGAGGTAAGGATTACTTATACCATAATTTAACTTTGAATCATAATTTAACAGGATCTGTCACCAGATACTTCACTTGATACTGAGACATGCGAATTTGACAAAAGTGAGAAAGGATTGTCAGGGATCTAACCAGATCTGCCCCCAGACTCTTTAGTTGAAACTACCTCAAGTGCCGCTAATGAAAATGACAGCGCTTTGTCAGACAGCAGAAAAATGTAAGCAAGCATCAGCATCATTTTATTTTGGTTCTCTGGCATAAAACAACACAAAAAGTCAACATAAGTATAAGTTTATTTCGACTCCATAATCAGCATAACAATACATTTGACAGATAAAAATAAATAAAAACCGATTATGAAATCAGGGGAGCAAACGAAACCTTAGATAAGGTTTATAACGTACAAAATATAAGATGGAAGGTTTTGCCAAGAGGAAGTGGTACGTGTTTACTCACCTAAAATTATTAAATTATTTCACACACGCTCACGTGCACCCACCAGCCACACACCTTCGAGAGACTTCTAATATCTCCCCGTCTGCTACAGTTGTCCTGTGAATAAATAATGGGAAATTGAGGTTAGACGAATAGTTGAAGGTTTTTCTTTATGTCGGCTTAATTTTTTAATTGATATACTTACTATTTTTGCTATTGCCTCTTGTGCTGCAGGAATCTCACAATGTTTAGACAGGTTTGTCCACAACATTCACATCTGAAGAAAGAGAGGAGATTTATTAATTTTTGTCAAGAATATTTAAAGCAGTCTATATGATTTAGAATGGAAAAGTTAATAAATCCAATGTCTCATGTTAAATGTAAAAAATATCTTACTGAATTTGGTACATAAACCAACTAACGAAGGGGTTTAGTCCGAAAATTACAGTCATTCGTGGCTTCATATACTTGAGAGATCATACTATACAATATAGACCGGTATGAGTGAAATGTTAGGTGAACTTGTTAACCCTTTGAATCAATACGCAAATAAAAGTGACTGAGCAATGGTATGTTACAGCAATGCGTATATATCCTCATTGGTTAGAAAAATCTGAATGGAGGTGCATGAACCATTTGAAACCATAAGGGGTAAGTAAATATGCAATATCGGCAAATGGGCAACTGCGTACCGTACTGAATTAATAACTTCGTAGTATTTGAAAAAGCTGGCTTTCCCATGTACTTAACAGTGCGATGTCCGCTTGTGATATGCAACAATAGTATTTAACTTACCTTTTTCCGATTTCTTTTTAACTCAACTTTCCAAAATATCATTAAAATCGACAACAACTGTCAAAACAGGCACGAACACCATTGGTGCTATGCCTTGAAAGCAGCACACATCCGCTCGTTTTCGTCTCGTTGCGCATCATGTTGTTTAACGTCATTGGTCTGAGCGAACAAAATCAAAACAATAAAGGTCAAAGGTCGGGGTAAGGTCCATAGGCTATGGACCTTTCTCCGACCTTTGACCCCCGAAAAATTATTCCTATACTTTACCATTGCAAAATTTTCGGGGCCATTTTAAGAGTGCTTTTGCGAGTTGGCGCCTTTAAAATGGGGTATGTGTTCCAAACCATCATTATGATTTATCGAATACAACAATCTGTTTTTTGAGAGTACCGGTAAAGAATTTCAGGCTAGTCTATCACAGCTATTTCTACACTAATTTTTATTACTGCAATCAAATTAAAACTCCTAGGAAGAAAGAGTGATCATTGAATTATCTGTTTCATATTTAAGTTTCCGAAACACAACTGAAAACTAACTAATAAAGTTCCAAAACGCGAAAACGAGGTAATGTTTACAACCACACTTGAAAATCTGTCTGAGTGAGAAAAGTGTCTGAGCGGATGCAAAAAGGGGGCATTGTTACGTCATTTTTTGCATCTTGCTGATTGGCCAATGTCACGAAGTAAACAAGGAAAACGATGCTCGGGGTAAGGTTCATAGGTAATGGTAAGTTATCGTACCGTACATGATTATTGGAGAATTTATATTGTATATTGCCCGGGTAATAGAGAAGTTACTCGGATCACTTGATATTTCAATTCACGTTAAAATTAATTGGAAAAGACTAGATCATTGCCACAGGATATGGAAAAGCTATGGCAGTCCCTGTACCGTTATTTGTATCCTGATCTGACTGTTGGATTTGTATCGCGTATTATCAACATAAGCAACGCCCTTCCACCGGAATTAAAGAAGTTTATGAATAAAAGATTGGATTTAAAGTTAAATGGTGGACGATCTGTTACGGGTGTTTTGCAAGGTTTGGATCCTTTCATGAATCTAGTTGTGGATGATGGAACAGAGCGCAAAAAAGACGGGACCACTGCACCTGTTGGAATGTTGGTCGTTCGTGGAAATTCGATAATAATGTTGGAAGCATTGAAACAGATACAATGATTTTAAATCGAACTAATCCAAAACGAACTCGATACGCCAAACATTCAATCTATTTACGAAGCTTGTTTTTTTAGTAACAATCTTTTGTCGCTGTGTTATTTTTGCAATGAAATTGAACTACAACGTCACCATTTTGCGACAACGAGTGTTTTTTATTCCGTATTTTAGTAGAAAAAAGCACTGTTGTGATACACATACCATAGCCATGCATTCCATCCTATCAAAGTGTATTTATTAATTGGGACCCACCGAGTGTTTATGTTATAGAAGTTTGACGCCCGATCGATACCCGTTCGTGTCTTTTTCATTTGAATATATGTTTGTGTGTTGAATGTGGGTAAACTGGCGCATGTATATTTACATGTGTTAAACCTTTATAAAGGTTTTGCCACTTTCCCTGATTTTCCCAATCTTTTGTGTTTTGTGTATGGTTCTTTAGCGGGAAAATCTAATTATACTTATACTTATCTAGGTGCTGAAAATTAACGCACATGACTTCGAGACGTCTTTGTTATTGAAAATGGTTGACTGCTGTACCTGATATGTTAATACAGAAGTTACTCGGATTACGTAATGATGTTGAAACTCAATTATGAGGAACTGATCATTGTCACAGAACCTAAAAAAGCTATGACAGTTCCTGTATCGTCACGGTACACCGATACAAGTACTGGTAAGTTACCGCATATGATTTTTATAGAATTGCGGGTGCTCCTGAAGTATGCGCACCAGGATGTCGCATAACCTGAACCCTAACCTGGTACACAACCTGAGTTCAACTTTTCGCTTTCCTGCGCCTTTTTCCCGTACGTTTATTGCGCGTGAACTCCAAATTTTTTTCAAATATCCAACACTTGAAGGCCAATAGAGATTTATGAAGTATTAAAAACAAACGGCCATGTCGTTAACTTGAATAAAAAATACGTTTCCGTAATTTTTTTGTAATTGTCGAATTGCGTCTCTCCTTGTTGTTCTCTAGACGTATGCCTAACAGAACCTTTGTTTGAGTGCCATCAAGCTCATAATATGCTTCGATTGCGGGATTTTTGTGTGATAGTGCGTCGCGAAGATACAAATACAAGAAGGGTTTTGCATTTACCTTAGCTTTGCAGGCTTAGATTTACTCTTACATTTCATTATAAGGTATATGAGATTCGCTAGCAAATCTTCCCGCGGACTAGACATCGCTGCTCCATAGTTTATGATAGGAATGAGATTATCAAAAAAACTTAGGAAATTGGGATTTATTTAATTTAGTAGGATATTGAAATTTCTAAAGAATAAAGAAAAATTCAAATCATAACCACGGTAGGATATAAAGAAGTTGCAAAATTTTTTATTTTGCCTTTGAAAATTCGTATCACTGCGTGAAGACTACACCACTCAATTTTTTTTCTATCGTCTAACTCTAATGTATAATACTGTTCTAGTTGTCTTGTGATTCGATCAAGAACGATACATATGGTCGAGCATTACGCGGAATAGGAGGAAATGAAATATATCATTTCAAATATGACCTGGCAACAGGGAAAAGCTAAGTTTACCAGTATGCTGGCGTCGTGAACGAGAAAACCAGTCCTAGAGGATGGATTCTATGAAAAAGAAAATTCAGAATGTTTCTCAATGAGTGCTCAAAAATTTATTGTTTATTGATTTGGTGACTTTGGCTGAAGGCATGCGTGAACTTGAATAAGTAAAACCAAATCTTTGTTTTGAGAGAACTTGTTACTATTAAGATTTGTTAGAATATATTATGTATCGCCTGCGATTTACCTTGTACCAAATTCTGCACAACATTTCCATTTTCTGCTCAACTACTTGCCTAACTTCTTTAATTCATAGCAGATACGATACCCCCAATCATATGGATCCTCACTTGCCAATCAAATTTTTCACACCGTGTAATATAGCGAATCGTCACTGTTTTGAGGTAACAATGTTTTGCCGAATAAGACCATTCGGTTGTTGGTCATAGAGCCTAGCAGAGAATTAATTATTAAAAGTAGAGGTAGATGTATATGCTATCAAGTGAAGATACAGGATCCACGAGAGATCCGTGGTTCAAGTTTGCATGAAAAAAAGCAATAACGTGCAAAATAATATCATCTGAATAAAAATATCTATGGCAAAATCAGTTGCCTAACAATAAACGTTGCTGTTCATGCACTAGCTTTCATGTTTGCGTTTTGAATCCATTATAGATAACACCAGCAGTGATTTTACAATTTGCTTTCTTCTATGTCTGTTCGTCCATTCACCGCGGTCGACATGGTAGAATGAGAACTTGGCAAGTTCACAATTCCATGGAATTTTTCGCTTAGTTTTTTATATAAAGCATCTGGCAGGTCTGAATACAGAACTGGATTCAGTGCACTGTTAATCGGTAGAAGCACTATTGCTGCCACGACATATGCAGTATTTGAAACATTTGCTCCTCCTAGTTTACAGAAGGCCAGGATACAGATTGGTATCCAACAACAGAAGTCAGTTATGATGAGTCGGAGAATTTTTCGTTGCAAGGCTAAAAAATAGTAAAAAAATCAATAGGAAGGTTTGATATGAACAACCAAATGAAAAGAAACCTGAAAGCATACATCTATTTCCATCGTCTTTCTCCGCACGTGATGCAGTTCTTCTGAACTTTGACCCTTCTCTTGATTTGATATAAATTGCAACGTAAGATGATGCAACGAAGACGAACGCACAAAAGTTGAAAAGGTTAACAAAGAAAGAAAAAGGCCAAGCTCGATCATCTCTGGTTACGAAAAATTTTGGAATGCAAACGCTGTCGACACTATAATATCTAGAAAAGTGACAGGATAAAATACAAAATTATTTGGTATCCTAATTATTCGATGTCCTAAATCATATATTTGGTACAATAAACGCCAGGAAGTGATTGCCAAATGGAGCAAAAGCAATTGATATGGTCCATCGAATTGTTGGCAAACAAAATTTGTGAAAACTGGTTGCAAAGAGGTCGGATATTAGAAATTATTTCTTAATAACATGGGTAATTCTTTCCAGGCAAACATACCTATGCTCGGGCTAAAAACGTTGGAAATCGTAAAAAACAACTTGTGCAGGCATTGGGTCTGTGGTTGTAGGGAGCTTTTCTAATGGGTATAGGTAATTCGTGCCAAAGCTCTCGGCTTCAAGACCCACGCTGTAGCAAATTTGATAGGCTATGTCGGATCAGGAAAAGTCTGATCATTTCAAATTTTAGTAGCTCACTACTTCTAAGTTGTCAGTACAATTGAGGCAATCGTATAAAAGAGAAAAGAAATATTCACGTCAACAGATTTGATCCGGGGAAAATCTGAAGTTTAAAATACACATGAAACTTAATTATTTACATACGCTCCTACAGATATAAACATGTAAATATGTCACAAGTTCTCTAAATAAACCTGAAATATCACATAATAATAATATATATGATTACGATGAGTAAGAGGAACGCTTCCATATAAATAAAGTAGGTGGAACATCGAAAGTGAAATAAAAAAGGAGAAACTAACTATTTGATTTCTTTTTCACTTGAATGTCACGTTCGTAAAAGCCGATTTTTGCGTTGGTTGATGAGGTACAGATTACATACGGGAATGAGAAATCAACAACGTATTTACCCAAACTTCTTTTGAATCTTGAAATGTTCATGAAGAAAATATTTGGTTGATTCCGATTCAATGTCTTGCCATGACTGGAAATTGTTCATTGAAAATTTATCTGTCATAAAAAAAAAGATTTTCATGAAAATGCTGTTTTATTGATACACAAAAGCTACTAAATTCAAATACAAGCTCTCTCGAAAAAAGTGTAAATCGGCATTCTAATGATAGTTGAATAAAATTGGCAAGTTTAAATCCACACATATAATTTTTATTCAAGATTTTTAAATTAAAAATTGGAGGTACTACCAACCATTGCAGAGATGGACGATGCTTTCAATATCTGATACCGAAATTCACAAAAAAGGAATTTGTTATATCAAAATTGTTATACAAGTCCGCAAGAAAACGTAATACCAGACGAGATTTGATCAGGGCACAATATACAGTGTATATTTTACACAACTTCGTACTAAATTGTGAGAAGAAATGTCATGTGAATGAATTGCTTATCATATGAGATCGCCCATGTATGACATTAAATATTTGTCTCTTGAAGAAAAAAATACCGTATAGATTAGTATACTTCAAAACCTCATTTTCATGTTAACCTGTGACATTATTAACTTCAAATACCAAAGGTAAGCTTGTTCTCTCGGCGGATAAACAAGGCAACTTACCTGGAAACGTCATGTTGGGCTTGAGATCATATGTCAACAGCCTTGTAAAAAGTGATTTAGTCTCATCCAATGTGACTGTTGCGTTTGAAGAGTATGGAGAATATTCAAATTCTGCATGACTGACAAACATTCCAGACAAATGTGGAGAAAGCGGTAGTATGGCGATTAAAAATGATATCGTCCAAGCTATCATGATCATCAAAGACACTGTTTTCTTTTTGGGGTGACGAGATGATTTGAATGGCTAGAAATGAATAAAATGCAGTAATTAGTCAACGTAGAACATCCTTAAATCTGATTTCGGATAACATTGGATTTCTCCGAGTCGAATTCATATCTGAATAAATCATAAGAAGATTATAATGCTCACTTGAAAAATTGCGTAAAGCCGACAGCTAGTCAGCAGAACCATTGTTATAACCGAGGTTTCACTTGAAATAACCGATAAAATTCCCAATGTCGTGCATGCTGCACTCGATCTCCAAATTAAGTCTCTAGAACAGTATACGCCCTACAAAATAAATATCGATAATATCAGATAATACTTGATGAAACATATCCCATTAAGGTGAAGACTTTATTTGGTTTAGTAATGGGAAAGTGTTTTTATACCTGCATGGCGAGGCCAGCAATCCCAAGCGATAGAAGATATATTCCCATGATGACGTCAGAGAAGGCCAGGTTTAAAATCAGCAATCTATTTGCTATTACGATGGCTGTCAATTTTCTGTTGCTATTCCTCAGTCTTCTTGCTTCATGGAAAATAACAACCTAGACAACGAGAAAAATCAAAATGGAATTGTTTACTAAAATAATACTAAATACTCCAAGAATTCTAATCTTAATTGATTTCGATAATTAGCGAACTGAACTGAAGTATGTACTTGCGACTGTTGCGAGTTCTACAACTTCGCGAGTGCAATTTATTTAGTGATCAATATGTGTTTGGTTGTGGTTAATTTTATGTTCTCCTTTGTTCTCCTAATTATTTTCACATATATATATATATATATAGATAACTGCATACCCCATTTCCACCAAGAGATAACAACCCCATGATCCACACAACAGCCCGTAATATAGGATTTGCAATGAGTTCATATCTTGACGAAAAACCATCAGTTGAAGTTGATTGGTCAATTGTTGGACATTCATCACTCCAATCTGTGCAGTCACCACGACCATCAAATTTCTGAAAATGCATGCACCAAATATGAATAATGCTCTTGAAGAACTTATGTGCTACAGCCGGAATATAAAATAAACTTACAGTGTCCTAACAAATATATAACGGATACTATATCAACTAATTACTGACGCAAATTCTGCAATAATTAATTTAAATTTTCCTGGCATAGTGGAGTCGAGTGCTTCAAGTTCTGTGCCAACGGTAATCCACTGACATCTAAGTAACGTCGCGTTAATCTGAAGCTTTTCATATTATAGATGATATTTACCTGCTTTGCCAGAACAAATAATGGCTTTTTATTTTCACAGTAAAATCGTCCATCAGTACAGTCCATTTCATCTGTTTCGTCATCACAAGCTATCAAAAAATCGCATTTCAATCCAACATCGATGCTAACCTTCGAATATAATATTTTAATAAAATTAGTTGGTCATAAACAACAGACGATGGGTACACAATCCAATGGTGATGGATCTATTAAAATAGTAACAACAATAAAACCTTGTTACAAAAAAATGTTAAGTAAATATAACTGTCCAAGGGGATTAGTCAAACATTAGTTCTTAAGTTAACAATATCAGGTTTTCATTGCTCCATAATTCCTTTTGAATAGGAAGCTGTGGCGCTGTAGGTGTTTATGGCGGTAACAACATAGTAGCGGAACTTTAGTCATGCATGAAATGATTCGACCCAAGGACAAAGTGGCCTTAAATGCGTTATTGAAATGCACCACGTCTGATATGAAGGTTTTATGTCAGATTTTGTACTCCCTATAGCTGACACGAATAAGTTTGATCATAAATCATGTTATTTAGATTTAATGTCGATGAATGATATTTCGGCGTTATCAGTGGCAAGCTAACACATAAATCGCTGTAAAACAGGATCTAAATTATAGAATTGAAAATTCTTCACGAAAAATCGCCTAAGTCAACTTAGGTTTACTGCCAAAACGATATGTTGAAAGTTTTGTTTGGTTTTAATCAAAATACTATGAAAATGTAATACTGCGATATTTTATTAACCTTTTTTCCTCCAAGTGCAGGACAATGAAATCTCTTTTCCGCACAAAGTGCTATCGATTCATCTGAACCATTTTTACAATGTTCAATTCCATCACATACCTAAAATAATATGAAATCGTTGCTCAAATGAATTATCATCAATTTACTACATGAGTTGTTTTACTTGTAAACGCGTAATTTTGCATGTGTAATGATTTATATAAAACGAATTCAAATTTTCTCTGGCTTTAAAATCGAGCCGTTTAAATTTGATTTTTGCAACGATTTACGGTGGAAATTTGAAACAATCCGGTTTGGAATCGAAAAGAATTTATATAACAGTTAAATATTTTTAAAACTATGATTTATGATAAAATTTTACAAAAAAGATGCAACATATGTCACTCTAAAAATATAATTCTACATTTTCCTTTCACAACAATTTTGATTCAGAAATATTACAGATCGACTTTAAAACAAAATAAAATGGGTAAGATTTGAGCAATTAAACTTCATGGCAAAATATACCCCTAAATGGTATGTGATGCAGAACTCTACCCCTCTTCGACTGACCGCTAAACCGCCACAAGGTGGACAGTTTTTAATTTTGAAGACGTCATCACCCAAGGAGAAACGAATCCCATAGTTGCCACAGAAATTTTTGAAACCAATAAAAGTAATAGCCTTCTGCGACAATCACAATCTTTAACCACTAAATTTCAATGCAATTGGTCCAGTATTCGAATAATAAAGACGATTTTTGTTTTAACAACGGGAAAAGAATACCAAGAACAACAACATTATAACAAAACGAAGTATAGGTTCATTTCGTGTACAGTAATTATTGAAATATGGCTTGATATAACACTCTGAAAATGACCGTTTAGAAAATCTATGTTTACAATAGGGAATGAAGTTATGTATTGCAAAGATTCGGACAAAAGACGAATATGGCGTAAAGTAAATCAATGTTTAGTAACACAATGAAATAAATTGTCGTGCCTCGTCATACTCTATACTTATAACACCTTCCTCTTTCCCATCACACAGAAATCTATCACAATTATTTTCGTCCTCGCCCTGTGGACAATGTATAGTTCCATCACAGACAAACTTCCATTCCAGACGCTAAACAACAGAACAAAATATTTTACATACAAAAATAAATATTCAGACTCTATAGTCTATAGACTCTATACCATAGTTATTTAATAAAATGAAAGACATTTGTTGATGAATAGGATTCCCGCTCACTCAAATCCATATAACCGGGGTATCAGTTACATCTTCACCGGTTATCGGTTCTGATATTTCTGCCTAATATTGACAGCAATATCTGATGAGTAAATTGCATTAGATATCTCATCTTTCGAACAAAGTAACCAAGTAATATATACTTCAAAAATCGATGCTTACCTTGGTTATTATTATACTTTCGTTGGCATCTAATTCCAAATGAAGTTCGCATGAGATATATGCCTCTGGAACCCCTACCATTTGTATTGATTCAGGAAGACACGTGAAATTTGTAAAGGTTTCAAAGCAGCTAGCTTTGCACTCATCATCAGGAAACGAATTTTGAGGTGCAGAAACAATAGAACCCCAAGAAGGTGGCGCAATATGGCAATCTGCCACACTGTCACAAGCTACGCCATGAATATTTACACAAGTGTGGCTACCGCGAGAACATCTGAATAAAGATAATGATTTTATTTAATTTTATGTATACGTGAGTATTGCAATTTTAATGTGAGACACCATTTTCTATTCATCTCTCAAGAGAGGAAAACGATTAAAATAAAACTATTGATTCTAACTCGCAGATTAGTCCAGTAACTAAGTGATAAAATAAATGTGGTTGGTGTTGCACCTTAACAACGAGATAGCAAATCTAGCACACCCTGTACTCATGATAATTCTTTAGGGTATTCTAATATGAGATTTTTATGTTTATCACAGAGAAGAGGAAATGGATGAGTCGGCTTTATCATATGGCAAACCACGGTTTCTCTACCGGTTACCAGGCCATGCCGCGTGAAGAGTCCAGCACATAATTATCCCCGCTGAACTTGAACCTGTCATAACGTACGAGCGAATAATCAGATGTAAAAAGATCGCTCACAAATTTACTGTTTATACAACTATTTTCTATTCAAAAAAAATTCTTCAATTGTTTTAACCTACCTGCATTTCTTTTCGTATTTTATGGCGCTGGAACAAGGTACAGTTCCGCGGCAAAAGTCGTATCTGAACATGAAAATAATTTATATACAGATAAAAGTGGTTATTGACAAAAATAAATATTAAAATAAAATAAATTATAAGCGCTTATACCCTTCATCATCTCGGCAGTCTATTGTACCGTCACAAACCGACTCTGGATTTATGCAATTTCCCCCTGCGCATATCACGTTACCAACATTACAATTTGTGTATTTTCCGCTTGAAAACCTTAATGGAAGAAGTGGAATGAGTAATGGGACTAATAAACTTGCTTCCAATATTTGTTCTAGCACTCTATAGATGAAGATTGATTGACTGAAACTGAAAGGTATTAAGTGATATATGATACCCTATTAAAGTCTATGGTTTAATTAACATTGTTATTCAACGCTATTTTTCTATGGCTGGTAACCCGGATGTTTCAGAATTAAGAAGTTCTACTTGGAACATGCCATTTTCGCCATGTGCAACATTTGAGTTGAATCATCTATGGAATAATATTTTTTCAGAGTTGAACATAAGATTCGATATATTTGTTTCACATTAGCATTGCTTCCAGGCCAGTGGTTAATTTATCTTAATTGCCGCTACGTTATTTTCGATATTGGTACATGCAACTTTAAGATGTGCGATTTAAACGACAGCAACAACCAATATTGCAACTCTCGAAAACTAATTTAGCATGAAAAGCTTGGTATTGCTTGGTAAATCTGACAATCTTCATTTAGTGCTTTCCAAGCCGAGCTTTAAGTGAGCGATTTAAAGTTAAAGTTAAGATGTGCGATTCAAACGACAGCAGCAACCAATATTTCAACTCTCGAAAGGTAATTTAGAATGAAAAGCTTGGTATTGCTTGTCAAATCTGACAATCTTCATTTAGTGCTTTCCAAGCCGAGCTTTAGATATCCAAAATTGGTATTTAAAATTTTATTAAAAATTGTTGTGGATTTCGGTCTTGGGGATATGGCTATCATACACATTAAATTAAATTAAATAGAAATTTAGTGACATCATTTTCAAGTTCTAGAATAGACTGAACTGATAAAATGTATGGTAATATAATTCTGCCGCAAGTAAAACTGCAATGCGATGTCTTACTTACAGGTTGCAGATCGGGTAATTGCTAAAACGAACTGACGCCATTGGGGAGGTATACAGTAGGGTTACTTTATGACGTGAGAAACTATGCTGTATGGGCTATTATGTTTTGTCCTGAAGTCATTTGTTGCCAATAGTACAATGAATATGCTTTTTAAATGGGAAGTTTTGTCAATAATTACTTTTGTACTCGGAATTTTAGAATATGAATCTAATATTAATATCCGAGAGTGGCAATACATACCATGTCATAGTAAGTCCGGTCTCTGTAGTTGGTGGAGCAACCATAGTTATGGAAAGAAATCCCTGTAAATAACAATAAATTATACAATTTAACATACAGTATCGAATAAAACGTTTATTAGATTTTAAAATAAGACGTTCAAGCACGCTAAGTGAATATGGTTAGCCAAGTACAAATGCAAACAATATTACAGTATTGATGGCATAGATAAGCATCATGCGGCGTACTGTGTCCCTAAACCCCGCATACAAACTTAAAACAGTATTTTCTCACATTTTCATCATATGAAATCACTTGTTCACAAATGCTAGGTCGACTTTTATCACAAAGACATTCGTCAGATAGATCCGGACAATCTATTATTCCGTCACAAACACTTGTTGAAGCAATCACAGTGACGTCATTCAAGCACATGAAACACTTAGAAAGATCGAGATCTCCGCGATGTTGCAGCTCTGTTCTAAATTATTAAAAAAATTGTGCTTTACATAATGATCATAGGTTTGTTATAATATTGTTCGTTCCTTGATATTTCACTCAGGACTCCTGTCAAGTATGTTTTAAATGTCATTTAGGAATAAACGATTTTTGCATTAACGAAGAACTTGCTATAGCATCTTTTCCGCAAAAATATAATACTAATCTTTCACTTCCCCGTACTTTGTCACTGGTATTGTAAGCAAGACAGGTGAAAAGAAGCCAAAGGCAACAGTTTGAAATTTTTTCAGTCAAAACTATTCTAATGTCAAGTATTACTACGAAAAAAGACTAGTTTCTCACAACTGCAAATTAATCATAATATTAACTGTTACGTTGTCATGTTTTAGCCCACATTTATCTTGGTAATAATTATAACGTTACCGGAAGTATTCCTACTATTTAACTTGAAAACTTTTCTCACTTTTTACTTTTTGAGAAGTACAAAATGAAAAGCACTAAAATTCATCTGCGGGCCACAGTATTGTCAAGAATATAAAACAGAAACAATTATTGTTCATACAAATTGATAATCTTTGTCATTGATTTAAGCGAAAACATGCATAAAAACACCAAACAACTCGCCGAAACGAGCAAAAACCACCAAAACTCACTAGCACGTGAAAAACACCAAAAAACTCACTAACGCGTGCAAAAATCTTTCTATATCAACTAGATTTCAGCCTCGAAGAAAGTGCTCTCGCAAATGAAATTACTTTTGAACATCGATATTCTCAAAGCCAAATCCCTCAACTTTGGAAAATGCTCATTGCTCACAAGATTCCAAAATGCCATTTTGGTTATATATGTTTTGGCAACAACAGAACATGCAGACAAATGAAGCATTGTGGTATTCTACCTCCCATATCCAGTTAAAAATCTAATGAATTGGTCAGCTTTTTCACCAAACTCATGTTACAAAATAACTAAATTATGCCAGATGTAAAGTACAGGAGGGTAATTACAAATTTTCCGACATATATGCAGCAGTTTTTGTGTTATTGTTCAGACTGGTTGAAAAAGACAGCGCGGCACGGAGTGTATTGTTAGGTTGAAACAGCTTTCAGTAGGCATAGCCAACCAATAGGGTAATAGATTCCCCATCCGATATTTAGTTTTTTATGAAGCCTATATTGTTAGCCTATATTCCCGATGAAGATATAGAAAACTAGTTAACAATTTAGATCAGTCAAGCGCACTATTCAACTTTGCCGAGTGTCTCAGCTAGTGATGTAACAATACCAAAATGCGATTTTTGTTATTATCTTCCAGCAAATGCGACTCGAGTCACAGATGATGATGCTTCAAGTCACAAGTGGCCCGCGGGCAGGGATTTGGACAACCATGTTCTTGTTCCTGATTTCAAGAGTGTTTGATAGGAAATTATACTCCGAGAAAATCATATTTTCGACTTTCAACTTCATTAATATCACTTATACCAGTGGTGGCCAACACGTCGATCGCGATCGACGGGTCGATCTCCCCGTTTCGAGTGGTCGATCGCGTCAGATGTTCGTAAATTTAACGTCATACCCCCAAAATTGCCTTGAACCAATTTTATGCAACGCCTGCTGTGTGTTTTAAAACAGGACAAATACAGTACTCTACATGTGCAAAAATACACATACAGTATTTGATTCTAGGCAAGCCCAACGAGCATTTTATTACGTAACAAATGCAAGTTTCGCCGCTACCAAGGTCTAAAATGAACGAGCCGAACATTTTGTGTCTTGACTAACAAACGTGTAGTGATAATATTTATGCGCAAAAGTAGCAGTGGCATTGAATTTTTCGTATGCGTGTGTGCAGTTATCTGCATATTCAGTACTCGTTCGTTTTTGTGTATGACCTTATTACCGATCAGTCGATCGCGAGCTATTTTGAAGATTTTTGTCGGTCGCGGACGAAAGCAGGTTGGCCACCCCTGACTTATACCATCCAGCATCATTTATGTTTCAGATTACTGTGGGCATTAATTTAGGACTTAAATTTTGTTTTCCAATCGATAATTTCTTAAGAGTTTATCTTTATGTCATTCCAATTTACAAATTGGAAAAACGAAGTCATTCGAACTGTGATAATTCGAGAATCTCAAATTTAACTAGAGCTGCGTGCAGCTTTAACAGGCTTCCCGCGTAAAAAAAACTGAAGACGCGTTTTGCTCACTGGAGCGTGAAAGCGTGGTCAGTCATGCATAAAATTTGCAATTTATGATGGGGGACTTATTATCCGCATGTGATGAAAATTTTCAAGTCTCTAAATAGTGTCGTTCTCGAGAAGAAGATGAAAATGTAAAATCCTATATTGCTCAATGGAGCGTATCGCCGAGGTCACTCATGCGTATCCTTGACATATCGTATCCGGAACATGTCCATTAATCATTGTTATGAATTTCAACCCAATAGCATGTATAAATTTTGAGAAATCGCAAAAAAACTGAAGACGCGTTTTGCTCACTGGAGCGTGAAAGCGTGGTCAGTCATGCATAAAATTTGCAATTTATGATGGGGGACTTATTATCTGCATGTGATATAAATTTCAAGTCTCTAAGTAGTGTCGTTCTCGAGAAGAAGATGAAAATGTAAAATCCTATATTGCTCACTGGAGCGTATCGCCGAGGTCACTCATGCGTATCCTTGACATATCGTATCCGGAACATGTCCATTAATCAATGTTATGAATTTCAACCCAATAGCATGTCTCAATTTTGAGAAATCGCAAAAAAACCGAAGACGCGTTTTGCTCACTGGAGCGTGAAAGCGTGGTCAGTCATGCATAAAATTTGCATTTTATTGCTAGCTGAGAACTTCTGCACATTTGAGGTGAATTTCAAGTCTGTAGGACCAATTTGAAAAAAAAAACAAAAAAAAATAAATTAAATAAATAATAATAATAATAAAACACAGGAATACAATAGGTTCCCTGCTGACAAGCAGCGGGAAGCCTAATTAAATTCAAGGAAAGAACGATCTGTTGCGAAATCGCCTCAAATAGTTGCTGACCTGCCGTGGGTGCCAGATGTGTTGTGAATGAGGGCCAGCCTAATTATACACTTTTTCATCAATAATCACTTATTTGGATCCGTGACTTTGCGGGTCGCCGACAAAAATATGACGGTTCAGATCTACATTTCTACGCTAGGTCAAGCAGTTTATACATTTCTTAGTTTTTGTGACATAGTACCATTGCCATCAATTAATAATTTCACCTAGATGTTAAAATTTCCTAAAATTGTTTTAAAAGATTTTTGTGAACGAATATGTAAATCCTGTGAGTGTCGTGCTTAAAATATTTGGATATATTTGAACTTTTCACGTTATTATAAAACATCAATTTGTATTGCACGAATATATTCGTAATTTTATTCAGAAAAATCCCAGACATGGAATATCCAAATGTCGAGACATTTGATTGCTACAAAAAGTAACAAAGTTTTTAGGAAATAAATACATGCGCCTGTAAGAATGAATTTCACAATCACTTTTGGTAATATTATGTCATATTAATAAATAAACTATGCATACAAATGGCATAATAACCGAATAATTATTCAAATCGATCGTTCTGATCAAAAAATTGATTACCGACACATTCGCAGAGTAGAAGTCATGTGATTAAAAAAGAAATTTTAGGTTCTTAAAAGTAAATGGGATATGCATATAACAAAAAATCAAAAATCGCGGGCTTTTATATGTAACGAAAACAATGCTGCCTGTAAGAGAGTTTTATATTTAATCTCAACAGCAAAGATGGTCAATTTCAGAACGAACAATGCGAATGGAGTGAGTCAAGCGAGACACGAGTCACGTGAGAAGTGATGTAATGGCAAAGAATGCCAATTCGAGATATCGAGATCAAATACCTTAATGCAGGTTCAAAATGGATTATCGACTAACCTTAAACTAGCATTCCGAGTAATCTGAGTTTCAAAACATAGATCTGCTCCTCCATCACAGTCTGCTATGTCATCATGAATTAATTGCTGAGGCAAGACGCAATCCTCGCCATTTCTTCGACATTTGAATCCGATTCCGTTATTCCATTCATGATCTTCTTCTGTGCAACCATCACAAGCATTATTATTGCACACAGTGCTACGAAGCTTGCATTCTGAATTCTACAATACATTTTTCAAATTAAAAAGTACGAAATTTTGAAGCGACCGGATTGCATTTATTTAATTTTGTACAATTTAGTAGGTGATGTATTGACGTAGTCATGTGAGCGCAAGAATTTAAGTTTACCAACTTTAGCTCGAATCTCTAAACAGGTCAACTGAATGTCTAAACATAGATTTACTAGGAGTGAAACAAAAAAGCTTCCGTTACAAAACCGAGTACTCATACGTCAAGTCAAAACTTATCCGGAGTTAATGGATCAAACTGTTTATAGAACATTTAGAAAAAACTCCAAGATCACCAGAGACTCTCAAATCTCTCTTTGGGACAAAAGCGTCCGAATCTTTCACCTGACATTTATAATGAGAATCACATCTTGCATCACATGGATTCATGTTTGAACATACGACTTTCTCTTTGCATATTTCGTCTCTTTCTACCACACAATACTGCGTTTTGCTGTTCCTCAACAATTCGCATCTGATATTGAAAATATGTGAATATGTTAATGGAAAACGTGAAAACGATAGTTCAATACTACAATGAATCATTGCCCACAGACACAGATTCGGACGGCATGTCATGATCGCATTCACTCACACTACGGACAAACTGACTCTTTCTGAGACGTTATGATACACGTTTATGACAATAAAAAATAAGATTTAGTGACCGATTTTTATGGAAGAATTCCTCCGAATATAATATAATAATTTATTTACACATAGGCATTCGTTTACTATTCTATTATTAATTTAAGCTCAGATTCAGCCTATAAATTTCAATCTGTAGATAGGAAATTAACGAACAATATAGGGAGGGATGTGAATGCAGAACGAATAATGGCGGTTAAACAATACGATGGGATTTAAAATTTCAGAAATCAGCTTCTTTTTGTATTGAGCTCACTAAAAGTATAGGTTCCCTCATTTTAGGAAACCAAACTTATAGCTGTAAAAGCAAGAAGGGGTTCGCTTTAATATCACAACATTCAAAGAACGGGTTCGGACTGCTTGTATATAATATCCTTTGATATTGAATTATTGATATTCTTGGATCGAAAGAATTTATACAATGGAAATATACTTACATTTGCCACTCAGCATAAACATCTTGTATTGGAATCCCATCTTTGCATTTTAGTTTATCGTTGCAAAATAATGCGTGAAACAGCGTTTCATTTTCAAGGCAAATAGGCCTGATCATGATTACCTCGTGTATTTCTGAACAAAATGAAAAATACAATTTTCGCTCACAGAATAAAATGTATTTTCAACTTTTTTTAGTTATATCGATTGGAATGCCTAAGTTATCGACCGAGGAATTAGCCTAAATGAACTTTGTATTAAATTAACCAAAAATTCAGCAAAAATTGACCAGTAAGAAATAAGTGCGTACCTGTGTCGTTTACATTAGCAAGTGCCGTAAATTTCGCCGTCAAAATATAGTGAACAATAATCCATATAATGGTAAGTTTCATTTTTGTTTTAGATATTATTTCCCACAATATTTGAGATGTGCATGAAGTTACCCTAATCCTGAGTACTTTCCTGTATTTGCTACCATTTCCTGCAAATGAATAGGCGAATTAAATTTTTTTAAAACTTGTGACCAATAATCGGGAAATATTATATTTCGTTTGTCCATTTGGAATATTGGTACTACGAAACGGAGTCTCTTATGTTGTCTTATTTTGTTGGTTTCAAGTAACAATTTTCGTCTCAAATATCCAAAATAATCAACCAAAAGCTGTAAGGTGTTGACTGCAAGTTATTAATATTGCAAGACACTGCATGATTGTCATCAAAACTGCTTCAAATAATATGAATAAACAATATTTCCAGTTCCTAATATTTGGATGATAATTGGAATAAGTCTAATGCACTTCGGTCGCACAAAAACTGTGTCATATGAAAACGAAAATAACAATCGAATAAATTATTCCTAACCCTTTATTTTTTGTAACTTCAAATAAAACAGCTCGAAAAGTTTTTAGGCCCACTCTGATTTTCTTTCCGTATACCAACTCGTTTGACAACACAGTTGCACTGTGTCTCTGTCTGTAAGTACACAGAAATTGTTATTGCAAAATCTTTATCACTGATCAGTGCTTTTCGGGTAATTGTACTTGTAAAACTATAGAATAACAAAAACGGTACAGTTTCCCTATGCGCTCATCTATAATAGATGCTTGATGGCGCTTTCAGAAACTTAATTCTGCTAGATCAAATTCAGCTCTAATCCAGCAGGATATTATCGTTTTACAAAACTATTGGTGTCCAGCAAGTGTGACGAACCGTGAATATCCACAATTGTGTCTAATCTTCTGTATTTCGAGATCGTCGGTTTCTTAAATAGGTTGCTCACATTTTTTTCCCTCAAAACACGAATAATCTGCTGCGTAGTTGGAAAGATAGCGTATTGTAAATCATGCCCTTCCGCGATGCATCAATACAAAGGTCATCTATCACAAGCGTCGACTGATTCTCAATCAGGAAAAGCATTGTAAGCAACGGGAAACGCGTATATATACAATAAAAGAGTAGCTTTGCGTTGACAACTGTTAAAACGGTTTTATCATTAACATCCCATTAAACTTGTGATTATAATACAGTTACAAATTCCTGTCTTGATAAAATAACGTATTTATTAAATTCTCTAAAATTCCACGCAATCAACCGCGTGTTTTTGATAGAGACCAATGCTTAACTGAATTATCTGATTTTCCCATGGAAACCGTAGCCTTGGACATTGATTCATCATTGACAGTAAAGCACATATCACCGCGTCACTCACCGCGTATTTGCAATGTATATACTATTGTGTTAACTTTTTACATAACGATATGGTTGACAACATGCGATCAGTGTACGGCAAGAATGTGACCCAGGGGCTGCAAACAATTGCGGTGAGGAGTGAATCGTAGGCGCAAACAAAGTGCAGGTTTTCCAAGGAGTTGGAGATAAAATTTCCAATATTTTAATACGATTTACGGCCTATTTTGGAGCTCGTAACTCGTAAGTTATCTACAATGGTACGGAAAACATTTGAACTATTACTAAGCCTTGGAATCGACCCAAGATTGGTCTGTCCAATCAGAACCGTCGCGTTTTTTTGCTTCAGGCATATGGCGAGCCTAATTCTAACTCCTTTCGCTGACAGAAAAAGACACTTAGCAGGATATGCTACGAAAGACGTGCATATCTTATGCAATAGCATACTCATACGTATCTATAAAAATATCACTTCAATCGACACATTCGTTTCTTTATTTAAATTTATTCTATATATATTATTGAACGTTATAAAACTGCATACTTCTTAAGCATTTACTTCTCTAATATGTAATTTACATTTGTAACACTGGTCGTGCGCCGATTGGAGACGTAAAACATACATTCAGACGTGTGATAAATATAACTTTAAAATACAATTAAAGTAGCCAAATATTTTACATTTTCCGCCCATAAAGCTTATTTTTCTCTGTGTCCAGTCTAAATCTACATAATCCTTACGCACAGCCAAATAGAATATAATCCATACCGACACATTCATTGAAATTAAAGCCGGACTTCTGTTACAGAATAAGACGCCGTTGGCTATGAAACTATATGAAATTTAAAATTCAGTTTAAATTTAGAATATAGTTTAGAATTTGACGTCATATGGAATCAATATGTTGGTATAGGTTAATCTGACAACAGTACATGGTACATTGTCATGTCAGAGTAATTAAAAAAAATTTTGGTTACCTTTATGTAAATGATCTACGAAAGACACTATCACATTTTAATACGCGTTGTTGAAGACATAATTTATATACGTGTCGAATAAAATTGGTATATACTAACAACAGTTAATATACAGTATAACTGACACTTGATTTGGCACTTTTTACCAACGATCAAACTATGAAACCCTTAGAAATTTACTTGTAATTTACGCGTCTGCTTGTTTATTTTGACAGCATAAGCATCGTTAGGTACTTTTAGATGATTTTGATACAATTTAAATACACATCTATACAGTTTGTCGTACTGGTACCAATATGCGACATTTGTGTCTATATTTGCGAGCCATCATTTGACGTTTCGTTTATTTAATGAAAAAATATTCTGTATTGTCCGGATCCCAGTAATTTTGAAGTTTTCTAAACGGACCTTTGGTTAAAATAGTTGAGTAGCCCTGGTCTATTGCACTCGCTCTTCACTACATCTTTTTGAGTATCAATGGCCACTTCTATAGTCATAAGCCGTGAAAATTTGATATGAAGTTTATCAGAAAGACGTTTTGAAAATTTCTTTTATTTAATTGCTAACAAAACAACAAAGGAACTCAAGCACAATAAATGATAGCAGAGCGGAACGAAATTCATTTTCCAGACGTTTTCATATTAGTTGTCATGAAACTGAACTTCGATGTTTCGGAAATTTTTATATAAAAACAGTTTTGATCGGTGTCACAAACACCGATATATATGTCAGTGATATGCACTGACGTGCATTGAGTGCTTGACTTCCTACTGAGAAATTCTTAGAACCAAACTCATTAACCATGACATTTCATGATATTTCAAATAACTTCAATATCGCTATCGAAAGAAATTCAATATCGCTTCAATTCAATATATTTGAAGACGTCCCGAAATGTTATATATATATATATATACAATAAAGATATCTTTGAATAATTTCCAATAAATCTCAATTTAATCTTTATTCTATTCAAAAAATCCGACCAGACTTTCAACAACTTTTTCTACGCTAAATACCAGGTCCTTCATGGTCTTAAGTTTTAACAACAAACAACCTTCTACAATCTACATCTTGCAAGCATTCATCAAACGCAGCTTCATTGGCAAAAACAACCCTTCTTTTTCCAGTATGTACGAATCAGTATGTTGTTATATGCGATGCCACCAATACAATCTTTTTTATTGTCAAAATCAATAAAAAAGCAAATAAAATTGAATTACTTTCAATTAATTCACATAGAAATTTAATTATTCATTATAGTTGAAATGATGTTTGTTGATGTTATAAACGAGCTGATACATTCCGTAAGTTTCAAAACAGCAAGTAATGATGTCATAATAAAAACGGTATTTAACGCAATATATATGATGCCCTTCTAGAGCTACTGATATAAGAACAAAACTCACTTGGGTTAGACTACATTAGTTAATGTTTAGGGCGGCAAACAGCGGACGGAGTGTCACCGAAACGTGCAGTGCCAGCGGAAGCCACAAGCCAATAAAATGCGATAAAATTCCGATTCGTACTATTCTGCATAGAGTTTTGTTACCTAAAAACATTATTTGTAAGATATACTTCTGGCAATTTAAATGCGGAAAAGAAAAATTATGTTCTACGAGAAGACATTGGTTTACTTAAAAGGTCCCCTCTACTAGAATAATTTTCATGTATGAATATATTATATATAAAGGTCAACAAAATCAAATATAGATGTTCCTCTCCATACGTTTGCTGCCTTTGATGAGATTCTCAACAAAAAATAGATCTCCTGATTTCAAACTCAATGACTCGAAAATTGTCAAAATAATAGAGTGCATTTTCTTATTGATAGATTTTGAAAATTGAATGTGCTTGCATTTCAATTTAAATAAACTGTTGGCTGTTAGTTATATATACCGAATTAAAAATGAAATTTAATTATATATAACCTATATCAATGATTTCATCAAAAAGTGTGACCTCAGCTAATTTTTGTGATCACGATGTGCCTCGCGAGTAACCACAATTTCTCACATCTTGTTATTCACCTAAAAATCACTGGGCCACACAGTAAAATTACCTATACATGGCTATTTGTCCGTGGATTTGGATGATCCTGTTCTTAATATCTGAAAAATTTGTTGAATAACTGCACATTCATCCGATAAAGCAACATAGTAGGAATCTAGAATTGTAATTTTCATGCGCAAATCGCACCACCTTGAAGAATTATGCACATTCTCCCATCAGAAATGAAACTGTACTCGTAAATATTATGATGTTGGCATGCTGGGTAGAGCATTCCAAAGTGTTTCCGGGAGTATTTCATTCGCCCTATAGCATGTAAACAAACATATCATCATCTTCTTTTCAATCAAATTTAAAATATATAGATATGCAGGGATTCTGACTCCGGCGATGCTTGACTGCATCGGCCCAATGGCGCCCGCTAGTTTGATTTCAATGTTCCTCAGGTAATGTATAGAGTCTGTATACGTTTCGTACGTATACGTTCGTTAATTACAAACTACGGACTCCTGAGTGAAATACCAGATCATCAACACATTTGCAGTCTGGGAGCTAGATTTTCTTGATACAAAAAAAATTATATAATTTACATTTATGAATTTTGTACAAATGAATTTGAACGATATTACTTTTTTATAACACTACATGTAGAACAAATAGACTCTCTCTTTCGTCATGAGATAGATTTTTTTCTTAACTTTTTTTTTTAGATTGTTCCTTTAGCCAGTCAGCATCCTTCCTTACAACGTACTTTCTTCACCATTTGTTTTCACGTTTATACTGGTCGACGCGGTGAAAAAAGAACTTGTCAAGCTTGTGATTTCATTAAATCCAGTGGTCACTTTCTTATATGAAGCATCTGGCAGGTCTGAATACAGAACTGGATTTAGTGCACTGTTGATCGGTAGAAGCACGATTACTGCGACGACATATGCTGTATTTGAAACATTTGCTCCTCCTAGTTTGCAGAAGGCCATGATACAGATCGGTATCCAACAACAGAAGTCAGTTAGGATGAGTCGGAGAATCTTGCGCTGCATTGCTGAAAATATCCGAGAATGAAAAAATTTATTAAAAAAAAAGCTAGAACACTCTAAAAATGTGAAGAATGAACAAAAATTTGAAATTTCTCTTACTTCTATTTTCATCGTCTATATCAGGGCTACTCAACTGGCGGACCGCGGTCCGAATCCGGACCTTTCGAGTATATATTGGATTTGGACCGCACCTAATTATTTATTTTAGATCATTAGCCCCACTTTTTGAATTTCCTATTATAAAATGACTTTCATAGTTTTGAATGTATACGAACAAAACTATACCACCATAATAAACACTTTTAATTTGCTACTAATCATTAGTCGGTCGAAGAAGTGCTCGTTCAAGGATGCCGAAATATCATTTCTGGAAAGACCGGACCCAAATAATTTTGAAGTTTTGTTTGGGGGCCATCGATAAAAATAGTTGAGTAGCCCTGGTCTATATCATTAGACAATGAAGATTTTCTTAGACTTTTTTTTTCGCTTGATTTGATATAAATTGCGACGTAGGAGAATGCAACAAACACGAAAGCAGAAAACGTTAACAGCGAAAGAGAAAGTTTGAATGAAGTTACATCTCACACTCCTGATTTCCAATTCTTTAAAAAGTAGCCGATTACTAGTTGACCAACGTCTTTACTCCAGATTCAGATTGAAAAAAAAATCGACTCCGGCTACGACATCGCGTTGTCGAACATTTTTACTTCAACATAATGGTGTTCACACAGTTTACAGTGCAAAATTGAAAATGGTTGATTGCTGTACCTGATATGTTAATACAGAAGTTACTCGGATCACGTAATGTTTCAATTGATGTTGAAAATGAATTATGAGGAACTGATCATCGTCACAGAACCTAAAAAAGCTACGACAGTTCCTGTATCGTCACGGTACACCGATACAGATACTGGTAAGTTACCGCATATATATGATTTTTATAGAATTGCGGGTGCTCCTGAAGTATGCGCACCAGGATGTCGCATAACCTGAACCCTAACCTGGTACACAACCTGAGTTCAGGTTGTGCGCCATCTTGGTGCGCATACTTCAGGAGGTCCAAATTGCGTGTCCATACATTTCAGCATTGCTCTCTTGTTTATTATCGACTGGAACCTTTGATGCTGTCCTTCGTAATTGGTCAGTGTTATATGACTATTTTTAGAAGAAAAAAAAAAGATTCAAACTAGCAGTTAGTCCTCGATATTGGATCTCCGCTCTATAGGAGACCCTTATTATCAGTCGTTCTGTCTGTCTGTCTGTGTATCTGTCTATCTGTCTGTCTGTCTGTTTAGATGTAGCGTCTTAATGGCTGGACCAATCTGGATGAAATTTTTCACATGGGTTATCCTGTCACCCTAGTAATGTGCGTTTAATAGAAAGTCCAGATAAATGTTTCGTTTCCATGGTAACAACGAAAAACGCTCCGATCGTTATGAAATTTCTATTTTTTTCACAGTTTATCGCCGTTTTCTCGCCAACCAAGTCGAAAATTAAAATTCCAAGAGCGCTTCCTTCCGCATGGCAAAGTACTCTTTCCAGTAAGTCGTCTTTGGTCTCGATACTTCATAAACTGGAGAAGCCTTAGGGATTTCAGTGAACATAATTTCCCCATTTAGTCACAGTATATCAGTCACGTGAGTATGTCAACGGAACGCGCAGCGTTTGAAATGAACTCAACGGAACTGGTGAGCCGGTGCAGGTGTTCTTGATATACGGAATTATTATTTGCTTGAGATTTGATGTACTTCTCGCTGTTAGTGGGTGGTTCACCTAAACGCTGGCTACAGTTTCTTTAACTATTTAAGTCTATAAATTAGGATTGCTATATCCGAATCAAACTGGTAAGCAGACATCGTTGTCCTGTCGTTTGTAACTGCTTTCCATTCTTTCAATCAAAGCTGCAATACGAGCTGCAGACGCTGATACTTGTTGTGTTGCTAAAATAGCGTACTGGCTGTCGTACCCTTTTTTACGAAGGTGGTCGGCAAGTGCTTCTACGGAATCTTTTATGAACTCTGCATCACGTTTACAATCTTTGAAATACGCCGTCATTGCCCCGCAACAAATAATCGTCAGCTAGTGCAAAACCTACTCGCCTCTCGCCTATTTCTTGCGAGGAAATTTTCATGAATTCACTTCCAAGCGCACAAATTAAAGAGATTTAAATCTGAACGAAGTTAGGCCGACCACTAAAGTGCTACAGAGACTAAAATGAATTGGATCCTCGCGATATACTGTACGCCGCGGGCCTGGGTGTCAGTGGAGATCCTGGACGCCTACCGGCTTGTTTGTAATAGGTAGGACTAAGTAAAGCATTTTGGTGCTCCTTCAAAACGCTTTTTAGCGATAGTAAATAAACTTTTCGCTTGCCGGCGCCTTTTTCCCGTACATTTATTGCGCGTGAACTCGAAATTTTTTTCAAATATCTAACACTTGAAGGCCAATAGAGATTTATGAAGTATTAAAAACAAACGGCCATGTCGTTAACTTGAATAAAAAATACGTTTCCGTAATTTTTTTGTAATTGTCGAATTGCGTCTCTCCTTGTTGTTCTCTAGACGTATGCCTAACAGAACCTTTGTTTGTGTCATTGTGTGCCATCAAGCTCATAATATGCTTCGATTGCGGGATTTTTGTGTGATAGGGCGTCGCGAAGATACAAATACAAGAAGGGTTTTGCATTTACCTTAGCTTTGCAGGCTTAGATTTACTCTTAAATTTCATTATAAGGTATATGAGATTCGGTAGCAAATCCTCCCGCGGACTAGACATCGCTGCTCCATAGTTTATGATAGGAATGAGATAATCAAAAAAACTTAGGAAATTGGAATTTAATTAATTTAGTAGGATATTGAAATTTCTAAGGAATAAAGAAAAATTCAAATCATAACCACGGTAGGATATAAAGAAGTTGCAAAATATTTTTATTTTGCCTTTGAAAATTCGTATCACTGCGTGAAGACTACACCACTCAATTTTTTTTCTATCGTCTAACTCTAATGTATAATACTGTTCTAGTTGTCTTGTGATTCGATCAAGAACGATACATATGGTCGAGTATTACGCGGAATAGGAGGGAATGAAATATATCATTTCAAATATGACCTGGCAACAAGGAAAAGCTAAGTTTACCAGTATGCTGGCGTCGTGAACGAGAAAACCAGTCCTAGAGGATGGATTCTACAAAAAAGAAAATTCAGAATGTTTCTCAATGAGTGCTCAAAAATTTATTGTTTATTGATTTGGTGACTTTGGCTGAAGCCATGCGTGAACCTGAATAAGTAAAACCAAATTTTGTTTTGAGAGAACTTGTTACTATTAAGATTTGTTAGAATATCTTATGTATCGCCTGCGATTTACCTCGTACCAAATTCTGCACAACATTTCCATTTTCTGCTCAACTACTTGCCTTACTTTTTTAATTCATAGCAGATACGATACCTCCAATCATATCGATCCTCACTTGCCAATCAAATTTTTCACACCGTGTAATATAGTGAATCGTCAATGTTTTGAGGTAACAATGTTTTGCCGAATAAGACCATTCGGTTGTTGGTCATAGAGCCTAGCAGAGAATTAATTATTAAAAGTAGAGGTAGATGTATATGCTATCAAGTGAAGATACAGGATCCACGAGAGATCCGTGGTTCAAGTTTGCAAGAAAAAAAGCAATAACGTGCAAAATAATATCATCTGAATAAAAATATCTATGGCAAAATCAGTTGCCTAACAATAAACGTTGCTGTTCATGCACTAGCTTTCATGTCTGCGTTTTGAATCCATTATAGATAACACCAGCAGTGATTTTACAATTCGCTTTCTTCTATGTCTGTTCGTCCATTCACCGCGGTCGACATGGTAGAACGAGAACTTGGCAAGTTCACAATTCCATGGAATTTTTCGCTTAGTTTTTTATATAAAGCATCTGGCAGGTCTGAATACAGAACTGGATTCAGTGCACTGTTAATCGGTAGAAGCACTATTGCTGCCACGACATATGCAGTATTTGAAACATTTGCTCCTCCTAGTTTGCAGAAGGCCAGGATACAGATTGGTATCCAACAACAGAAGTCAGTTATGATGAGTCGGAGAATTTTTCGTTGCAAGGCTAAAAAATAGTAAAAAAATCAATAAGAAGGTTTGATATGAACAACCAAATGAAAAGAAACCTGAAAGCATACATCTATTTCCATCGTCTTTCTCTGCACGTGATGCAGTTCTTCTGAACTTTGACCCTTCTCTTGATTTGATATAAATTGCAACGTAAGATGATGCAACGAAGACGAACGCACAAAAGTTGAAAAGGTTAACAAAGAAAGAAAAAGGCCAAGCCCGATCATCTTTGGTTACGAAAAATTTTGGAATGCAAACGCTGTCGACACTATAATATCTAGAAAAATGTCAGTGAAAAAATAAAAAATTATTTTGTAACCTGGAATGAGAAGTTATTCAATTATTCGATGTCTTAAATCATGTATATGATACAACAAACACCAGGAAGTGATTACCAAATGACACAAAAGCAAATGATAAGGTTCATCGAATTGTTGACAAACAAAAATTGTGAAATCAAAGGTTCGGATATTAGAAATTACGGTAATTCATAATAACATGGGTAATTTATTCCAGGCAAAAAAGGTATGCACGGAATCAATACCGTTTGAAATTGTAAGAATTTCTTGTGCACGATGAGAAGGGGGAACGCTTCCATATAAATAGAGTAGGTGAAACATCGAAAGGGAAACAAAAAAGGAGAAACTAACAATTTGAAATCTTTTCACGCATATGGTACTTTCGTATATGAAACCGATTTTTCGGCGGTTCATGAAAAACAGATTACAGAAATAAAGAGAAATCAACAACATATTCACCCAAACTTCTTTTGAATTTTGAAATGTTTATGAAGAAAATATTTGGTTGATTCCGATTCAATATCTTGCCATGACTGAAAATTGTTCACTGAAAATTTATCTGTCATATAAAAAGCAGAATTTACACAATAAGGCAGATTTTATTAAAGCAAAGATTTTACACAACATTTTCTGCAATTAAAACAACTCACGAGTCTGTCGTAAAAATTGTAAATTTGTATTCTAATGGTAGTTGAATAAAATTGACAAGTCTAAATCCACGTATTTTTTATTTGAGATTTTTAAATTAAATATTGAAGATACTACCCACCATAATTGCCAAGATGGACGATGCTTCCAATATCAAAATCTGATACCGAAATTCACAATAAAAGAATTTATTATATCAAAAGTGTCAGACAAGTCCGCAAGATAACGTAATACCAGACGAGATTTATTAATCAGAGCATAATATACACAACTTCGTACTAAATTATGAGAATAAATGTCATGTGAATGAATTGCCTTTCATATGTGATCATCCATGTATGACTTTAAATACTTGTTTCTTGGATAGGAAAATCCCGTATAAATTAGTAGACAGCAAAATCTTATTTTCATGTTAATCTGTGACATTATTAGCTTCAAATACCAAACGTAAGCTTGTTCTCTCGGCGGGATAACAAGGCAACTTACCTGGAAACGTCATGTTGGGCTTGAGGTCATATGTCAGCAGCCTTGTAAAAAGTGATTTAGTCTCATCCAAGGTGACTGTTGCGTTTGAGGAGTATGGAGAATATTCAAATTCTGCATGACTGACAAACATTCCAGACAAATGTGAAGAAAGCGGTAGTATGGCGATTAAAAATGATATCGTCCAAGCTATCAGGATCATAAAAGACACTATTTTCATTTTGGGGTGACGAGATGATTTGAATGGCTGGGAATGAATAAATATAGTAATTAGTCAACGTACAACAAACTTGAATCTGATTAGGATAACTTTGGATTTCTCCAGTCGAATTCATATATCATGAGAAAATTATAACACTCACTTTAAAAATCGCGTAAAGCCGACAGCTAGTCAGCAGAACCATTGTTATAACCGAGGTTTCACTTGAAATAACCGATAAAATTCCCAATGTCGTGCATGCTGCACTTGATCTCCAAATTAAGTCTCTAGAACAGTATACGCCCTGTAAATTAAATGTCGATAATATCAGATAATACTTGATGATACATATTATATTAGGGTAAAGACTTATTTTGGTTTAGTATTGGCAAAGTGTTTTTATACCTGCATAGCGAGGCCAGCAATCCCAAGCGATAGAAGATATATTCCCATGATGACGTCAGAGAAGGCCAGATTTAAAATCAGCAATCTATTTGCTATTACGATGGCTGTCAATTTTCTGTTGCTATTCCTCAGTCTTCTCGTTTCATGAAAAATAACAACCTAGACAATGAGAAAAGTCAAGATGGAATATTTCTAAAATAATAACAAATACTTCAAAAATTCAAATCAAAATTGATTTCGATAGTTTGTGAACCCAACTGAAGTATATACTTGCGAGTTCTACAACTTCACGAGTGCAATTCATTTAATGATCAATACGTTTTTGTTTGAATTTAATTTTAGGTTCTTCTCTGTTTTCTCAATTATTTGTACATATAGACAAATACATACCCCATTTCCACCAAGAGATAACAACCCCATGATCCACACAACAGCCCGCAATATGGGATTTGCAATGAGTTCATATCTTGACGAAAAACCATCAGTTGAAGTTGATTGGTCAATAGTTGGACATTCATCACTCCAATCTGTGCAGTCACCACGTCCATCAAATTTCTGAAAATGCATCGCCAAATATGAAAAATGCTTTTGAAGAACTTATGTGCTACAGCCGGAATATAAAATAAACTTACAAAAACGGATAATATATCAACTAATTTATATAAATCGACTTTGAATTTTATGCTAAGAATTGACGCTAACTCTACTAAATCAATCAATTTTATCAATAATCAATCAATTTGAATTCGCCTAGCACAGTTGACATATCGGGTGGTTTAAGTTCTGTGCCAACGGTTATCCATAATTTCTAAATAACGTCGCGTCAATCAGCCGCGTTTCATGTTTCGAGTGATTTTGGAAACTTTCATTAAAATACATTGCATGGATATTTATGATTCAGAACCATTTCTCGACACATGTTATAAAGGTTAGACTTTCAATTTTATCTTGATGATAAAAGATCAGCAGATTTATGAGACTCGTGACAAATCCTAATTTTATGCGGTTACGACCCATGGAATTAGTTACCCATTTCTAACAGGCTCAATACATAGTTGCTTTACTGTCTTATCGTTTTCATATATTTTACCTGCTTTGCCAGAACAAATAATGGCTTTTTATTTTCGCAGTAAAATCGGCCATCAGTGCAGTTCATTTCATCTGTTGCATCATCGCAAGCTATCAAAAAATCGCATTTCAATCCAACATCGATGCTAACCTTCGAATGTAATAATTTAAATAAAATTAGTTGGACATAAACAACAGATGAAGGGTACACAATTTAATGGTGATGGATCTATTAAAACAGTAACAACAATATAACCTTGTTACAAAAAATGTAAAATAAATAAAAATATCCACAGGGTTTAGTCAAACAATATTGCTTAAGTTAACAATATTAGATTTTTATTGCTCCATAACTCCTTTTGAATAGAAAGCAGTGATGCTGTAGTAAGTGTTTATCGCGGTAACAACATAGTAGTGGAACCATAGTCATGCATGAAATGATTCGGCCCAAGGACAAAGTAACCTTAAATGCGTTATTCAAATGCACCACGTCTGATATAAAGGTTTTATGTCAGATTTTGTACTCCCTATAGCTGACACGAATAAGTTTGATTATAAATCATGTTATTTAGATTTAATGCCGATGCTTGGTAGATAATGATATCTCGGCGTTTATCAGTGGCAAGCTAATACATAAATATCTGTAAAACATGATCTAAACCAGGGGTGTGCAAAGTGCGGCCCGCGGGCCAAATGCGGCCCGCGAGGGGAAATCGTGCGGCCCGCGGAGAAGTGCAAATTTTGAAGGGTGTGTGGCCAGCTAAACTATTTTTTAATTTAGTTTGATATGTTTCCCTTTGCGCTGCAAAGCTTATATTTGAGTCCAATTTATTATCTATGTCTATGACTTTACAACGTCCTAGCATCGAAGCGAACAACACGATTCACAAAGCTGTCACTTGCCGAGCAGCGAACATTTAAATGAAAATACGGAGCAGACGCTAATGAATTTATTACAACGGGCAATTGAAGATTAGGCAACTGGAAAGCAGTTTGAAAAAATTCAATATTAAGATAAAAATGAGATACAAAAACTGAATGAGTTTTGGTTTCAGCCTATCAGTTAATTTTGTTTAAATCTAATCTAGAATAAGATTTGACAGCAAAGTATTTGGAAATGACTCTTGGCGTATTATACCGAAAACATCTCAACCAAGATAACTTTCCACATTTGAAAAAAGTCATGGCTTCAAACATGGCACTTTTGGGTTACATATTTTTTACTAAAATGTACGTTATATCGAATTGCTAGCACTTCCTTTTAAGCAAATTTGGATAAAAGTAGTTGGGAAAAGAATCCAGCAGCAAATTTCTCATTGATTTTGTTTAAATTGGGTGTGACAATATATTTGAATTATAGTTTTAAGAAATTTATGCGTTTTAACTCGTTATTCCTGCAAGAACCTTATATGATGACGACATGAGTTCAATAACAAAAATACTCTATTTTGTGCATGCAACTAATAGAAAGCCCATGTTAAGTGAAGATGCGGCCCGCGGTTTCACCCAGTTATTGATATTTGGCCCGCCTGCGAAAAAGGTTGCACACCCCTGATCTGAACTATAGAATTGAAAATTCTTGACGAAAAAGTTTACTGCCAAAACGATGTGTTGAAAGTTTTGTTTGGTTGTAATCAAAATACTCTAAAAATGTAATATTGAGATAATTCATCAACCTTTTTTCCTCCTAGAGCAGGACAATGGAATCTCTTTTCCGCACAAAGTTCTATCGATTCATCCGAACCATTTTTACAATGTTCAATTCCATCACACACCTAAAATAATATGAGATCTTTGCTCAAATAAATCATCATCAATTCACTACATGAGTTGTTTCACATGTACACGCATGATTTTGCATGTGTAATGATTTATATAAAGCGAATTCAAATTATTTTCTCTGGCTCTGAAACCAGCTGTTTATATTAGCCGATTTAGGTGGAAATTGAAAACAATCCCGTTTGAAATCGAACAAAAGTTATATATATGGTAGTGAAATATTTTTAAAACTATGATTCATAATAAAATTTTACAAAAAAGATGCAACATATGTCACTCTAAAACATAATTCTACATTTTCCTTCCACTGCAATTTTGATTCAGAAATATTACAGATCGATTTTCAAACAAAAAAAATTATGTATGATTTGAGAAACTGAACTCCATGGCAAATTATACCCCCAAATGATATGTTATGCAGGACTCTAAGTTCATTTCGTGTCCAATAACTATTTGAATAGGACTGGAAATTACACTTTGAGAATGAGGGTTGAACAAATATTATGTTTACAATAGGGAATTAAGTGATGCATCGCAAAGATTTAAACGAAAATGGCGTGGAGTAAATCTATGTTTAGTAACACAAAGAAATAAATTATCGTGCCTTGTCAAACTCTATACTTATAACACCTTCCTCTTCCCCATCACACAAGAATCTATCACAATTTTTTTCGTCATCGCCCTGTGGACAATGTAGCTTTCCATCACAGACAAACTTCTTTTCTAGATGCTAAACAACAATACAAAATATTTTTTACATACAAAAATTGAGTATTCGAACTCGATACGATAGGTATTTATTAAAATAATAGGCAAATTTGTTGATAAATAAGATTACGCCAATTTATCGGTTTTGATATTTTTGCCCAATTTTGACAGCAATATCTGGTGAGTAAATTGCATTAGATATCTCATCTTTCGAACAAAGTAACCAAGTAATATATACTTCAAAAATCGATGCTTACCTTGGTTATTATTATACTTTGGTTGGCATCCAATTCCAAATGATGTTCGCATGAGATATATTCCTCTGCTACCCCTACCATTTGTATTGCTGCATGTATTGCATCATGATTACAGGTAAAATTTGTAAAGGTTTCAAAGCATCTAGCCCTGCACTCATCATCAGGAAAAGGAGGTGCAGAAATAATAGAACCCCAAGAAGGTGGCCCAATATGGCAATCTGCCACACTGTCACAAGCTACTCCGTGAATATTTACACAAGTGTGACTACCGCGAGAACATCTGAATAAAGATATTGTTATTATTCAACTTTATGCATGCATTAGTTTTGCAATTTTAATGCGTGACACCATTTCTTATTCAAGAGAGGAAAACGATAATAATAAAACTATCGATTCTTGCTCGCAGATTAGTCCAGTAACTAAGCCTTGTGGTCGGTGTCGCACCTTACCAACGATAGCACATCTAGCAAACCTCATGGAGGAAAGCGATGAGTCGGCTTAATCATATGCCGAACCACGGTTTCTCTATCGGTTACCAGGCGATGCCGGGACGGCTACGTGACGACCCAACAGTGGTGAAGAGTCCAGCACAAAATTATCTCTGCTGAACTCGGACCTGTCATAACGTTCGAGCGGGTAATCAGATGTACAAAGACCGCTCACAAATTTACTTTATATACAACTATTTTCTATTTAAGTTTTTTTTTTCAATTCTTCCAATTGTTTAAACCTACCTGCATTTCTGTTCGTATTTTATTGCCCCGGAACACGGTACAGTTCCACGACAATGGTCGTATCTAAACGTGGAAATAATTTATATATAGATAAAAGTGGTTATTGACGTGTGACGACCCTTGTTTTGCCTGTTAAATGACTTCAGGTAATATGTTTCCATATTTGGTATTCTAGGACCCTTGTTTTATCTGTTAAATGACGTCATGTGATATCGTTTCCATATTTGGTATTTTTAGCAGTTTAGACGCTGCGACACGGTCGATCGGTTCTCGGGGGCAGCGTGGTCTGTTGGTGTATGCTGTGTGTGACAGAGTGCAGTCGTCTGAGTGTTTCGGTTGAATTGGTGGGTTTTGAATGTCTGTGTGAATGCCTCTGGTCTTCAGGGATGTTTGTCTGTGTTGTGTGCCTGTCGGATGTTTTGTGCTGGACAGTGGGCTGACGTCGGGACCATGTTATTGTTTTTACCAGTACAGTGCCATTACAGTTCATTTACCGTAGCGTTGTATTTTCAGTTTTATCTGGAATTAGCTTTCATCAGTATTGTTCAAATGTTGTGCACCTATAGAATTGTTCATAGTCTTTTTAAATGCCTGTCATAAGTTACTTTCGGCCTGTTTTGCAAATTGCAGTAGCTAGTTCATTGTACCAGATTCTAGGGGTCATTTGGTTTTTTATTCAGAGTTGTCTTGGATTTCAGGGTTTGTCAGTGTTTTTGTTGTGTATGTGGTCTTTCTTGCATTTTACTGCCTGGTATCTGTTATTTTTATTTTATGCTTTTCGTTCCTTTGGGAGTGTTTGGTTGTTTTGGATCGTTTACTGTTCGAGGTGTTAATAAATGACATAAAATAGCATAAAGACTTGGACTATTGAGAGAAAACTTGACGTCAGATCATATTAGAAGATATTCTGAACCTGGATAATTATTTCATACATTGCCGGTACGCTACAGACGCAAAGAAATATTGAGCCAAAATAAATTTATATGCGTTTATACCCTTCATCATCTCGGCAGTCTATTGTACCGTCACAAACTGACTCTGGATTGATGCAATATCCCCCCGCGCATATCACGTTACCAACATTACAATCTGTGTATTTTCCACTTGAAAACCTTAAATGGAAGAAAGTGGAATAAGTAATGGGACTAATAAACTCGCACGCAATATTTGTTCCAGCACTCTATAGATAAGATTGAATGAAAGGTATTAAGAGATATCTGGTAAAAAATATCCTATAAAAGTCTATGGTTTAACATTGTTACTCAACGCTATTTTTCTATGGCTGGCAACTTGGATGTTTCGCTTGGAATATGACATTTTCGTCACGCGCAGCATTTGAGGTGAATCAAAGAAATCTTATCTAAAATTTGACATCATTCTTAAGTTCTATACTGAACCCATGAAATATTCGGTGATATAATTCTGCGTTAAGTAAAACTGCAATGCGATGATATCTTACTCACATGCTGCATATCAGGTAATTGCTGAAACGAACTGTCGCCACAGTAAGGTTACTTTCTGACGTGAGAAGCTATTATGTACTACCAAAAAACTTACTCAAATGCCAAGCCGTATGTACAAAAACGGATAAATGCAGCTGTAGAAAAACTAATGACACAGGTACTCATTTGTTCCAAAGCAGACACAGGATCACAGACTCACAAATTGTACCTCTCTCACAACACACGCCGCCACCACAATAATTCATGCTGTATAAGCTATTATATTTTGACCTGACGCAGTTTGTTGCCAATAGTACAATGAATATATTTTTTAAAGGAGAAAGTTAATTACTCTTGTACTCGGAATTTTGGAATACAAACATAATATAAATACCCGAGAGCACTCATAGTTAGTGGCACTACATACCATGTCATGGTGAGTCCGCTCTCTGTAGTTGGTGATGCAACCAGAGGTAAGGAGATAAATCCCTGTAAATAACAATAAATTATACAATTTTACATACAGTAACTAATAAAACGTTTATTAGATTTAACGATGCGAAATATCAAGTAAATGACTTTGGGTAGCCAAGTACAAACAATATTACAGCACAAAATAAGGAATCGGTGACATGGATAAGTGTCATTCGTCGTAATCTGTCCCTGAACCCCGCATACAAACTAAAACAGTATTTTCTCACATTTTCATCATATGAAATCACTTGTTCGCAAATTCTAGGTCGACTTTTATCACAAAGACATTCGTCAGATAGATCCGGACAATCTATTATTCCGTCACAAACACTCGTTGAAGCAATCACGGTGACGTCATTTAAGCACATGAAACATTTTAAAAGATGGAGATGTTCACGATGTTGTAGTTCTGTTCTAAATTATTAAAAAAGTTTGTGCTTTACATTATGATCATGTGTATGATATAATATTGTTCGTTTCTTGATATTTCATTCAGTACTCCTGTTATGTATGTTTTAAATGTTATGTAGTATATGGCTTAGGCTAATAAACGAGAGAAGACTTTTTACTATTACTTTTTTCGACGCCTTTTACTACATACAAGGCTCTGTGTAAAATCGGCCACTTTTATATAAGGAGCTACACTCTGGGTTAGATAATGGGTATGGTAATTGAACCCGAGATTAGTCATATGCTAATACTATTTTGACCACTAGGCCTGGGATTCCCAATTTTTTTACCGAATGGGTCACATAACATATTATATTTTAAATCAGGAAAAAGAAGATTGTGAGTCGTAGATTTATTCAATTTTATGTTTACGAGAAATTTGCTGTTGTATCTTCTCCGCAAAAAATATAATCCTAGTTTTTTACCTTCCTGCATTTCGTCACCGGTATTATAAACAAGACGGGCAAAAAGAAGCCAAAGGTAACAGTTTGGAATCCTTCTAGTCAAAACTATTCTAATGTCAAATACTGCTACGAAAAAGAGCAGTTTCTCACAACTGCAAATTAATCCTAACTATAACTGTTACGTTGTCATGTTTAACCACATGTAACTTGGTAATATAAATATAACGTTACCGGAAGTATTTCTGATATTTAACTCGTTAACTATTTTAACTTTTTGAGAATTATAAAAATGGTGATCACAAAAATCAACGTTCGGGCATATTCTGGTTCGTGGTAGTCCAAGGTTGTCGGAATCTGGAGCTACAAAAAAATTGCATGGTTCGCGGACCACAATATTGCCAGGAATAAGTGAACAATCAAATAAGTGAAATATAAAACGATTTTAGTCTTTTCATAACGGAAAAAGTGCTTTCGCAAATGTAAGTCCTCATCGCGCACGAGATTGCAAAATGCCGTTTAGACTGGGCTGATTGCAAACGACGGTGCGATGGGTGTAGATTGTTAGGCTAACACAGCTTTCATTAGGCGTAGCCATGCAACTATAGGCTGACACAGTGGCGCAGCCAGGCCAGCCAGCCCCTTTTTTGGAAATTTTTTGATTGAAGAGCGGCAATATAAAATATTAAAAATAAAAACGTAAACAATTTGTTGTGAGAGGCCCGCGGCAGATAAAAAACACTTCTCTAGGCATAGTAACAGCAGAATCTCGTGTGCCTATGGCACACATTGTATTTGCTCGGCGTTGGGGACTATACCGTCACTAAAGTCGAAACGCAGTCAATTGTGCGCAGCATTTACCTTTTAATTAATCCATAAATTGCCGTCGAAAATTTTATTGTTAACATTATACAAGGTTGGAAACGCAACTTTTTTCCGGTTCGTGATGAATGATGATATATATATATCACAATTAATATCACAAAGCATATTCCAACAATTTTCATTGTACTAAAATTATTTTTACTCCGTGAGATTTTATAGCAGACTCGGGGATCAGACAGTTTTATCTTGAAATAATCTGAGTGGCACCATTGCGATAAAGCGGAATCAGTGTTTCAAGTACAGCTCAGATTTGTCTAATTCAAAAAATGGCAAATATACGGATCAAAACAGGATATAATCGAGCAGTTTTACACCACACACTTTTATGTCCGCGGATTATCGTGGTATTTTGGAGTAAGGATGGTTTTATTATGTCGAGGCAACCACAAGTTAAATTGAAGATAATTACCGGTAAATTAATAAGCAAGACATTTTAAATATGCCCGTATCGGTCATGAGTTAGCACATAAGAAAAATCATTCCGCGAAGATTTCGAAACGATTTTTGTTATTATCTCCCAGCAAATGCGATACGAGCCACAGATAATGATGCTTCAGGCCACATGTGGCCCGCGGGCCTGGGTTTGGACCCCTCTTTTCTGGTTGGCTTATGTTTTGGTTGATGAGTTTGATAGGAAATTCTACTCCGAGAGAATTCTATTTTCGACTTTCAACTTTATTAAAATCACTTATACCATCCAGCATCATTTATGTTTCAGATTACCGTGAACATTACTATAGGACTTAAATTTTGTTTTCCAAACGGTAATCTCTCGGGAGTTTATCATTATATCATTCCAACTTACAAACTGGAAAGACGAAGTCATTCGAACTGTAATAATATCGAATTTAATTAAATTAAAAAAAGAACGAACGGTGGCAAAATCGCCATAGCTGCTAGAGCTAACCTACCGTGGGTGGGAATTAAGGCCATCCTCATTATATACCTTTTCATCAATATTCACTTATTTTGCAATGATCCTTGACTTGGCAGGTCGGCGGGAAAATATGACGGGTCAGTTCTCCATTTCTCCGCTAGGTCAGCGCAGTTCATACATTTCTCAGTATGTATGACATAGTACCGTATCATTTAACATTTTAATCTAGACTTTATAGTTTTGATACAAAAAAATTTTAAATATTTAAAAAAGATCTTTGTGAAGGAATATGTAAATTCTGTGAATGTCGTGCTAAAAATATTTATATATATTAAAACTATTCCACGTCATTATAAAACGTCAATTTTTATCGCACGAATATATTCGTAATGATAATCAGAAAAATCCCAGACATGTCATATCCAAATGTTGAGACATTTAATTGTTACAAAAAGTAACAAAGTATTTGTGCAATAAATACGTGCGCCTGTAAGTATGAATTTCACAATTTGGTTGTTATTTAATTGATTACTTTTGGTAATCTTATGTCATACAATATATATCACACAATATATTACAGTTGAAAGTGTAGAGGTGTGATTCAAAAAGGAATTTTATGTTCCCAAAAGTAAATGTGATATGCATATCACGAAAAAATCCAAAGTTCGAAAGATCAAAAACCAATGCCATCCAAAGACAAACAATGCCACTTGGAAAGGGGTTTGTATTTAACATTAACAGCGAAGATGGTCATTTTAGAACGAACAATACGAACGAAGTGAGCCACGTGAGTTATGGCTGAGCTAGCTTACTTCCATTTGGGAACGAAAATCTTTCAGATGTTGTGTTGTATCAAATGTAGTGGGAGAAGTGATGTGATTGCAAAGAACGCCAATTTCCGTAATTTGAAATATCGAGATCAAACATCTTGATTCAGGTTCAAAATATGATATCGACTCACCTTAAACTGTTATTCAGATGATATTGAGCTTCAAAACATAGATCTGCACCTCCATCACAGTCTGCTATGTCATCGTGAATTAATTGCTGAGGCAGGACACAATCCTCGTCATTTCTCCGGCATTTGAATCCGATTCCGTTATTCCATTCGTGATCTTCTTCAGTGCAACCATCACACGCATTCTTATTGCATACCGTGCTACGAAGCTTGCATTCTGAATTCTACAATACATCACATTAAATTGGTATCTACATTATCACATTGAAAAGTAGGAAATTTTAAAACGACAGGATAGGGTTTTTTCAATTTTGTGTCGTTTACTATAGATAATGTGGTGGTCGTGTGAGCGTGAGTTCAAGATTCCCAATTTAACCCTAATTTCAACTGCATACCTCGTATTCGGGTTTAATTAAGAGTATATTTCAATATGTATGCTATAGATTTAAATTCGATTGTACAACTCCGCAATATACGAACATTTGACAACACGTTATCGTGTGCTTCTTGACGTCTGAAGGAGTCAGTGGAATTACTCCGCTGAAGTACGTTTAATATTACTGGGGTAGAACACGCGGTGAGGCCATAGTCCACACCTACAGTCTAAGCATACCTTTAACACGAGTGAAAAAAATCTCCCTTTTATTACTAAACCTAGTAATAAATACCACAAGTCAAAGTTGTGGGGAGTTATGAATGGAACAAACTGTTGATAGAACATTTAGTAAATCTAAAAATAGAGCACCAGAGACTTTTGAATCTCTCTTTAGAACAAAAGTGTTTGAATCTTTCACCTGACATTTATAATGAGAATCACATCTTGCATCACATGGGTTCATGTTTGAACATACGACTTTCTCTTTACATATTTCGTCTCTTTCTACCACACAATACTGCGTTTTGCTGTTCCTCAACGATTCGCATCTGATATTGAAAATATGTGAATATGTTAATGGAAAACGTGAAAACGATAGTTCAATACAAAAACTATTTGATGCCCACAGACACAGATTACGGGATTCGGACGGGATATCATGATCACATGATTTCGCACTACGGACAAACTGACACATTCTGGGACGTTAGGATACACTTTATGTTTATGACAACAAAAATAAGATCTAATGACCGATTTTCATGGAAGAATTCCTCCGAATATAATATAATAACTTATTTACACAAAGGCATTCGTTTACTATTCCATTATCAATTTAAGCTTAGATTCAGCCTATAAATTTCAATCTGTAGACGGGAAATTAACGAACAATATGGGGAGGAATGTGAATACAGAACGAGTAATGACAGTTAAATACAGTGATGGAATTTAAAATTTCAAAAACCGGCTCCCTTTTGTATCGAACTCACTAAAAGTATGGGTTCCCTCATTTTCGAAAACCGAACTTATAGCTGTAAAAACAAGAAGCGATTTGACTAATATCATAACATTCCAAGAACGGGTTAGGACTGATTGTATATGATATCCTGAATTCGTGATAATCTTAGGTCAGGAGCATTTATACAAAAGAAATATACTTACATTTGCCACTCAGCATAAACATCTTGTATTGGAATCCCATCTTTGCATTTTAGTTTATCGTTGCAAAATAATGTGTGAAACACCGTTTCATTTTCAAGACATCTCGGCTTGATCATTATTACCTCGTGTATTTCTGATCAAAATGAAAAATACAATTGGCGCTCACAGAATAAAATGTATTTTCAATTTTTTTTAGGTATATTGATTGCCTGAGAATGTCTGAGATATCGACTGAGGAATTAGCCTGAATGACCTTTGTATTACCTGTAAATTAATTAACCGAAATTCAGTATTTGACGAAAAGAAATAAGTGCGTACCTGTGTCGTTTATATTGGCAAAGGCCGTAAATTTCACCGTCAAAATATAGTGAGTGATAATCCATATAAACGTGCTTTTCATTTTTGTTTTGAGTATTATTTTCCACAATTTTAGAGGTGTGCATGAAGTTACCCGAGGTAATTTTACGTACTCCGAATTATTTGTTATAACATAACTTAAACTACCATTTTCTGTAAAAGAATAAGCGAAATTACTTGTTTGTCCATTTCGAATATTGGTACTACAAAACGAAGTTTTGGATATTGTCATATTTTGTTAGTTTTATGTAGCAATTTTCTTCTCAAATATACAAAATAATCAGCCGAAAACTGTAAGGTGTTGACTCCAAGTTATTAATATTTCAAGACACTGTGTGATTGTCATCAAAACTGTTTAAATAATATAAATAAACAATATTTTCAGTTCATAATACTTGTATGATAATTGGGATAAGTCGATTGCACTTCAGTCGCACGAAAACTGTATAATATGAGAACGAAAATAACAATCGAATAAATTATTCCTAACCCTTTATTGTTTGTAACTTAAAATAAAACAGACAAAAAAGTTTTCAGGCCTATTCTAATTATTTCGCATACCAACTCGTTCGACAACATAGTTGCACTGTGACTGTGTCTGCCTGTTAATACACAGAAATTGTTATTGCAAAATCTTTATCACTGATCAGTGCTTTTCAGGTAATTGTATTTGCAAAACTATAGAATAACAAAAACGGTACAGTTTCTACCATACGCTCATCTATAATAGAGGCTTGATGGCGCTTTCAGAAACTTAATTCTGCTGGATCAAATTCAGCTTTAATCCAGGATATTATCGAATTACAAAACTATTGGTGTCCAGTAAGTGTGACGAACCGTAGCTATCCACAATCGTGTCTAGTCTTCTGTATTTCATGATTCCTCCTGAAGTATCATCGCTAGTGCCTTAGAAAAGGTTGCTCAAAATTTTGTTTTTTAAAACACCAATATTCTGCTGCGTAGTTGGAAAGATAGCGTCTTGTAAACCATGCAAACGCTTCCGCTATGCATCAATACAACGGTCATCTATCGCAAGCGTCGACTGATGCTCAATCAGGAAAGCAATTGTAAGCAACAGGAAACGCGTATATATATAATAAATAAGTATCTTTGTCTTGACAACTGTTAAAACGGTTTTTATCATTAACATCTTATCGAACTTGTGGTTGGTTATCCACCAGTTACAAATTTCTGTCTCAGTGAAAAAAATTGCATTTATTAAATTCTCTAAATTTCCACGCAATCAATAGCGTGTTTTTGAAAGTGACCAATGCTTAACTAAATCATCTGATTTTTCCATAGGAACCGTAGCCTTGTGCATAATTTCATCCTTGACAGACTACCTAATGCACATATCACCGCGTGTAGGGCAAGAATGTCTCCCAGGGGCTGCAAACAACTGCGGTGAGGAGTGATTTGTAGGCGTAATATTTCAATTCAGGACTGCCTTGAAAGTTGTCATTTTGTCAATCAACTCTGTAACTTTGGTGAAATAGACGAGCATGTGTGACTGTCCATAGCTGACCCTCGATGACAAAACGATGCTTTCGTTGATAGAATTGTATTCTAGCAGGTTATATCCACTGCGATTATAGCTCCTCTCGATGACAAAAAATTGCATTTAGTAGGTTTATGTTCCGAAAAACGTGTGCATATACAATCCAATATCCTACTCATACGGTCATACCTATTTATAAAAATATCACTTCAATCGACACACTCGTTTCTTCATTTAAACCTATTCTATATATATTATTGAAAGGTATAAAACTGTTAAGCATACTTCTTCGGCATTTACCTGTCTAATATGTAATTTACATTTGTAACATTGATCGTGCACAGATTGGAGACGTAAAACATACATTCAGACGAGTGATAAATATAGATACGTATTCGTCATTAAGACGTACAGTAAAATACAACTGATTCAAAGTAGCCACATATTTTATATTCCCCGCGCATAAAACTTATTTCCCCCTGTGTCCAGTCTTAATCTGCATAATTCTTACGCACAGCCGAATAGAATATAATTCATACCGACACATTTACTGAAATAAAAGCCTGACTTCTGTTACAGAATAAGACGTCGTTGGCTATAACACTGAATGGAATTTAAAATACAGTTTAAATTTAGAATACTGTTCAGAATTTAAGGTCATATGAAATCGATATGCTGGTGGTATAGGTTAATCTGACAACACTACATGGTACATTGTCATGTCAGAGTAATTTTGGTTAACTTCATGTAAATGATCTATACTAAAGACACTATCACATTTTAATACGCGTTGTTGAAGACATAATTTATATACGTGTCGAGTAAAATTGATATATACCAACAACAGTTAATATACAGTATAACTGAGACTTGATTTGGTACTTTTTACCAACGATCAAACTATGAAACCCTTAGAAATTTACTTGTAGAGTAATGTACAGTACAGTATTGTAGTCGGAAGCACAAGTCGTATTTGGAGTTGAAAAACCTTTACTGTTGTGTCCGTAAGCCATGTGTCCGTAAGCCAAGTAGTGTAGCGAGTACATTGGGGTAGTCACTGTATATTTTAATATTTTCACCACGTATTGATAATAGTGCATGTTATTCGCCTGAAACAAGGTCCTTGCTCTAGTTTATTTCCTTCAGGATTTATTTCCCTCGCTCAGTGTTGCTTGTCTTGAGCGTTCTTTGTTAGTTAGAAATTTGGTTTCATCACATAACTGCATTAAGGTTTTAAGTGTAATTCGCTACCTGTTACTTGGACCAATTGGATTGTGCATCTTTACAATATAAAAACATCGGCATTCAGTACATTGTGTGCTTATTGAACTCTGAGGGAGTTCAGATCGGAGTTACACTCTGTTAACGTGTGTTCAATAACACGGGGGTGTGGACACGCAGAAAGGATCAATAGCCCCTATAGTAGTAATGGCCACTTCTATAGTCATAAGACGTGAAAATTTGATAAAGTTCATCAGAAAGACGTTTTGAAAGTTTCTTTCATTTAATTGCTAACAAAACAACAAAGGCACTTAAGCACAATAAATGGTAACCGAGCGGCGTTTCCATATTAGTTTTCATGAAACTGAACTTCGATGTTTCGGAAATTTTAATATAAAAACAGGTTTGCTGGGTGTCACAAACACCGATATATATGTCGTTGATGGGCACTGGTGTGCATTGAGTGCTTGACTACCTACTGAGAAATTCTCAGAACCAAACTCACTAACCATGACAACGAGATCAGAGTTGAAATTTTTTCAGACTCGTATATTTCAAATAACTTGAAGAAATTCAATATCGCTTCAATTCAATATATTTGAAGACGTCCCGAAATGTTATATATACAAAGAAGATATCTTTAAACAATTTCCAACAAATCTCAATCTAATCGCTATTCTATTCAAAAAATCCGACCCGACTTTAAACAACTTTTTCTAAGCTAAATACCAGGTTATTCATGGTCCTAAGTTTTAACAACAAACAACCTTCTACAATCTACATCTTGCAAGCATCATCATATATTTGTAATATATACTTTTGACAATTCCTCAGCGATTCGCATCTGATATTGAAAATATGTGAATATGTTAATGGAAAACGTGAAAACGATAGTTCAATACAAAAACTATTTGATGCCCACAGACACAGATTACGGGATTCGGACGGGATATCATGATCACATGATTTCGCACTACGGACAAACTGACACATTCTGGGACGTTAGGATACACTTTATGTTTATGACAACAAAAATAAGATCTAATGACCGATTTTCATGGAAGAATTCCTCCGAATATAATATAATAACTTATTTACACAAAGGCATTCGTTTACTATTCCATTATCAATTTAAGCTTAGATTCAGCCTATAAATTTCAATCTGTAGACGGGAAACTAACGAACAATATGGGGAGGAATGTGAATACAGAACGAGTAATGACAGTTAAATACAGTGATGGAATTTAAAATTTCAAAAACCGGCTCCCTTTTGTATCGAACTCACTAAAAGTATGGGTTCCCTCATTTTCGAAAACCGAACTTATAGCTGTAAAAACAAGAAGCGATTTGACTAATATCATAACATTCCAAGAACGGGTTAGGACTGATTGTATATGATATCCTGAATTCGTGATAATCTTAGGTCAGGAGCATTTATACAAAAGAAATATACTTACATTTGCCACTCAGCATAAACATCTTGTATTGGAATCCCATCTTTGCATTTTAGTTTATCGTTGCAAAATAATGTGTGAAACACCGTTTCATTTTCAAGACATCTCGGCTTGATCATTATTACCTCGTGTATTTCTGATCAAAATGAAAAATACAATTGGCGCTCACAGAATAAAATGTATTTTCAATTTTTTTTAGGTATATTGATTGCCTGAGAATGTCTGAGATATCGACTGAGGAATTAGCCTGAATGACCTTTGTATTACCTGTAAATTAATTAACCGAAATTCAGTATTTGACGAAAAGAAATAAGTGCGTACCTGTGTCGTTTATATTGGCAAAGGCCGTAAATTTCACCGTCAAAATATAGTGAGTGATAATCCATATAAACGTGCTTTTCATTTTTGTTTTGAGTATTATTTTCCACAATTTTAGAGGTGTGCATGAAGTTACCCGAGGTAATTTTACGTACTCCGAATTATTTGTTATAACATAACTTAAACTACCATTTTCTGTAAAAGAATAAGCGAAATTACTTGTTTGTCCATTTCGAATATTGGTACTACAAAACGAAGTTTTGGATATTGTCATATTTTGTTAGTTTTATGTAGCAATTTTCTTCTCAAATATACAAAATAATCAGCCGAAAACTGTAAGGTGTTGACTCCAAGTTATTAATATTTCAAGACACTGTGTGATTGTCATCAAAACTGTTTAAATAATATAAATAAACAATATTTTCAGTTCATAATACTTGTATGATAATTGGGATAAGTCGATTGCACTTCAGTCGCACGAAAACTGTATAATATGAGAACGAAAATAACAATCGAATAAATTATTCCTAACCCTTTATTGTTTGTAACTTAAAATAAAACAGACAAAAAAGTTTTCAGGCCTATTCTAATTATTTCGCATACCAACTCGTTCGACAACATAGTTGCACTGTGACTGTGTCTGCCTGTTAATACACAGAAATTGTTATTGCAAAATCTTTATCACTGATCAGTGCTTTTCAGGTAATTGTATTTGCAAAACTATAGAATAACAAAAACGGTACAGTTTCTACCATACGCTCATCTATAATAGAGGCTTGATGGCGCTTTCAGAAACTTAATTCTGCTGGATCAAATTCAGCTTTAATCCAGAATATTATCGAATTACAAAACTATTGGTGTCCAGTAAGTGTGACGAACCGTAGCTATCCACAATCGTGTCTAGTCTTCTGTATTTCATGATTCTTCCTGAAGTATCATCGCTAGTGCCTTAGAAAAGGTTGCTCAAAATTTTGTTTTTTAAAACACCAATATTCTGCTGCGTAGTTGGAAAGATAGCGTCTTGTAAACCATGCTAACGCTTCCGCTATGCATCAATACAACGGTCATCTATCGCAAGCGTCGACTGATGCTCAATCAGGAAAGCAATTGTAAGCAACAGGAAACGCGTATATATATAATAAATAAGTATCTTTGTGTTGACAACTGTTAAAACGGTTTTTATCATTAACATCTTATCGAACTTGTGGTTGGTTATCCACCAGTTACAAGAAACCGTTGGAACCGTTTTTCCATAGGAACCGTAGCCTTGGGCATAATTTCATCCTTGACAGACTACCTAATGCACATATCACCGCGTCACTCACTGTATTTGCAATGTATATATTATTGTGTTCACTTTTTACACGAAGAATAGGTCGACAACATGCGATCAGTGTAGGGCAAGAATGTCTCCCAGGGGCTGCAAACAACTGCGGTGAGGAGTGATTTGTAGGCGTAATATTTCAATTCAGGACTGCCTTGAAAGTTGTCATTTTGTCAATCAACTCTGTAACTTTGGTGAAATAGCCGAGCATGTGTGACTGTCCATAGCTGACCCTCCATGACAAAACGATGCTTTCGTTGATAGAATTGTATTCTAGCAGGTTATATCCACTGCGATTGTAGCTCCTCTCGATGACAGAAAATTCCATTTAGTAGGCTTATGTTCCGAAAAACGTGTGCATATACAATCCAATATCATACTCATACGGTCATACCTATCTATAAAAATATGACTTCAATCGACACACTCGTTTTTTCATTCAAACCTATTCTATATATATTATTGAAAGGTATAAAACTGTTAAGCATACTTCTTCGGCATTTACCTGTCTGATATGTATTTTACATTTGTAACACTGATCGTGCACAGATTGGAGACGTAAAACATACATTCAGACGAGTGATAAATATAGATACGTATTCGTCATTACGACGTACAGTAAAATACAACTCATTCAAAGTAGCCACATATTTTATATTCCCCGCGCATAAAACTTATTTCCCTCTGTGTCCAGTCTTAATCTGCATAATTCTTACGCACAGCCGAATAGAATATAATTCATACCGACACATTTACTGAAATAAAAGCCTGACTTCTGTTACAGAATAAGACGTCGTTAGCTATAACACTGAATGGAATTCAAAATACAGTTTAAATTTAGAATACTGTTCAGAATTTAAGGTCATATGAAATCAATATGCTGATGGTATAGGTTAATCTGACAACACTACATGGTACATTGTCATGTCAGAGTAATTAAACTAATACGAAAGGCACTATCACATTTTAATACGCGTTGTTGAAGACATAATTTATATACGTGTCGAGTAAAATTGATATATACCAACAACAGTTAATATACAGTATAACTGAGACTTGATTTGGTACTTTTTACCAACGATCAAACTATGAAACCCTTAGAAATTTACTTGTAGAGTAATGTACAGTACAGTATTGTAGTCGGAAGCACAAGTCGTATTTGGAGTTGAAAAACCTTTACTGTTGTGTCCGTAAGCCAAGTAGTGTAGCGAGTACATTGGAGTAGTTACTGTATATTTTAATATTTTCACCACGTATTGATAATAGTGCATGTTATTCGCCTGAAACAAGGTCCTTGCTCTAGTTTATTTTCTTCATGATTTATTTCCCTCGCTCAGTGTTGCTTGTCTTGAGCGTTCTTTGTTAGTTAGAAATTTGGTTTCATCACATAACTGCATTAAGGTTTTAAGTGTAATTCGTTACCTGTTACTTGGACCAATTGGATTGTGCATCTTTACAATATAAAAACATCGGCATTCAGTACATTGTGTGCTTATTGAACTCTGAGGGAGTTCAGATCGGAGTTACACTCTGTTAACGTATGTTCAATAACACGGGAGTGTGGACACGCAGAAAGGATCAATAGCCTCTATAGTAATAATGGCCACTTCTATAGTCATAAGACGTGAAAATTTGATAAAGTTCATCAGAAAGACGTTTTGAAAGTTTCTTTCATTTAATTGCTAACAAAACAACAAAGGCACTCAAGCACAATAAATGGTAACCGAGCGGCGTTTCCATATTAGTTTTCATGAAACTGAACTTCGATGTTTCGGAAATTTTAATATAAAAACAGTTTTGCTGGGTGTCACAAACACCGATATATATGTCGTTGATGGGCACTGGTGTGCATTGAGTGCTTGACTACCTACTGAGAAATTCTCAGAACCAAACTCACTAACCATGACAACGAGATCAGAGTTGAAATTTTTTCAGACTCGTATATTTCAAATAACTTGAAGAAATTCAATATCGCTTCAATTCAATGTATTTGAAGACGTCCCGAAATGTTATATATACAAAGAAGATATCTTTAAACAATTTCCAACAAATCTCAATCTAATCGCTATTCTATTCAAAAAATCCGACCCGACTTTAAACAACTTTTTCTAAGCTAAATACCAGGTCATTCATGGTCCTAAGTTTTAACAACAAACAACCTTCTACCATCTACATCTTGCAAGCATTCATCAAACGTAGCTTCAATGGCAAAAACAACCTTTCTACCACCAGTATGTACGAATCAGTATGTTGTTATATACGATTCCACCAATTCAATCTTTTTTTATTGTCAAAAAAGAAAAGAAAATTGAATTACTTTCAATTAATTCACATAGAAATTTAATTATTCATTATAGTTGAAATGATGTTTGTTGATGTTATAAACAAGCTGATACATTCCGTAAGTTTCAAAACAGCAAGTAATGATGTCATAATAAAACAGTATTCAACGCAATATATATGATGCCCTTCTAGAGCTACTGTAGATAAGAACAAAACTCACTTGGGTACTTATACATTAGTTAATGTTTAGGGCGGCAAACAGCGGACGGCGTGTCATCGAAACGTGCAGTGCCAGCGGAAGCCACAAGCCAATAAAATGCGAAAAATTCCGATTCGTACTATTCTGCATAGAGTTTTGTTACCTGAAAACATTATTTGTAATATATACTTTTGACAATTTAAATGCGGAAAGGAAAAATTATGTTCTACGAGAAGGCGTTGGTTTACTTAAAAGGTCCCCTCTACTGGAATAATTTTCATGTATGAATATATTATATATAAAGGTCAACAAAATCAAATATAGATGTTCCTCGGCATACGTTTGCTGCCTTTGATGAGATTCTCAACAAAGAATAGATCTCCTGATTCCTAACTCAATGACTCGAAGATTGCCAAACCAATAGGGTGCATTTTTCTCATTGATGGATTTTGAAAATTGAATGTGCTTGCATTTCAGTTCAAATAAACTGTTGGCTGTTAGTTATGTATAGCGAATTAAAAATGCAATTTAATTATATATAATCTATATCAGTGATTCCATCAAAAAGTGTGCTTTCAGCTAATTCTTGTGATCACGATGTAGCTTGCAAGTTAGCGCAATTTCTCACCACCTTGATATTCACCTAAAAATCACTGGGCCACACAGTAAAATTACGTATACATGGCTATTTGTCCGTGGATTTGGATGATCCTGTTCTTAATATCTGAATAGTTTATTGAATAACTGCACGTTTATCCGATAGATAACATTGTAAGAATCTAGAATAGTAATTTTCAAGCGCGAATCGCACCACCTTGAAGAATTATGCACATTCTTCCATCAGAAATGAAACTGTCCTCGTAAATATTATGATGTTGGCATGCTGGGTAAAAAATGTTTCCGGGAGTAATTCATTCGCTCTATAGCATGTAAACAAACATATCATCATCTTCTTTTTAATCAAATTTAAAATATCTGACAATTTTGAATCTTGCGATGTTTGACTGCATCGGCCGCATGGCGCCTGCTAGTTTGATTTCAATGTTCTTCATGCAGGTAATATATAGAGTCTGTATACGTTTCGTACGTATACGTTCCTAAATTACGAACTACAGACTCCTGAGTGAAATACCAGATCATCAACACAGATGCAGTCTGGGAGCTAGATTTTCTTGATACATACAAAAAAAATTATATAATTTACATTTATGAATTTTGTACAAATAAATTTGAACGATAATATTTTATATAACACTACATATAGAACAAATAGTAGTCTCCGCCATCTCGTCATGAGATAAAAAAAAATTCTTAATTTTTTTTTTTTTCTAGATTGTTCCTTGTCACCAATCCGTCCTTACAACGTACTTTCTTCATCATTTGTTCTCACGTTTATACTGGTCGACGCGGTGAAAACAGAACTTGTCAAGCTTGTGATTTCATTAAATCCAGTGGTCACTTTCTTATATAAAGCATCTGGCAGGTCTGAATACAGAACTGGATTTAATGCACTGTTGATCGGTAGAAGCACGATTGCTGCGACGACATATGCAGTATTTGAAACATTTGCTCCTCCTAGTTTACAGAAGGCCATGATACAGATCGGTATCCAACAACAGAAGTCAGTTATGATGAGTCGGAGAATCTTCAGCTGCATTGCTGAAAATAACCGAAAATGAAAAAATTTATTAAAAAAAAGTTAGAACACTCTGAAAATATGAGGAACGAAAAAACATTTGAAATTTCTCTTACTTCTATTTTCATCGTCTCTATCATTAGACATTGAAGATTTTCGTAGACTTGTTTTTTCGCTTGATTTGATATAAATTGCGACGTAGGAGAATGCAACAAACACGAAAGCAAAAAAGTTGAAAACGTTAACAGCGAAAGAGAAAGGCCAAGCACGATCTTCTTGAGACACAAAAAATTTGGGGATGCAAACGCTGTCGACACTATAATACCTGAAAATAACAGAACTTGATTTACTGCAATCTGAAGATAAGAAATTACCTTTTTGTTACATTTTGGTATGGTTTTATCAAATCATCGGATCCATTTACAGGCAGAATTTATAAAAATATAGATCAGAAAGTATTGCAGCAAATTGTAACTATTTTGCCTTGGTTTCAGAAACCCTGAACTCTAGCATTTTTAACCCATTATTTAACTAAAACTGTGGAGTTGGAATGAAGTTACATCTCACACTCCTGGCTTCCAATTCTTTAAAAAGTAGCCGATTACTGGTTGACCAACGTCTTGAATCCAGATTCAGATTGAAAAAAAAATCGACATCGGCTACGACATCGCGTTGTCGAACATTCTTACTTCAACATAATGGTGTTCACACAGTTTACAGTGCAAAAAATGGTGATTATTCAATGAATATTTTACCCAAATGTTCTCTTAATCTTGAAATGTTCATGGTTAAAATACTTTTTTGATTCGGATTCAATATCTTTCCATGACTGAAAGTTGGTGACTGAAAACTTGTCTGGAATTGGAAACAAAATATTAATGAACGAGATTCGATTTTCTATACATGAAGATCTTTAAAATAATGATGTAGTTCTGCAAACTCGTCTATAAAACCTGTCCAAATATAATTTTGAGGTTATCTAAATAAACATATATTGGAATAATTCCAGTTACAGGACAGTATATTGTGGCTAAACTTATCATTTGACTAGTAAAAATTAAGTAAATCAAAAAAAATTATGAATTTTGCATAATTTCTTGCTCATATGTTTTGGATCAAATATATTTGATGTACATAACTGCAATATATATTTTAGTTTTTTTTAAACTTGTGGTCTCAAAGTAGGGCTTTTAAAGTCAATAACAACACTTTTCGAGGCAGAGGTCTACTAGTCTCATCACCTGGAAATGTCGTATTCGGTTTCAGATCATATGTAAGAAGTCTCTTAAAAAGTGTTTTAGTGTTGTCTTGTGTAACAGTTGCGTTTGAAGAATATGGAGAATACTCAAATTCTGCATGGCTGACGAACATTCCAGATAAACTTGGTGACAGCGGGAGTGTAGCAATTAATAAGGATATTCCCCAGGCAAGCAATATCATCAAAAATACAGTTTTCTTTTGTGGATGACGAGATGATTTGAAAGGCTAGATGTTCATAAATAGAAGTTAGAACTTAGTAGTTATTTGGCTGTAAGTGCGAATGAATTAATATAGGCTCGTTGACAAAACAGGACAGCGCAGTTTTATTCTTTGGTCGCGTATGTCAACCATGTATATATGGAGTGTGCAGAGGTTAAATTACCAATCTTTTTCATAATTTTTTACGAAAGAGTAACTGGAAAATTAACGTTTTAATGTAAGTATACAGACAATCGAGGACTTGGGTGTCTTCAAAAGTAATATATGAATGCCTACTAGGGGTTAGTGCGACTAACGCTCAAATGAATCGGGAATTGGATTAACAGTCCAGTTTGGGTCCTGGACTTGATTTAGCCTACGCCAGAAAAAAAATTAAAAAAAAAAATATAATGCATTTCGAATGTATTTGTTCTGTGATTGGATAACAGACACGTTCAAACATTTCAGCTTTTTGTTAGAAAAGGTTTACGAATCTTTATACGATCCGGTATGTAAACGACAATATATTTATAGCATAGCAATGAATAAAAAACGGTGCTTTCCGCATTCATACAGTCATACTGAAATGATAAAAGGTCTCACTCTATAAATTGAATATATTCGGCAACTTGTCAGCAACAACATTGTAATAACTGAAGTTTCGCCTGAAAGAACAGACAATACTCCCAGTATGGTGCATGTAGTACTGGATCTCCAAATTAAATCCTTTGAGCAATAAACTCCCTGCAAAAGAGTAATGATTGTCTGATTTCTTTTTCTTTTAATAAAACTGATCAATATCCCACGCATGAAAGGTTCATATTCAGCAATGTCAGTAAGTCCATAGTCCATGAATCAGCAATGACTGACTGACAAATTATTTATAAAGTTAGGTATAAGGTACATCATTATTAAAAACTCGCCCTGGGCAGCAGAAACAGAGATTATATTGGAAATTGGACGTCAGTCGGAGTGCATTCAAAATCAATCTTTGTTATTTTTATCTACCAAAGTTAACGATTTGAGCGGTGTATCACCTGCATTGCTAGTCCAGCAATTCCAATTGAAAAGAGATATATTCCCATGATCACGTCAGAACAAGCCAAGTTCAAAATCAACAATTTGTTTGCTACTATCATTGCCGACATTTTTCTTTTGTTATTCCTCAGTCTTTTTGTTTCACGAATAATAACAAGCTAAAAATAAATGCCGGTTTGCTGAATTACCAGACCATCTCACAAACGTAAATTTTGAATTGATTAGGCGAATATGAGAAGCCTGATGACAAGAAATTATAAAACTGACAATCTAATTTAAACCGCCTTTTCTTTCTTTAATCGAATTTGATTTATTAATATGTATTCAGGAAATGTCGATTACCCGGTTACTTCTTGGAGTTTTCGCTCGATCAAAATTTATGATTTTTCAGGCATGTTTTTAATTAAGCAACTTTGACCAACCGATCGGCATGTAAATGAAGCTTACTTGGTATATAGAATTGTAAATATTGGAACTCACAAAAGCACTAAAATGCAACAAATGTATGGCTCTGGCGACTCAATTAGAATCATTAGTTGAGTCGTCTTTTTCAAGATTTTAATTATAACCCGAGAACTAATGTCATTTGTTGGCATACTTGGAATATACAAAACAAATATAATTGGAAACAATAAATATATAGAAAACAATTATGATTTCACCCCGTTTCCACCAATAGATAGCAATCCCATGATCCAAACAATCGCTCTCAATATAGGATTCGCAACAAGGTCATATCTTGAAGAGAATCCGTCGGTTGCAGTTGATTGGTTAATTGTCGGACATTCATCACTCCAATCGGTACAGTCACCACGTCCATCAAATGTCTGAATTAAATGAATGACTGATATATGAGCTATTGTATTCTAATTCCTTGGAAAAATAAACCAAAGTATGCTACAATTATATACTTCTCAAGACAAAAACGGCTATCAGGAAGCGGATGTGACTACACTCCGAGACATCAAAAATTATTTGCAAGTCACAGAGTCCCCTTTATATTCACCTAGCTTAGATTTTCATCAAAATATTATGATGAACAGAAGCAGATGCTCTCTTATAATTTGTACATATTTTACCTGCTTTGCCAGAACAAATAATGGCTTTTTGTTTTCGCAGTAGAATCTGTCATCAGTGCAGTTCATTTCATCTGTTTCATCATCGCAAGCTATCCAGAAATCGCATTTGAGTCCCATATCGATGCTAACCTTCGAATATAACGTTTTACTAAAGTTAGTTAGATATAAACAACATATGATGTGAAGTTTCACCAAAGCCTGATATATATGTTTATTTAAGTTTATGTAACAAAGAAATAATTACGTTTAACGTCAAATGAATGCAATATACATCAAAATGAAATCTTCCCTTAATATTACGCAGATTAAGATAGTTGATAAGCACAGCAATCAATATTTCTCACACGTTTGTCACAAGCATTTTAAGGTGGCGTCAACAAACATTAATAAAAAACAGTAAGTAACAGTGAAAAATGTTTTGATTGACAGAAATATAAATTAGCTCCCCATCAAACAAAAGGAATTACAGTTGAAGGCATGAAAATCTAATTCACGCCACATGAAAATCAGATTTAGATTGAATCAAAATACTAGTATCCCTATTATACTATTGAGTTTATTTTGCAACCTTTTTCCCTCCAAGAGCTGGACAGAAAAATCTTTTACTGCCGCAAAGTTCTTTCGTTTCATCCGAGCTGTTACGACAGTCAACAATACCATCACAAACCTTTAAACAAAGTACAAGTTGCTCAAATTTTCGAATATTGAATCATTACGTTTGTATTCAGTGAAGGGTTCAGTGCTGGTACGCGTGTAGATTATGCCGCCATTACCAATAGCAAGGGGGTCCAAACCCTGGCACATTCCGTGTGGCCCGCAGAACAATTATACTTTTGGCTTATACTAAACCATTGGCAACTATTTGTATTTATTGGCAGAACATTTTTGAATGAAGTAATTGGCTAGAAAAATGAAATGCCTTTTGCAGACAACACTCAGCCGATAAGATAAGTCTCAACTTTGCACCTTAATTAAGCTCGCGCCGAGCAACTCCTTATTTAAAGATTTTCACGATTTTCAAGCGTGGGCCATCTAACAGGAGTAACGCTGACTTAGCGACGCGCGATCGAGTTTTTTTAGCTAGGTCCCGAAGTCCTAACTTAGACAAACTTGGTCATTCTTTGACGATAGCACAAGGCCTGTTCACGCTGCAGGTTATCAAATCAGTCAGCTATGACAATTGATCATCAAATGAGTCTCAAAAGAAAGTTGACATAGCAAAATCGTGAGGAAACGTATTCCCTTGCCCACAACAACGGTAAACCACAGTGTCTGGTGTGCTTCAAGTGATATCTGTCACGAAAGAATATAATTTGAAGCGACATTACAAAACCAAACACGAGATATAATACGGCAAATACCATGGTACTTTTCGGGAAGCAATTTTAAAATAACTAAAGGCTTGATATACCTTTCTTAAAATAAAATGAAAACGCCACCCATGCAAAATAACAACAGGCTGATTAGAACGGTAAACTCTCATTCTTTAATATATTCGAAGCAAGGAAACTCGCAATATTTTAATCACTTTTGGGTTTTTCCGACTGCGGCTTGCGAGACCTCCTCATCCTCAAAAGATTTTGCGGCCCTTTAACCCCGCAACCTTGCAACCACCCTGACCTATAGACTATAGTATAGTTGGATACAGTATAGGTCATCTATACATATTACCAACGACAACTAGAACAGCAACGTGAAAATTGTATATATATCTTTCAGAATGTTTGTGAAAACATTAGTTCTAAGATCTCATACCCAAGTTGGACGTTACCCACGACTTCTAATGCCGTTCAGCGCGAGTCGATGGGGATAGAAACGACTTATACAATCACCAGTAGGCGCGCATTCAAATGAAATGACGCATCATGTATTGCAGGGGTGGGCACACCGCGGCTCGCGAGCCGCATGTGGCTCGCCAGACTTTTTGTGCGGCTCTTCTCGCTAACGTAAATTATTATCCAAATTTCAACTAACTTTTTACTAAAAACTCCAATGTAAACTCTTTTAATTCATTAAAAGTTGTAAAGAAGTTTTCGTCGATGATTAGGACAAATTATGTTTTAGTATGAAAATCGCTGCAGCGTTGAATTTTGAAATTAAGTCAGTCAAGTCAGCAAATCTTTCGTCACAATGGCCAATGTTTATTGATGCGTCGGCGGTATTGCAGCTTGATTGCGGTTAGTTAGTCTATCTAAGTCACTGTGCGATATGTCCTCAATTAAAAAACAAAAGTATGAAGATGAAAACAGAGTTGTCAAGTCAGAATGGGAAGAAGAATAAGCATTTACCAGTCAGGAGAATAAACCTTTGTGCTTAATCTGTCATAAGCTACTAAGTCAGAATAAAGTCAGCAATAGTAAACGACAACATGAAACGAATCATGAAAACCTCTTACGAGGCTACCCTCGTAAGTCAGCTATAAGGAGCACAAATTAAATGAGCTCAAACCGTGCATATATTTGAGTATAGCTGCCTCGTTTATCTATTTATTGTTATGAGACTCTTGTGTGAATTTCTTTTCTGTTCATGGTATTTCGATAATATTAATAAATGCACAAATTCTGCGGCTCTTTTAAAGTTCTGACTTGCAGCATGCGGCTTTTATACTATAAAATTGTGCCCATCCCTGATGTATTGCATATATAATTTAGGCATATTTCTAGTTATAATCAGTACCTTGTCTAATTCTATACTTAATATTCCTTCCTCTATTCCGTCACACATGAATCTTTTGCAATTCACCTCGTCTTCTCCGTGAAGACAATGTTTTCTACCATCACAAATCTCTTCATCTACCGCCTTCTGATATATGAAAAAATAGAGAATTTAGATTGTTTTTCAACAACAGTGGGTGGTCAAACAGTGGGTGGCCAGGGGAAAAGGCCAGTGGTCATGAAGTTTGCTGCCTAACAGATATTGACGTTGACGCCAATTCATGACAAATATTGTGACCTGCAGTCGAGGCGTATTTAGACGATAAGGGGCCCTAAGCTGTTCCATTTGTGAGGCAGCTCATCACTGACGTCATAATAGACCTTTCACATAAAAATTTTAGTCACTGACAAAATAAGTACGCTAATCACCCAAGTAAATCGGTTAATTAGCAGTAAGGCATAACTGATGTTCAAAATTATCATTCAATTTTTGAAATAAAAGGTAAAAAATAAAAAAAAAAACTTAAATATTAAAAAATAAAGTAATTCTTAGATTCGTTGTTGCTATATATTAGTATTTTCCTAATTTTTTTTCAAAAAATGAAGTCTTCGTTATGGTAAAATGAAGCAATGATCACAAGGATCATAAGCGTTATGGACCTAAGTGTTGAGGAATAATACGATGATGTTATTGGTATAATGATGTTATATGGCCATGGTACTTTAATAAATTGATAGATAATGGCATATTTAAAAACTCTTTAGCACTTTCAGTTGTCGAACAAAATTTAGCGAAACCATAGGTTTCTCCGGGTGTCTCCAAAATGTCGTGTCCCACGTGCCCCACTTGTCCCACTTGTACCATGTTTACCACGTGTACCACTTGTATCACGTGTACCACGTGCCCCACTTGGACCACGTGTCCCACCTGTCTCACTTGTCCCAGGTGTCCCACTTGTACCACGTGCCCCACTTGTACCACGTGTCCCACGTGATACAAGTGGGACGCGACATTTAGGAAACTCCAGGACTTGGAAAACATTGTAAAGAAGCGCTTTCGGTTAACGTTGAGACAATTACACTACGATCGCGATCGACGATTGGTTTTGAAATTGTGTTATATTAAGTGCTACTGAATAAAAATAAGCCCGAAATTCAACTTCTTGGACATGGGCTGATTGGATTATAATTTTAAATTTGATTATGATTACTATTCAAGTGCTTTAATTTGTTACTCTGTCTTCAGAAAATAAAACGATTCATAGCTAAGAGTGGCATACTGGTATTTGTAAGCGCGTTTTTTATACTTCTGTGTGGTTTCATTACATTATATTTCAGTGGTTGTCCGTCCGTGACTTTGCTCCGGACGAGTTGCGTCCACTTGCGGACTGCACAATCTGATATAAGTGAACCGACATTGTAGGATGCTGTAAGATGGTATAAGTATTCAGTGGTGGGATTCAAATTTTTTGTTAGCCGGTTCCGTCACAAAAGTCATATTTATCAGCCGGTTCTGTTGCAAACATAACATTGACAGTAACCAGTAATGCTAACCGGTTCGCTGATTTCATAAAATTCCGCGAGACGGTTTTATAGAACCGGTACGAACCGGCTGAATCCCACTACTGTATATATTCCCTAAAAGCACTTGTCCGTCGCTACACGTTGATGCTAGTCTTTGCTAATAAGAAAAATATGGGAAATCACAATTCAACTTGCTAGCTCTTCTGTCAGAAACCATTGGCCTTGATAAACTACAGTGTTTGATACTAGTAACGCTTATTCAAAATACAAAAGCTTACTAGATGTACTGTTTCATTTCCAGCAGAGACTCGATCACACGGTACATAATAAGTTGGTACTCCCAATATTAATATATCAGTATCAATACATTGGAATATAGTAGGATTTTCAACGCAACTAGCTTCACATTCGTCAACGGGAAATGTATGGTCTTGATTGATAGCTATATATCCCCATGAACCCGGTAACATAGGGCAATCTGCTACACCGTCACAAGCTGTTCCATAAAAACTCACACAAGAGCCACGACGGGGGCACCTGAATTTAAAAAAAATATATATTTAAGAGGATATATCTATCTTATTAGGATATAAACTTTTACCTCAGATTTTTGTTAAGATAATTGGTGTCGCTGCCTGTGAACTTTATGAGGTCACTCGCGACTCCTGTCTCACAACTTAAGTTAGATTCCTATTGTGTTTGAAATGTTTTTTTTTTATGATACGTTTACTTTGTGCTGACGAATAAACGAGAATATCGGTCAGAGATCGAAGACTTATCGATCGAAAGTTAGGGGATCCCCCAAAACAGCGCTCTTACTTCATAGTGACACCTTGTGTCCCATCACTAATTAATCAATAACTTGCTAATTATACGACATATTTCGACAAAATCAATAAGCTTCTGGACCGAGATATGATGAATATACATGCAAAATAGGAACCAGATTCAATCTCGTTTTCGTGAGATATCGCGTGCATCTAACAGACAGACAGACATACAGACAGACAAGTCCTAAATAAAGTACTAGATCTTGTGTTGGTCGACAGATTACGTGACAGATTACAAATATAATGAGATTTGATCGTTCCAAAAGTAAGCTGTCACAAGCGGTTGTTGCAAAAAAATCATTTATATTCCGCCGAGTCTAGCAGCTATCACGTCATGATACATGAAATACAGAATTGTCATTTGACCCCCCCCCCCCCCCCCCATTAAGTAATAATTGTTGATTGATTGTATACTGAACCAGTTTCTGATTGCGTACTTATTATTTTTGTATGAATAAGAAAATGTAATTTTATAACACATCATACAACAACATACCTGCATTTCTCCTCGTATTTTATAGATCTGGAACATGGAGCAGTTCCCCGACAATAACTGTATCTATAGATGAAAATTCGGAATGTTGAATACAGAAACAACAAAAGGAATTTATAATGGACGTGGAGATGAGTAAAAAAAGAAATGTGATACCCTTCATCTTCTCGGCAGTCCATTTTTCCATCACAAACAGACTCTCGACTGATACAATATGCCCCAGAACACATCACGTTACCAACTGTACATAACGTAGATGCACCACCGGGAAATCTTAATGAAAAATAGATTAAAAGACGGGTCTCAGAAGCTTTTCAATAAATATTGCAATGCTTCTCTGCAAAAAATGACCTATTTATAATATTGTGTTACCGAGTTAGTGCATTATTACGCATTATTTACTTCAAAGTGTGTGCAATATTTACCTTGTAATAAATGGTCCTCCGTACGCCGATTCGGGCGCAGTGAGTGTTAAGAACATGAATCCCTGAATATAATAATGGTTGACATTTTATTTCATATCAATATTCAACACACGGGTCGTACATTTTAATTTAATAAGAACGATAATGCAAAAATAATGTTAAAAGCTATTTGTTGAACATATATAATTTGAATGAATAACAGATCAAAGTGGTGGTCTAATAATGACTAGATTTAGTGGCAATTGCAAGATCAATTGACAACATAAGACCAAGCATACAAAGAATATGAGATATATCTTTTCTCACATTTTCATCATATGAAATCACTTGTTCGCAAATGCTAGGTCGATCTTTATCACAAAGACATTCGTCAGATAGATCAGGACAATCTATTATTCCGTCACAAACACTTGTCACAGCAATTACAGTGACGTCATTCAAACACAGAAAACACTTTGAACGAATAAGGTTTTCTCGGATCTGAACATCTGTCCTGTATAATTAGGAAGGTAATATATCGTGTGAAAAAGTCAGAAAATATCCAATGGAATATTGTCAATTTTATATGAACGCTTGAAGAGCTCATTACACATGAGTGCATGCTTTTTTTTCTTCTGTGAGCAAGTGATTATTAAAATCACGTTGATGGTTGTGGCTTTATGTTTCATTCATTGGTAAGATTACTCTCTTTATATACTCTCTAGTTTCATAAAAAATGGGTCAGTTACCACAAGTGTGACACCTTTTAAAAATGTATTTATTCTCGATTTCGTAGTGACTGTGTACCTTCCTTTAATTCAAACTAGTTTCTGATATAAAAAAAAACTTTTTATTGATATATCCACAAATAATCCCCATTAAAATGACAATCTATCGCGGTAATTTTTAATGCAAAGTAGGTATAAATAATGAAAAGGATTAGAATTGTTTTGAGGAATATATATAAACTCACCTTGAACGTAGATTCAGAATGAGTTGAGCTTCAAAACATAGGTCTGTGCCTCCATCACAGTCTGCTATGTCATCATGAACTAATTGTTGAGGCAGGACACAATCTTTACCATTTCTTCGGCATTTGAATCCGACTCCGTTATTCCATTCATGATCTTCTTCTGTGCAACCATCACAAGGATTTGCATTACATACTGTACTCCGAGAGACACACTGTGAATTCTGAAAGAATTTCCTACTCTCACTATCTTAATTGTAAATGAAGGATATAGTTTAGATTACATTGTTTGTCGGTTTTTAAAGTGGTAAGGATCGAATATTTTCAGGTAGCAGATTATCAACCATGCTTTTTATGACAATAGCTATATCTTAACTATATTCGCAATATCTCTCACCTTGCAACTATAATGAGAATCACATTTTGCACCGCATGGATTCATGTTCGAACATATGCTTTCCTCCTTGCATATTGATTCCTTTTTCACCACACAATATTTCGGTTTATTGTATTTTGATATCTCGCACCTTATATTATAACGAATATTATCAGTCATTTATGCAATAACATAATAATAATTTTAATTGTGGGTGTGTTAATATTTAAAAAAGGTTCCAAGCTATAAAAAATACTTACAAAAGCCACTCGGAAAAAACATCGTCAATTGGTGTGCCATTTTTACATTTTAGTCTATCACCGCAGAATACTTTATGAAGTTCTGTTCTATTTTCTGAACATAGAGAAATTTCATTTCCGCTTGATGTTTCCACTTCTGTATAAATAAAAAGGGTGAGAACGGAAGCTAGTAAAAACAAACTGTAGTAGGCTTGTCTCTTCACCACTCCAAAATTGAATCGCGAACTCATGCTAAACTCGAAAAAGAAGATGCACACTTGTTTTAAGTTCAAACTAATTTTTTTAAATGAGGACTGCAGTTGGCAAAAAAAATGACCATTATTTTTGGTGGAGTGTGTAATCTTTTCTGTATGAGAGAGACCAGCGTATCAAAATTGAACTAACTTAAAATCAGTAAATAATTGGATATGAGACGGACAGGAAAACGCGGCATACCTGTTACGCTTTTATTAGCGAGAATCGTAACTTCCAACATTGCAATATAAAAAATCACTGATATGAGTTTCATTTTTATAATAAATAGGAAAATCTGAAGTCTACTATAATGTTCCGCTGCCAACACACAAGTTAAGTCGAGTCTATCGGTCGCCCTTTGCAAATATAAGAACCTAATTCGGAAAATATCTCCTAGGACCAATTTATGAGCTTAGCGCAATGCATAGATAGTTTTTCTGAATTTGACAAGGTCCCGATTTTTGCTTTTTATACCATTTGTACAGCACTTAAAGTTATTCTAATCTCATTAGTGATTTATTATAAACGCATTTACTTGATTTTATATACTCAAAAAGGTAATTTGGGCTAAAAAATTGAATTTGTGTTCGTGTCAAGAAACATGATATAAGCACCTCACGCCATATTTAATTGGTTAAAAAAGGAAATAACATTTAATAAGTAATCCTTGATTCTTTCCATTCAAATGAAGACTAACCATGCGTAAGAAGTATGCATGGCCGACCAACGAATTATACGCATATGGAACATTGCGTCCAGTGTTCCCTCTAAGCTAAGGTGTGCGCGCGCACACAGCTTTCAGAGGCTGCGCACACGCATAGATTTACTGCGCACAGACGTATTTTGATGTAATGTGACAATATGCTCGATTGGCAGGTTGAGAAAGTTTGTTGTTGGCCCACTTATTACCCGGTTAGAACGCCAAAATTTCTCCATTGGTTTTTGCACAAATATTAGTCATTTCCAAAAAAGTGCGCACACACCAAAATTTCTGCGCCCACATACTACAAAAAATTAGAGGGAACATTGATTGCATCAAATGCACAACATATTTTTGCATTTATTCGGTAGCCATAATCGGTTTAGGTCTGGATGAATAAGCTGATCTGTATATGGACTCTTTTCTGATTTAATAGACAAGAACGCGAAATCAAATCTGACGTCTTCATGTTTTGCTCAATGTCTATCTTTTGAGCTTCCTAATCAACATAAACGAATCTTAGTTCATTTGAGAATCTATGGATGTTTCCCCGAGCATTGACTTCCTTGTTTACTTCGTAACATTGGCCGATCAGCAAGATGCAAAAAATGACGTAACAATGCCATTTTTCGCATCCGCTCAGACACTTTTCTCACTCAAACAGATTTTCAGGCGTGGTCGTAAATATTACCTAGTTTTCGCGCTTTTGAATTCTATTCGTTAGTTTTCAGCGGTGTTTCGGAAATTTAAATATAAATCAAATAATTCAACGTTCACTTTGTCATAGCGCATGATTGCCACCAGGTATATTCAGGTCAAAGATAAATAAAGCACAACCGGTGTATAGCAAACGATATAATTTGCCGACGTTTCGAATTTCTATTCAGAAAAACTTCATCAGGGCATGATATGAAGAGTACACTATCGTATATATATAGAGTAGAAAAATAAAATAGGTAGTAAAAATTAAACGGCGTGAAAAAATGAAAAAAATGGACAATATGATAATAGAACCGAGTGAATAAGCGCAAGTTCAAACAATTACGCGACTATCTAAACAATGATTTATATACATGCGGGATCAATGTAGTTTCCTTATCGTTCATTGAATTTTTCTCTTTGTTGATATGATAAGATTCGAGAAATAGTTTTTTTCTGTAGTGAATTTCATGTTTCAATATCCTGCTGTTATCCCAATCAATGTTGTGGTCAGTAGAAAGGGCATGTTTCGAAAGGCCCAACAAGAAAAACGGCGTGGTATATGCAATCCCATGCGTTGATTGTTGCTCTATTTACATTGGAGAAACGAAACGAAGTCTAGAAACTAGAAGAAAAGCACATCAGCATGATGTAAAACAAAAGAAATTTGAAAAATCGGCCCTTTCGAAACATGCCCTTTCTACTGATCACAACATTGATTGGGATAACAGCAGGATATTGGAACATGAAATTCACTACAGAAAAAGACTATTTTTCGAATCTTATCATATCAACAAAGAGAAAAATTCAATGAACGATAAGGAAACTACATTGTTCCCGCATGTATATAAATCATTGTTTAGATAGTCGCGTAATTGTTTGAACTTGCACTTATTCACTCGGATCTATTATCATATTGTCCCTTTTTTTTCATTTTTCACGCCGTTTAATTATTACTACCTTTTTTATTTTTCTACTCTATATATATACGATAGTGTACTCTTCATATCATGCCCTGATGAAGTTTTTCGAATAGAAATTCGAAACGTTCACTTTGTCATCTTAGGAGTTTCAGTTTAATCGTAGTAGTATATATTTACGGTCCAATTGCAGTAATCGAAAATTAGTGTAGAAATAGCGGTGATATTTGTTTTTTTGTATTTGTTTTGTCACTTGTATATTTGTATTTGTTTTGTCACTTGTATACAATTATTTATTGATATTCCTATATTATTTTATTTATTCTTTAATTATTGATTAATCCACATTGTGGAAACATTAAAAAAAAAAAAAAAAAAAAAATAGCGGTGATAAACTAGGCCAAAATTATTCACCGGTACCAGTACTTCTAAAAACAGATTGTTGAATGCTATGCAGAATGAGGATTTGAAACTAATACCCAATTTTACAGGCGCCAACTAGCGAAACCACTCTTAAAATAAGCACCGAAAATATTGCAATGGCGTCCATTAGATCAACGACTAACATACCGATTAGATAGAACTTGGAGCAATTACGATTTCTTCTCTTTTTGTACTGCGAACCCCATTAAAGACATCAATCCGCTTGTAACCTCTTTAATCTTTTGTGTTCAAGTTCTTTCATCTTTTTAATTAAATTTGTGCATACAATAACTGTCTGAATTTGCATACAGTGAATAGTTTTTTGTTGTAATTTATTCCGTGGAACCGTTGTCATTTGTTCAAACTGGGGCACAAATATTGTGGAAGCGTTGCTGCGTTTCGTAGTGCTTGGCTGCCTAATAGTACAGTAGTACGGTATTTCTTATTTATTTAGGAACTACCGGTATACAGTAATTTAACGAGGTTAGATTATTTGTTCTGTCTCTATACTACTGCTGTACTGTACTACCTGATCTTTGAATTTGGGAATTGTGTCACTAGTCTGCCGACTTCAAAATGGATTTCGTAGGCGTCAGTCAGGTCACCCAGCAGACAACTGACAAGGATGAACTCTTTGTTTGTCCTTTCGACCCCATACATAGAATATCGGCAAAGAGGTTTGTCTATCATATTATCAAATGCCGGAAAAATCATCCTCACATTGAAACGGTTAGTATAGCTTCCTTTACATTTCATTATATCTCTAAGATTATACTGTTAAACTATACAGATATATTAATTACAGAATTGTATCTGTGTATCTTACAATTCTCAATTTAGTATTTTATTAGCTTACATACCGGTAAGGTACTACTGGACTAAAATGTCAGTGATGTTCACCTATTTCTGTATTTCAGTAGGCTACTTGCACCTTCAACATGGACTTTAATTTTTAAATATCCTACTGCACTAATATTTGAGTGAATAGACTTTTTCAACATTTCATGCCATCATCGGCTGTTCATAAATTTGAATCTCAATGATTTTGTAGATACTGCTAGAACATTGTTTAATAATCATGGCTCAAAATTCACAGATTCACCCTCCATGCCCATTTTTGTTCAATTGTGATCTGTTGATCATGCTTTGAATCAACCATACAATTTCAATCGTTGTTTCTTTGATTCCAGGAAACATGTCCATTCAATGCAAGGCATATTGTGCTGAAGCCAGATATACGACACCACACCAGTATATGCCCAGACAGAAAATTAGTCGAGCTTGAACTCAACAGTCTTGGTGAGATATAAAATATTTAAATAGACCCATTGAACTACATCGAGTTTTGGGAATCTCTACTGAAGGTACTTGAGACCTATGCCCTCTATTCCAATGTACTTAATTTGTAGGCTACTCTGCAGCCAGATATGAAGATTTCCGAATGCCTATTAAAGATCTCGCGATTAATAAAGCGTTACCTTACCTTGTATGATAAACTCTTGGGCTCTTTATTTTGTTATTGTTCAGTAATTGGCTGAAAACGATATAATTATGTCTCTCTTTGTCTCAGCTTTTTGCCCTTATTATTATAAAAGTTATTTTTTACACTCTTTTGCTAGCTCTCATATATTCACACTTGGTTGAAAAGGTTTCATCTGCAAATTGCTAATTTTGTAATTTTCCAATATGTAGCCATGTGTCAATCAACATGAATACCGTAATTGATTTAATTTATCTATATTCCCTTTCATCAAATATTAGAAAATTAACATTTTGACTGACTGCTGTTAGGCATTTCAACTAGTCTTTGAAAGCGAACCCGGTAAATTGAGTTTTTTTCTAAGGATATTGTTTACCATATTGTTGAATGATCAATTACGGTAGATTGATTCTGTCACAAAACAATGTGCTTGAAATCGGTGTTGGGTCGTTAGTCTTTCAATCGAGAGTTATGAGTCAAGTCGAGCCACATGTTATCCCAGCAAATAAATAAATAACTGGATACATATTTACACAAATTGAAACTTCCATTTCACAGACCGATTAGAACTGTCAAATGATCAGTTGACAGTTTCTTCTGAACCGTTGAATTTTGGAGATGATGAAGACTGGGACCAGGAGGTATTTTTTCCTGTGGTGTATGAACAATGTGTTTTTGAGTTATGTGTTGACGTGTCATCAGATTTTAAACATTCATTATAAGTTAGCTATAACTTACATATAGTTATTTCAATTTAAGTATTTTGAATGATCTTTTAGAAATATTTGTACTTTACCATTCAAGATAAACGTATATTAGTGTGCAACAAGACGGGAATATCTTAGAATGGTCAAGCTTATTCCTGCTACAACTGATATGCACAGATCTACTACCTTAACACCATAGTACTGTAATTATTCGTCCTCAAACTATTTGCATCTTTTGCAGATTGCGCGGAATATAAAATCATCTGAAGAATTCCCAACTTTTGATCCTTTCTCGTCTGGACATTCACAACACATTGCTTCATTCTATAAAAGTTCAGGACAAGGTTCTGGTGTGAATAAACGCAGAGAGGCTATCAAGCAGATGAAAGAAAGAATGCGTCAAGAAGCGTATGTTTTATAAATGTTATTGCTGGAAAATTCCATCCATCTAAATATGAAATGAATAACTTTAATTAACATCACATATCTGATCTGTATGGGCTGACGTTTTGATAGTTGGCTAGCCTACTTTTAGCATAAATTTTCATGAGGCGGCAGGCACATTTCACAAAATTAAGATACATAGTGTACAATTTTATGAGAATTTTATGATTGACCAGTAATTACAAGTGTAAGTGTATGTGTATGCACTCACAACTACATTGTTATTATTCATACCAGGAAAAACTTGTACAATAATGTTCAATGTTTTTTATCATGGTGTATATAATATAATATTTTAAAAATTCTGAAATAAGCCAGAATAAATAGTCTCTTGAGCTACAGAATGCCATGTTGAAAGCCTCTAAAATGTAAAACGAGAGGGTATATGTGAATATAGTCTACTGTTTCGTCAGTTAAAAAGCAAAATTCTTTGCAATATGGCCACTGTGTTCTTATGTAAATGTAAGAATATATATTTCAAAGTTTTGTTTTAATAGAATATAACACCACATATTTTTGTATATTATGGTGATGTCTTGTGTTTTTAGACAAATGAATGTTGATCAGCTTGTGCGTCGACCTTACTTTGATACTTCGGATCAGGGAAATCATCCAGTATTTTCAAAATCTGTGGCCCATCCTTCTTCATTAACCAATCACAATCATGCGAGGGGTGATAGGTATGAACATATTCATTCCATGCAGAAAATAGTTGTAGCCAGGAATGACATGCTCCACTTTCAACTCATTCCAATTTTGGATACTCCCGTTGTGTGTGTATCAAGTTAGGGTTAGCGTTAGGCCATAATTTTATTCTGATATTTTGTATTTTAGTTCGGGAACTGTCTGTGTTAGCCAAGTTTATATACCCCCTGCGGCCCTGCCCATCGGTTTCAGTCCCTTTACATAACTTGATGTAAAGTGGGGAACAAAATTAGTTACCTCCATATCGGTAAACACTACACACACTTTCATCTAACCTATAACCTCGCTACATCTTGAGTGGATTCGTGGCAATTGGCAAAGGATGGATAGACTAACCGAGATTCAACCTGTGATCTTTTAAATTTCAAAAATGTTAGACCATGCTGATTATATCAAGCCATCATTTTCTTACATTATTTTTCAGTTCTGACATAAAGTTACCTCCTAAACTTACGAAACAGAAGCCAAGACTAGCAGCAAATTTTAATATGCAACCAAAATTTTCCAATGGTAAGTTCATTTATAACAATACATTTTGGCATAAATTCCTTATTTGTGTGCATATTTTAAGAGGGGGTTTCTAAAAACAACTTTTAACCAGCACAACCCCATCCATGTTGAGGTACTTAGGTAATGAAGTCACTCATTTCAATACTTTGAATTGCATATGTATGGCCGTTGCTGGACTTTACAGTGCCAGGTCTAATACTGTACACATAAGATTACGAACATGTTTTTAACATGCGACAAACAGCTCATTCTTCACTTCATGTATTTTGTATTGCTGTGTCACCCATAATCATAAAGCTGCTTGAATAAGATGAAAAAAAAATTATATCTTTAAAAGTCACTTAATCTATTACAGCAATTGGCAGAGGTCGTCATCTTCGGGAAATGCAAAATGGGACAGGAGAACCAAGAGTTGGTGTTCAGCCTCCAAATAGATTCAATAATACTAAAGAAATTAATCATGGTAGGTCATGTATTATTTTTGATATGAATTTGCTTCATTAATGGCTAATTAGAAAACAAAGACGGCATCAGAAAATTATTTACTTATGTCAATTTTATTCCTAAGAAGATGACCCACCAAATGAGTAAAATAAAAAATATTGTGTGTTGTGTTTCTAACTGTGTATGGTACTTTGTTCTATGTTACCAGTATTAGCAGGGATGTTTGAACATGTCAAAATCAGAGTTTTTAGAAAAAAAAGATTAAGTCCAGGGTTACAAACTTTTGACATTCAAATCCCCGAGTGTCTTTTTTACACTTCGGTGGTAGAACATAATTCGTTCTGGATTGTTGTTCGAGTACTGAAACTTATTTTGTTATGAGAAACAATGGTAGTTATTTTATTTCGTTGTTACTCATTTTGAAATATTATCAAAATGTGTACCGAAATAACAATAATTATTTAAATCTGTACATAATAAAGATAAAAACATGAAACAATTTGTACGGCGGAATTTTGGACTAGAATTTTTTGGTCGACTACCAAATTGTTCAATTATCAAGTCGTTCGACCATTGAGGTATCAATTTATAAGTATGTTGTTTAAATATCATGAAATGCATGATAGGTATATTAGTATATGTATGTCTCACTGGTGTTCTGTGAAAGACCTACAGGTGTTTCGCATCAAAATGTTGTTTTAACTTTTCATTGATTTGCATATTTAATGATAACGAATGTAATCTTGTAATCAAAATATAATCAATTGCACAGAAGTTTTTTGCCTCTGAAATGCCCCTGAAATTGAGGTTTCGCTTCACCAAGAAGGTAAAAACCACTGTTCTACAGAAATTGCATTTATGGTTTTAACGTCTTTGTGTATTCAGCTTTCGGTCGGGGACGACAATTCCAATCAAATATGCATTCTACTTCGTCTCACATAGAATCTTTCACCAACAAAGTCACTCCTTCAACTCCAAATAGCAATGGTCAGTATTTGTACTAAAAATAAAATATTCAAGTATTTCAGAATTGGTTCATTCAAAATCAGTGATCTCAACTGTTTTATTAACATACGCTCGATATTGTTATGACTTAGCGCGAATTTCTATTCCATAATCATATGCATACCAGTTAATGTAATATGGTATAAAAATGTGTAAAGGCTGAAATGTAAAAATGCTTTTCTAGTTTTAGCCAAGACCTAAACTTTGCGACTCCATCGAAGAATGGTCAGAGACCACTAATTCATATATATGCGCATTGTATCTGTTGCTGTTAGACTGAACTATATAAGGTTCTATCAAGTTTATTTAACATTTACTAATCTCAAATTTTATCAAGGTGTTGAAGACAGTGGTTCATCAGCGGCAGAAGATACAAACTGGGGAAATGATGAGTTGGTGAAACAAGAAAGAAAATTAATCAAGTTATTGAAGCAGGTAGGTTTATGACACATTTTGACACATTTCATGATTCAATCTAAAATGATAGGAATCAATTTTTGTTGTGCTGTTTTTTAGATTAAATGAGAATGTACCTGGTGTTACCGCTTATAATTTGCTCTGCACCAATTTCATTCTGTATGTATATGGAGTTTTAATCTGATAATTTTACCCTTTTTCGTTACTGATGATTTTGTGTCGTTTATGCATTATTATATGATTATGAATTATTTTGGTGGTTTAGTAATACGAATTGCTATTCTAGATAGAGCATAACTAAATGCTTCTTACTTAGTGTTCGCAGTGGTGTTTCATAATTCCATATATTGCTCTATTTTAAAAGTTTACAAAGTGAAATGCTGACTGCGTTATCATACTTTTCAAGCCAATTTTCGTGTTCTTTCAGATAGATGCTTTGGAAAAGAAATCTGCTTTAGGAGAAGTTTTAGATTCTGAGCAAAAAGCTAAGATGTTACAAAAACAGGAGATTTTAACATCTTTGAAACAAATAAGAAACCAACTTATGGAGTGAAACCCTTTATTTAGTTTAAGGTCTTGCAACCAGGTGTTTTTTCTTGACAATTTTATGTTTATTCTTTATTTTTCAACGAGATTATTTTGAAGTAACTGGCGTTTATCTGATCCAATCCGCATCACTGCAAGGGAAAAGTCAGGAAAGCATGTATATTTGAAACTGTGTAATTTTATGATTTTATTTTATATAAAACAAGGTTTCATTCTGTAAATGTTAGTTTTTGTTTATGCTGTTTTATTTTTTTTTATTGGGAAACGATGTGCTGCTTTGCCCCAGAAACACCTTTTGTTGTCTCCAGCCTTTGGCCTGGAAATTGCCTATTTTTACACTGTATTACACTCAACGTTGTTTGCGCCTACCTCATCTATACGCCTGCTTGCCAATGTCGACTGCCATTCATTATATCGCAGCGCAGTCATTTTTGTTTTTAATTGTTTATAACAGGAAATCTTGCAATTTGCGGCCAAAGCCTATGTGGGTTGTTTTAGACATACCTAACTGTGTCTGATCAACTCTATAGTTGGTAAATTCTGACGATTTTACTTCCTCTGCTTACTGTATAGAAGTGAAATCTATTTATGACGTCACAAACACACGTTTGTTTTTATATGGACTTCTCCCATTATTACTCATCATGGGTGAATTTTGTGTATGAATATGTATATTTTATCATGATCCGCACCTTGATTTCATCACCTGTGTGACACTAGTTCTGTATTGATGTTATATATCGTCACATGCGTTCGTTGGATTTTAATGTACTGTACGGTTTTAATAAAGAAAAATTCAATTAATAAAGTGTTGCTGCTGTTTTTTGGAAAATTTTTTAGGGGCGTTGGTAGTTATTGATCGAATTTCCAACAAAAGTACGCAGCTGCGATAGGCCTATTAACAGAATGGTCAATGGAGTCTTACATCTGATCCCGCTGACGATAATTAGAAATGAAGAAGATGGCGATGTTTTTGGCACAAAAGTGGTTCATGTTTGACGATAGAGGTTATTTATAGATTCAGCAAGTAGTTACAGCTCAAAATGATTTTTGGCGCCAAATAGATCTGCTCGTAGTGACAAAATTACGATACACATAAAATTGTTTTTTATTTATATTTATCACTTTATTTCCTGGATCTTAAGAATTATATATATTTATATAAATCTAGTGCTTTATATTTCCAATATAAGTTTGAAACTTTTCATGTGTCTGTTTTTTTTTCTACTTGGCGGTCAATAGGCGCCCAAACAGCCACACCATCATCACAAGTTATCACCCGACCCAACCAAATATCCGAAAAATCTTTTCAAATTACCAATATATTCTGGACAACAACGAAAGACTAAAAAAAATTTCCCCAAACCACCAAGACTATCTTACCACAAGTGCCTACTCTAAGAGACAGATTAGTCAGAGCAAGATTGAGATCAGAAACACCAGTCAAAATAAATCTTGGATTTTTCTAATGTATGTCATGCAGCACTTGCCAACATTCCGAAGAAAGAAAAATTGCACCAAGCAGACACAAGAACGTAGAAATGAAAATTAATCAGAAAATTACTTGCAACTCGCAGAATGTCATATACTTTATAAGCTGCAAAAAGTGTGGCATGCAATACATAAGAGAAACGGGGTGACATCTAAAATATAGAATAACTGAACATATCAGAAGTATTAAAACCCAAAACAAAGATTTAGTGCCCATTTCAGCCAACCGGGACATTCACTTAAAGACCTCAGTGTCATTGGCATTGACAAACTAATAGTCCGGCAGAATCGGACCCATTGTTTTGGGACATAAAGTTTTTTTTATTGTTTAGATATAATGTCGATGACATAAATAATGATACCCAGGTGGGTGTGGAGTATATAATGTTGAGCATTTTTTTTTAAATGGATTTCAAGTATACGTACAAAGATGACGCACAACCTGAATCCTAACCTGGTACACATGCAATGTTCAGGTTATGCGCCATCTTGGTACGAATGCTTAGGGAGCACCTTTTCGTTAAAAACAATTATTTCATAACTACATGGTTTAGTTTTGAATACATAGTAACATTCCATTTCCTTACAATGTCAGAAATTCATTTTTAGTAGATTAATGGTAGTTTATTTCACTAATATAAGCCAAGATCTATCGACAGCATCTAGCCATTTTCTTTTGCGCTTGTCAGACTACATTTGTGTTGCTGCGGGCATTTCGTTTTCCTTCTTAAAGCTTAGGGACTTAGGAAATATTTTATTAGTTGAAATGGATTGGAATATTCGACCTCGTCTTTCACTCCGAACAAGGCCATGCAAAACCATCCACTGGTATCTCACGATGTGTAGCGTGTTTTCTTTTGGAAGAACCGGAACCTTTCAGATGCAGCATTGACTTTGGCAAAATTAATATATCCTTGTGGAGATAGAAGGTATGCGTATGCGAAACCGAGATGTGCACCTGTTATGCCAACATAGTTGAGTCAAACATTTTGATCACTAGTACATCACATACATTTTCCTGTGTGCTTCGGTTGTACGTAGTAACGCGCACATTTTTGCGAACATGCATCAAATTCCACTTGTTTATTGAGCTATAGGTTTTTGATGAGCTTTTGTGTATGATTTCATTCCATAGAATTTGTATGCTGTTTTAAAGAATACTAGTTTCAGCTTTTTTATTCATTCAAACCGCGTGTTGGAAGTAAGTTTTGTAATAGTGCGTGTTGGTTTTCAAATGGTTTATTTATATCCATTACTCGACATCCTTAAATAGGTGATGCCAGTAAATCTTTAATACGAAAAAATATGTATCATCTGCAATAATAAAAACAGCAGTACCTACTCAAATGACAGCTGGGGGATGGATACTCATATTATCTGCTCCATCGCGTGCCTCTTACCAGTTTGCATGAGTGCCAATTGGTATCTAAGCGTGGCGTGACGAATTGTTTTTAAATATATATTCCACAATAAGATTATTTGATGCATATTACTAAAAGTTACGCCTTATATGTCTTTTCCCATTGCACTATTCCTTTACTTATATTCAATAATATGACGCTCATCTGACATAGTTTTTCAAGTGTGTAGATAGGTAAAATCTTTTCCACGCTGTTCAGATGGGAATGCGCGAATATATCTGAGAATCGCTAATATTGGTTTGCAATGCGATGAAATTCCATCTTGGCATTTCTGCCTCTCGCAATTGCTGCGTATATTTATCGGAGAAGTTTTGTGGCGTGGTTATCAAATGAAGAACACATGGGAGTATTTTTTCCACTTCTTTACTACTCTCAAACCTTGACATTTTGTCAAACCTTTTTTCCATTCAACCTTTTTTTTGAAACATCCCCAACAACCACAATTAATTCTGTCATTAAACTTCCGAAACAAACAGATTAAAATCATCAGCAGATGCATTTCACCTAATCCTAAGTAGATATTGCTAAATTGATCTTTATTTTACCATTTTTCATGTAATGCTTTTTGGTAAACCTGTTATCTATCGTAAATACAGCACATTTGGCTATGTTGTAGTGTAACTTTTTTGGCCTCTCATTTTTGATATTTGTACTCAGATCTCTTGGCCTTGGGGCTCTGTCAAGCAAAGTTACATATAAAATATTGGTTGTAAGTTGCAAAACATGATCATGTTGTTGGAATAACTCGGCATTTTACCACCTGCATATATATCATTCATTGTCGAGAATAATAAGGAAATCATAAAATCTAAAACCCGTTTTCGTGAATTTTTTGTTGTAGTTGAATTCGAGGGACAGCATGACAACAGTCAAGAGAAGCACGGTAGCCTTTTATAGTTTATGACAGGGTTTCTTAAAATGGAACCCCGGCCCCCTTGGAGGCCACTGATCGGTTATCTGGGAGCACGAACAAACAGATGGAAATGCGAATATATAATAACAATGTATTTTTATAGAAGAGAAGAAGCAAAAGTGTTGAAAGTCTTTGGTAGTTTGAAAAGCATTGGCATGGAACATAGGAATGAACTACATTCTTTCCCAGGGATATACTATAAAATGTAGCAATTTTCTCATTCTTGTTCTCGTTATAGCATTATCTTTCACTGCATCGCCGTGATCATCCCGCTGCATAACAATCCTTGCTAGCAAATAATTGACTGTTCTCCGCCGGGTGTATATCCACTTGAACCACTGACGGCTGCATTAGCAGACTTGTATTGTTAATTGCAACAAGAGCGGGTATTTTGAAATAGTACTCTTTATTTCACGCGTATGTTACAACAGTATTTCCATATATATATAGGTCGCGACCCAAAGCTGGGTTCAAAAAATACCTAAAAGTTATTGATTTTTATTTCATAGTAAATTTGGTGCTTCCGTTGTTTGTGAACCAAGATGGCGCACAACCTGAACATAATATTGTAACCGGTTAGGTTTCAGGTTGTGCGCCATTATGGTGCACAGATTTGATGAAAAACACTAATACAAATATCGAGCCGTAAAAAAATTGCTCAAGGCTGCAAACTCCACACCCATGTAGAAATGATGGGCAATAACCCCAAGATGAATAATCACAAATAAAAAAACTTTATGTCTGAAAACAAGGTTGGGGCCAAAAAGGCCCCTTATCTGCCGGACTATAACTATTCCATGACCACATTTATAGAAAAAACAAAGAATCTTATCTCATTCAGCTCTTCGGGACACATGAGCCACAAGGGAAGAATATCAAGGAAGTTTAAAGCAATTATTCATCTGTCATTCATTGTGTAACTCATCCTTTGTTCTTAATGTTATTCTCATGGTTGGATCATGCATGGCCAGATATGTCGTCAACAAACAAACAATCAATATATTATAATTGACTCAAAGACGACTTTTCTGGTCAGCATCATCCAATGCTGAGAAACACAAAACAAAACACCATTGTTTAATTTGGACTTCAATTGTTTAATATGAAACAAAGAGAGATATCTCACCAATGTCATCGCATCTCAGTCACCCGCTGTTATTTAATCAAAAATTCACTGATTTTATTGATTATTTAACATGTGTAACTCCCATACTACTATACTGATTATTTAAATATGTATGTAACCGCTTTTCTTGTTATAGTTGAACTATGTATGTCTGAAGAAGTCTGATCTTGGTCAAACGAAACGTTACAGAAATATATTTGTGTTAGTGTGCAGCAAGACTCTTGAATCACTTAAGATAGTTATCTTTACTCTTGCTACAGCATCCTTACATTATATGCATACGGATCCGCCGGCACAAAAGCATAGAAGAAGGATATGTAATTAGTCTCGCAGAGATTTAACGATTGGTCATAAATTGATATTATGCTGTGCGCTAATTACGTCTGCAATGACCTGAAATTGTTATTGGTTTTCGAGAGGTATCTTCGCATCTGCACATAATTAATTCTGAAATTTTCTAATATTCTAATATAGTTTGTGATTGATTCTACTCTATATTGACGTAATGTATCTTCAAGGAACCATTTTATTAGCTTGGAGGAAACCATTATCTATGTTCTTTTCTCTCTTCGACTGAAACTAAATGAATTGCAGTTTCGTCAATAATAGATGCCGAAACCGGTCGATAAAATTTGTGTGCTCAATCTAACCTGGATCGAAGGTGAATCGAATGTTTATCTGCAATTTATCACTTATTTATGCTTGGGCGACCATTTCTCGTTCTGAGTTTTGAGTAAATCTATTCTCCAAATACAGTCGCTTTTTCCGATAAAATCCTTATCCAAAAATCATTTGCTTTTTAGCAAGCCAGGTACTAGGAATTTTGTGATGGGAGGTTTTCGATAAACTCTGATTCTGGACAATCTGCTTATCGGACACGCAGTGTTATTTTTAGTATTATCCAAATTTAATTACCTATCATCATGGATCATCAAAAATGGATCGAAGATGACCCCATATATGCAGTTATAACAAGTGAGTACAATAACACACTGGAATTCGTTTTTATGTCTATTATTGTTGTGTGAGTTCAACTGAGCATTCTAAACTTTTAGTGTCGGTTGTGTTTAATTGGTAAAAGATTAAGTCATTCTGGCATAACCCTTTTGTAAAGTTATACTCTCTAAAAGTCAAAAATAACCAACTGTTGAAACTGTTGCTTTGGGTGTCTACCTGTCGCAGCATAAGCATACCATGCAAAATAAATTGAAGTCAGTGAGATTGACAAGCTTTACATATATCGGAACGGGGAGAACGATTTCCTAGAGGTTTTTGGCTCTTTCGCTCGGTTGTCTCCACGGACCAGTTTGAATTACAATTTGAGCAATCCTCATCTGCCCGGTCATTATACCAATCGTGGCTAGATTCTTGATCTGATTTAGCATATAAAATAGCCGACTAAAGAAAACTCGTCGGATTACTGGCAACAAGAGTACCGTTCTACTGTTGTGTTATCAAATGCTTAATTGTAAATTTGAGTTTGATAAGATCATAGTTTGCCAATGAACCCTATTAATAATTTATCACTGTGCGACATCATCTTTGCTACGCCAGCGACGTGTGACTTCATTTCCCATACTATTTATAGAACTTGGTACTGAGGCTACATTTTTATTTTCTGTGCTTTGGGTATTATAGGAAACTACAACTTCGTTTTTTTTTTGATAGTTCATGCAGTAAGATTTTAGGATAGCGCTGAGTATAGTACAAAATCGAAGATACGACAGCTTTTTCAGGCTATGCAATGGGCATATATACATGCTCATTGGCCTATGCTAGTCAATTATGGTTGTGAGTTTAAAATGAATTGTACAGACTATATCGAATCGAAAGATTTTCCTTTCCAGTCGAAGTAACTGTAGCAAAAGCGAGCACATGACAAAAAAAACTTTTCAATGCATATCCCGCCATGATTATAATTAAATAATATCAAGTATGAAGTGTGCCGGTCTACCGGTAGACCTCCCCCCCCCCCCCCCCCCCCCCATGAAATGAAGACATTAACTTCTGGGCTGGCGTTGTCTTCTGGGCTCTACCAATACACTATAAACAAAAATATAATTGTGGATAATGACCCATTTATACTCATTATCCAATATTCTAATACAAAACTCAAATGTGAATCTTTCTTTACTTTCCGTAAGTCTAAACTAGTTTCACTTCATTTAAACAAACACAAAAAATGAAGAGATTGTTCGGAATTAAAGGTAAATCATTTACAATGTTCTCTATCATTGGCATACAACGCTCGAAATTAAAGTCATGAGGTATCTTTGTGCATTTTATCATATCATGATAGGGTTTATATATCGACTTCAAAATCTATTCTGTGGTTTTAAGTTGAACTTATATATTCGTAGATTTTAAAAATAAAGAGAATGGGCGAATTTAATTTAAAAAAAATACAAGTTTGCAATTACGTCGTTAAATTTTAATTTAAATAATTCAACAGAACGATCTAACAAAGCAATGTTTTTAATACTTCCAATATAAACGTCATCAACTCGGAAATAGATTTCATAGAAGTGGAAACCAGTAGTTAGGTGCTTTTGTCTCACAAGTAAATATATATTTTTAAGTAAAAATGAGCATAAAGTTGATACAAAACAAACGGTCCGTGTGTGATTTCGATTGGTAGGAGATAAAGCGAACAGATAAACCCAGCTGAAAAACTCTCTATTCATGCATCCATGTCGCCGTGCTTGTTCAAGCCAACTTAACCACACAATCATCGTCTTGTGTAAATATGTTCACTCAATATATAGATGCTATCACAGATTTTTACAACGCTGTGGAGCTGATTTTGAAAGAACTTTGTCTAATATATAACTAGTGAGCCGTATTGACTACTCGGTAAGGCTTGGTTTGTGAAGGATAGGATAATACAATGAGGTTTTTGAGAGTAATTAGATTTAGATTAGCTCATATCATTATTTCTTTCCAATTTAACTATTTTGTATGCTAATGCATTGATGAAGCAAGCCATTGTAAACTATTCTCCTTTCATCTTTTTTTTTAATTGGTAAATTTGCGAAAGTTGATAGAAAACATCATAAACATGCTCTAAATACGCTCGACAATTAGAGTCTACATTATTAAAACAGAAAGGGTTAGTTACTTAAAGATGATCTCAGGCCTGAATGGAATATTATTCGTTTATAGTTAGGGACTTACACAATAGCCATAACCTGCATGCTGCCTTAGTTCTTTTCCTCATAGGAAAGTCAAAAATCCATTAAACCTAATATGTTCCCATTTGTAGAACCTTCTAAACGCCAGCCTGTACCAGCTGTTGCAATAAACGGCGTCATGGAATCAGAAGTTGAAAAACTGCAAAAGCAGCTACAGACCCTTACTGATGAGGTATGTAACATGGATTGGTGTATTTTAGAGGAGATAGTCATGGGCCATGATAGATATAAAATATTATCCTATTTCAACATTTGAATTTCGAGAGTGGAACGTTCAAAGTGATATCAACATTTTATGCGACTTCATGGGGCCACAGTATAATGACTTGACTTTTTGACGAACTTTGATCTGCATAATTAGTAAAAAAAAACTTTTTTACAGCATAACACAACTTTAGAAAAACAAAAAGAAACTGAAGAAAAACTGAAAACATATGAAAATGGTAGGCTCAGATTTATTTGTACGTTCATGGTATCAAATTTTTTGTTGGAACATAGAAAATTTTCAAGCTCAAGGTGGCTTACACGAGATAAGCGTTAAAGCAAATACGAAACCACTGTTTGCTTAATTCGTTAAAACACGGACGAGTTCAAAGAATCAGTGGCCAACATTGAGATTCGCCTAGAATAGATAAACAAATACTGAATTATTCCAGTCGTTTGTTGTATTTGTCAACCAAAGCCCAAGTCAAATATATATAATTTGAACTTGATATTACGGCCGGAAGAAAAACCAAAAATTTCAATAGCGTTCGTATTTCAGTAAGACCTCAATTGTGTATTCGAATATAGGGAAAACTTATCACTGCCATTGCCATTAACACTCGATGTGTTATTATGATAATATTACATTTCAGCTGCCGAACAAGCCTATGCAGAAGTTGGATATATGCAGAGTCAGCTTCAAGATGAACAACGTTGTTTGGAAAAAGCTGTTCAAGTTGCTTCTAGGCTATACAGCAGAAATACTGAGCTCAAGGTGTGTTTAATCAACAAAAATACGATCATATATCTTCTACCTACGGCATGGTATGAACCGATGAATGAAATGTATTTGATATTCAATTCACAGATAAAATAAATCTACAAACAAGCTAAATTCAGCAGAATAATTGATGTATCACTGCAATATAAACAAATTAAAAGTATAGCAGAAAAATTGATTGTATATATATATGAGTTGCTGATGATGAATATGACTTCAATTGGCGCGTAAAATAACGATAAATTTTTTTTGTGACTTTTTCGAATTTTTTTATGAACTATTCCAATACACATGATGTGCTATTCTAATCAATTTATGAAAGCCACGTCACTCAAATAAAATGTATATATACAAAACAACAGTCTTATTGACTTTTAAAGCGTGTTGTAGTTCAACATAGATTTTCTGAGGTTGCGCGTTAAAAGGGACACTTTTCTACATACAAAATGGCACCGGGAAAAACTCGTGCCCCGTCATCACATCGTCAGATTGCATTACTGCTACATTCTCGCAAGTCAAATATATATAATTATGTTTCAGAGAATGAGTGTCAGACGAAAGAAAGATATGTTATCCACACGTCGTCAAAAATGGAAAGATCAACACGAAAAAAATGCTGGAACATCGTTTGGAACCGCTCAAACTATTAATGAATCGCAGTCAGAGGCCGCAAAAGAGCCAAACAACGATTCCAAAATTACAGAAGACAACGATATAGAAGAGGATTTCGAGGACGCGGCTGACGATCTAGATATAATTGTAAAATTAGGTTGGTTTCGTATTCACATAATTGTCAATGTATAGGAGTGTAAATATATGTTGAACTGATCTTTTACAGTATTTTAAGCGAGATCCACTGATTTTTAACACCGACATAAGCTGAAATAACGTATGTAATTAGAGGCTAAAGTTAAGCCGTTTAACAAGCATCTAGCTGATACATATGATCCACACGTACAGGTTCTTCCGATGATTTATATTTTTGTAAAAGTGAACATTATATGAAAGGGTTAACCATTAACGTTGTTTTTAGATAACTTTATTATGCCTAATTCGCTTCAGCGTTCATTGATTAATAATACATTTTCAGTCACACATAGTTGAATGATAATGGTTTCAACTATTACTCGTTAAACCAACCATTTTAACACAAGGCATTGGTCGCCACTTGTTTACTAGCCTATACTTATCGAAAAAAACTGTACAAAGAAAAATATTTGTTTTCAGATAATAAATCAAAAAGCGATCTTGAAAAAGCCCAAGATGAGATTGAAGAACTAAGACAACTTGTAAGTTCAACTTGTACGATTTAAACCAGTGGTTCTCAAACTGGGGTCCGCGGACCTTTTGGGGTACGTAAAGCACTTTCGGAGGGTCCGCGAAACAAATCTGTTATATGGCATATAGTTTGATAATACAAATATTGCGTGCTTAAATTTGCAAATACATATTTGTTGCTTTTGCAATCACTGCTGGAGATACTAATTCCTCACTTTTTGTTTTGAACACGATGCCCCATTGTGTGATGTCACAGAGCTGTGGGCCTGTGATATCACAGAGAGTTCAATTGGTGCCATTACAAGCCAACTATCTGCAGAGGTGTAGCTAACACTGCCTTTTTGCACGTTTGTTGGTAAGAGCAGGTGGGGAAGAGGTGTTTTCCACTATACCATACAACGCACTGATTTTTTGTTGGGATCTTTTAATGTTTCATTTTAGTGCACAAGGCCGCGAATCATTAAAAAAATTGCGAGAGGTCCGTCATAGAATTTTCTTTAAGAAGTTTTGGAACCACTGATTTAGACTAACCTACGACAACTGGTTTGTAGGAAGCTACTTTGGGAGGACCAGAACCCTCTCGGCTAGGCAGATATAGCTTACTCGATTTATTAATTCCCGATAAAATTAGATCCAACTTGATAACATAATTGTCAAATCACAGAAAAACGAGTACGTCCATAGTCACTTCACAAAATCTCTGTTTGATTCTTGTCACGAGTCAAACCGTTCACACATCCCGAAACCTACTTCATATTATCGATCCTTAAATCTGGCACAAATGACTAGAAAAAGCTTCTATTGTTTACAGAATGACGAGCTCTCTACAAAACTACAAGAACACGAGACCAAACAAGCTTCTGCCAACGAAAATACAATCGCACAGTTACAAGCAGGTAAATATTTACAGGTAAAATAAATGTCAGAAAAGGCACAATGGTGGGTCTCTTCGTTTCAAATGAATTCGGCATATGCTGAATTAGGCATAAATCCAAAACATGGTTAGAAGAGTGAGCTCTTCTAAAACAATGAGAGTGACCTTCGAACTCGACACCATAAGTTTGTCATTTTTCACAGCATATATGAGTTGACTCATGGTCTATACTCTATTCTATACAACTATTTTGAATAGCATTTTTTTTTGGTTGAGAGCATTTAATTCGACTAATACGATCAGTGTCGCAGCCAGGGGCGTGCGTGCCTTTGAGCATATGAGTAGCCGCCCCGGGCAGCACATTGTAGGGTTGAGTTTTTTTTAGTTTGGTGTTTTAAATAAAAATATATAATACAAATATTTCATTTCTACTTGACCTTTATTTTATTCATACTCACGTATAACAATACCATCTATACTTTGTTTATCCCCCGAAATATTTTTGACGTAAGGTATATATATATGAGGGGCGTGATTATCCGAATCTCGCACCGGGCAGCAGAAAATTTGGCACGCCCTTGGTCACAGCCCTTGGTATTCAACCAAGCTTATGGCACTAGTTCAACGCTTTTTATTATCTGCATATCGGATTTTCTATAACATTGCAAAACGTTCCTGAACACTGATACCGATATATATATATATACATATATTTTCAATTTACTTGGATATTTCAATAATGCTTTTTATTTTAAAATGATCAGTTATTAAAATGCAAGATGCAGAATTATCGGAACTAAAAGAAAAATACAATGTTGAATCCCAAGTTCGCCTTCGGGCTGAAACTTATGCTGCAAAAATGTACGGGAAAAACAAGGCGTTTCAGGTTTGATTCAATTCCATATAAAATTTGAGTTAAAAATTGTTTAGGTACCACTTTTAATTTATTTCAGAAGATTACTTTAAAGCTTTGTTTCAACTTTTTAGAGAAACAGTGTTCTAATAAAAAGTCGAATTTCCGGGTCCTTTGATGATAAATTTGAAGACACGATGAAAGAATTACAGAAACTGACAGAAGAATTAGAGGAGGAAAAAGTTAAAAACAAGCAGGAGGTAATTTAATTAGTTCACCACAACTGAAGCATAGTTGATGCTTCTGATCCATAGTGATGCTGCCATGAAAATTAGGAAATAGAAATAAACATGGCTGTGTGAGAGCAATAACACTGACTCTAAACTACGAGCCGGGCGTGTTGATTATTCATCATTAGAATTCTGTAACTGTGAGTCCAAAACATTCAAAATTAGAATCTGTTTTTATCTCAGAGGAGTTTAAAATACGTCCCCGGCCCCAACTCCAATATCAACAAAAGCAGCCAAACTACGACTCCGACTTAAAATTAGACACATGAATTATGAACTGGTCACATTCCAACGTTGTCGCCCTTTGGTGTAAATTATGCGACATTCCCTCATTTGGAAATATCTTCAACTGTCTTATTGCACACTGATTACATTAATTGAGAATGTAATGTAATTCATACCAGATTGCTTAGGTTAGTACTAGAGTCAAACATTCTAAATCGAGAATACAACGTTAGAAATTATTATATTTTACATGGTCACAAGAACCTACAGATTGTCTAACTAAATGTTGTTGTAAAGGATCCCAACAGCATTGTTTTTCTAATTTTTTATATAATATATTTGTCATTATATATTTCAATTTATGAATGTATTATTTTTTATATATTTGAAGGTAGCAAAACTACAAGAAGAACTGGAAAATGCCAAAAATAATGAGAAAGAAAACGAACTAGAAATTCAAATTAACCTTTTAAAAATTGAAATTGATCAACTCAAAACTGACAAACTAAAAATGGAAGAGAAAAATGAATCACTCATAAAAGAAATGGAAGAAGCAAAAATCGTCTCTGAAGAAAACCCACCTCCGCCTTCGGTTCCAGCGCCTCCTCCACCTCCCCCGCCTCCTCCTCCTCCACCACCGCCTCTGAGCTCTCTGCCGGGAAAGTATGTTGTATTCATCTTATTATAAATTTCTTTTATGTAGGTTGAAATCGACCGACTTGATTTTAAAATGTTTTTTGTTCAATTTATTTTAGATCACTATACGATGTAATCGAAGAACGAAAGGCCCAAAAAGGTGGTGGTTCTGAATCACCTAGGAGCAGAAAAATATCTTCAACCGTTGCTGCTCCAAGTGGATACGCTGATGCTATGGAAGAAATGATGAGAAGAATTAAGTCTGGAGGTGCATTGAAAAAGACGGGAACTCTACCGGCGAATATAACAAGCAATTCGGAATATAGCACCATAGGAGAGTGTGCTTCATTGTCGGATGATTCAAACAGTTCCGGATGCGCGGATGAAAATGAGTACGAAAACATTTATTCTCACATAGGGGAAGGCGAAAAAAAGAATTCATCCGCTAGTTCTCAATATCGACAAAAAGCGGCGACCATAGGTGGCTTTGCTACCAGGAAAAGCGACTTTCACACTGACGCAACCAAGCCTTCAATATCCACAATATTTAACTGGGCAAATTTGAAGCCGGTTAAAACGAAACAAAAAACAATTGACGGCGAAGTGGGAGGATCTGGAAATGAGCGCAGCAAAATGTTTGAACTTAAAAAGGTTACATTTACGGTTATATATATATATATATATATGTGTGTGTGTGTAAATTTAATCTCCTAATTTCATATTGCCATTGCTATTGAGAGTTCCAGCCTAATTAACATTCTCATTTTCACTAAACAAAATTTACTTTTAAACGAAAAGGAGTAGAATTAGGTCAGGCTAGTTCCATGTAACCACTTCTGCTAAATCGTCTTGACGAAGGTGGAAGTGAACAGTACACCACCAACACTCGTTGCTTATACCTATTATACTACTCCTGCCACAATAATCAAAGCCAAATTCCACCTAATCATGCAACGGAGAATGAAATGATTCACAATCTTATTTACGACTTTACTTTACTTTCAGGCATCTCCTTTCAGTAGGGAAAACGCATTTCAAGACAGCGTCAGGTTACCGAAAGACATCAATCCCGATTTGAAGAGAATATTAGAAGGAAGAAGAAAGGGAATAAAAAAGGCGCAATCAGAAGGAGAGAAATAATTGAACCAAGTCACGCCTTAATGGTGCTTAAAATTGGATGCTTATGTAAATGACAATTCAAGTTCTTGTTTTCTGAGCAAACGAATTTCTACCAAAATCGCTTGGTCTCATATAATATGCCTGGTTTTGGAAATTTGAGTATTTATTAATAATATAATTGTGGCATTTACTTATTCATAATCCCGATTAACTGTTCTTCTCATTCGGCTACTTATAGTTGCCGAGCGTTATCGAAAATAGTTATTCTAGCGCTGTAATTCTTTGCAGGTTTACAGAATATAACTTCTTCGGATTTTTTGTACAAATTTGAATTTCCAACGAAATCTGCATTTCAAACCCTAACTGGATAATCCCATTTTTTGTTTTTATTTTTATGAGCGGTGGCGGGGTGTTTTGGTGGGATTTTTGTACAAAATATCCACATCTTTTAGAAAATTATTCTCACACAAGTACTTTGGTTTCATATGTAGACAAACAATACGATTCAAAGAAGTCGAAATTCAAACCGACTTCTGGCGTGCTATTTACAAATCTTGGGCGGCACTCTTGACAACTCAGTGTAACAAATTTTGTTATTTTTCCAACTTTTTCATTATTTTGCAATGGATCCAGCCATGACAAAGTAACTAATTATTGCAAGTTTATTCCTTGATGATTTATATATATATTAAATTACTCTTATTATTGTAAGTTGACGTAAGGTAGGCATTTAAAACTTACAATGAGGTTTATATGTAAATCACCGTAACTGTTGTTACATAAGTCTGCTAATACTAATAGTTACTGATTAATTAACGAATAATTTTTTTATAATAAAACAAACGGCTGATGATCATCATGTTGTTTCAGCTGCAATTAATTAACACTTTCCTTGCAAGTCGTAGTACAAGGCTTCCCATTCGTTGTAGTGATAAGCGTTCAATCCATCGTCAATATGAACAGGATCAGAGGGACTCCAATATCCTCCCCATCTCAGACCAGAAGTGTCTAGTACTTTCTGGATAAAACACTGGGCATTCGAATTATATCCATCTAGAAGAAGAAATATAAACAAAATATGTTTTCTTGCTGTTCTCTAGCAGACAATGTCGATGTTTAATTTATAGGCTGGGTGTTTTATTTCGCGAAGCTGAAACAATTTAAAATAACGGGCTACTTATTTGCAAATAAAGAAAAAAATAACAGTCATATACCGTAAAGACAATCTCCATTACACCATCCGTTCGGGGTATCCAGATTGAAATCAATCGCATGTCCGACAAGGTGATTAGACGTCGTAGCTGGTGGAACAACCGTACCTCCGAGATTTTGCCCTTCCTCGCGGAAAGCGTGGGTTACCCAAACCTGTTTGAAATTAATACTATATGATTCACTGAATTATGGTTAATTCAAAATTAAGGGTTAAAACATTGCTTACGGTTACATCACATTGTCTTGCATAACTATTTAAGGTATCCATATCTGCAACAAATCCAGAGTGAACTTCTACTTTAAGGTTGTTATAACCTTTGATATTCAGAGATGAATAAGTTACTAGATCACAACTTCCACCTCCACCGATAATGCCACCACCCCCAGCTAAAATAATAATATATAATGGGTGTTAAATAAAACCAATATGTACAATTTTCATTATGTTAAAAATATGGAAATCCTGATTTCAAACAGAAGATTCAAATATTTTACAATGTGACCCAAAAACAAATTTGGGAAATCATCTAGAAAAAATAAAACATTTGTGCAAAGTGTCCTATATTACTGAAACTTTCGAGTGTTGAGAATTTTTTTGCCATTATTGTAGAAATATTCAAGAAATTCATGAATTTTGGTGGTCGGTCTAATTGGGGTAATATACCTCGGATTACATATTATAGAACAGAAATGGTAACCGTATCCTTGTATCCTACGCATCTAAACGTAATCGAATTTTTAATTTGAGACATTCAACAATAGCTACTTACAGTTAGCTGAACAGCATTGCCTATCGGAGGGACCTCCACAATATCCCGATGAATAGCCACCCGTACAGTAGTTAGAATTGTCCATACATGTTCCGTCGATGTTTTCGCAAGCGCTATCGTCATAATTGCTGTCAGTTGTCCTACCTGATAAAGGCAAACAGAATAATTGATCTCAAATAGTCTTCTATATATAGTTTCTCCAATGTGGTTGAAGAACATTAGCTAATTCGTCTCCTATGTTCATACCTAACAAGGAATTTTCAGACCAAAAACCATAGTAACCATTTTATTGTCTAGTTGAGCAGAATTCACTGCCAATGTAATGTATATACAAATTACAGCGGGTCAAGAAGGCCCTTTTTGCCAAATAAGCAAAAAGGGAAGTTTGCGACAGTTGACGTATCGTGCTAATTTTAGGGATTCTTCTAATTTTCGGTCGGTTATGACATCATCCACATATTTCAAATGGTTACCAGTTATTTACTCTCATGCCAATGCAAACCAATAACCGGAGAAGAGACCATGGCTTTTTCTCGGAATATATATGAAAATCCTAAAGTTGGTAAAATAACTCACACGATAGGTCACAAGGCAGGCAACATCTTCTGTTGGAGTCGCCACTGCATAATCCGGTTTCGTAACCGGCGGTGCATTTGTAATATCTCCAGTCCTGACATGCCCCACCTAGATTGGTGCACCCGCTGTCGGTCAATGCGGCTGGTTAAAAATCATGCAAGGTAGTTTTAGGCTTCGTCGACTATAAATTTCAATTCTAGTTTTTCACTGTTTTTACACGTTTTAGCAAGGTTTCTAGTGTTGGTTTCTAGTGTTTTTTGACGGTTTTTCACTGTTTTTGCACGTTTCCTAAATGGTTACAATTTTCTTGGTTGTCATTAATTTCTTTGAAAGGCTATTTACAAGCCATTGCGAGATGATTGACTTCGAAATAAGACGTAGCCTGTATGCTTAAGCTACGATTCCATTAATTTAATTGAAATGTTTTGCGTGTTTTTGTTAATATTTGTTTAACCTGGCTTTGATTTTATAAATTAGCGCGTCTATTAAACAAGCGACTTAGTCTTAGATTATTGCGACATGGTTCTGAGTTTTATATGGCGCACTCCACCTAGCTTGGCTCCATTCTATAGCCATGAAAACCCCGTGCCATATTCAAACATTTTTCGACGTGATCGTTCGGCAATTTCTTAGCCTGCCTCGAATTTCAATAAAAAGCTACAAGATTTTTTTAAATGGCCGTGTCGTCAGATACATAAGAATTTCCATCTGAATATTTGCTAATAACTGGAATTTATAAAAGTGAATGATAATGGAGGGAATACAATTCATGCAAATGTATGAAAATAACATACTCGATGCCAAGCAACAAAACGTAGCTAAAAGGGCCAATCTCAACATCTTATATCTTCTTCGACAATTTTGGATGTTTGAAAGATTACTCCGAAGGTCTCTTTCAGAGAAACAGCGTCCTGAATGAAGTAAAACTACCAATCAAATGTGAAAAACATTGCTTCGTTTTCGTATATATATATAAGTAAGATTAAAAACATGATTCCATGTTTGTTGGGTTTTGAGATAACTTTGTTTGGGTAAATATGATGAAAAAGCAATTTCTTCCGCTTAATCGTTATATAACTAATTCATACACAACATAGTGGTAAGAGCGATTTGTCATAGATCGACCATACGCGATCAATCGGCTCTTGGATTTGGTGGGAATATAAACAGGTGTTTTGAAAAACATCACGATATATTAATAGAAACGAAGGTTTAAAATAGTTTGTTTATCGGAAAGAAAGAGAACTAGGGTTGTGACAAAATTTGCGCTTCGTGTATTATATATAGACATGTATCGATACCACCTTTTTCGTTGATACCGTTACCGGTGAAAAGTCACCGATATAAGAAATTGTTGATATATATCACCGATATTCCAATTCTATGAAACTATCATCAATACATATACAATGTTCTTGAGTGTACGGGACGAACGGGATGAAATATTTGTCTGCGAATAATATTTAAATTAAACATTATTTTAACTAGAAGAACAGATATCAACCCCAAAATACATGAATGTGCGACTTCAGATCCGTATTTGGGACTCAAATGCAGTATAGTGTGTTAAGAGACTCACTTGTAACAGTTTATTATATTACTTGAATTAATTGCATAGTAAAATGCATTTGTACGTATGCAAACATTCTCAGGACTTACATTGAAAAATTTATACCAAACTTTTCGTTGTTTACAGGCGCATGGAATCGCTGTGCTGGGTTAGAAAAGACATAGCGGGCTAGCTATAGGTGAAATACATATATACTCATTCATTCTAGGGCAATCGTTTACTATACAAACTGTAATGAGGCATTAAATGATGCCTGCCTGTTCCATCCACCCAACCAGAATATACTTCAAAATATTCTGGAGAAGATTAAACAGCTGGATATATTGAAACATCGGTATTTTAGTCGATACCAATAAAACGACTAGGTCACGTTCTCTTACATGTGTATGTGTTGCAAAGATTTTTATTCAATGTACGCGACGGGCTCACAGTTCTGATTCGTTCTAGTTTATATATTGTCGTAAATATTCCATACCGGTATTTTTGCCGCTTTGTGAAACTTCTTTTCTGACTTTTTTACACGATCATGTGAACTGTAATGATCACAATTTTGCGTCAATCAACTCAACTCGCGGTCATGAAGCGTGCAGCTCCTGGCATCTCAGACTATTTTAGTTCATCAATTACAATAACAGACTAAGTCGGCTGCAGACTTCTGCAAATTTGAGACACCCGCATGTACCCTTAATTAGCTTGCACAGATGTTATAGAAGTCTCACGGAGTCGAGCCCGCAAAGTTACAAGAACGAAGAATTTTTTGCTAACTGAAATCAGCGGTCTCGGCAAACAGACTACACGTTTTGAACTACATTTTTTTAAAAACAGTGGATAGAATGTCAGATATCAGAACCTTTCAGTACAAAACAATTACAAATACATCGCACGAATACAAGATTCGTCCGCTTTATGCGAAGAACAACACACAACCCAATAGGACTTGTGAATGTTTTGGTCTGATTACTTTACCAGACATTTGTAATCATCGTGACATTATTTGTTGTTACTTAGTAATTACTACTTGTTATCATGTTTGTGCGAGGGTGCTACTTTGGTAATGGTGCATTATTATAGTTTGTAACAGGCCTGGATAAAGGACCTGTATATGTGAATCTGCCTTGAGGGCAAATAAACTTTACAGGACTCACGGCGCCCTCAATTTTTGCAGGACCGTTGCAACAGACCGAACCGACTATATTTTCATAGATTACTTTTCGTCGATCTCCACTTATGGCGCACTTAAGCTGAAGCGCTCACTGAACCGACTGTCTTTTTAACAACTTTAATTAACTCTTCAATCTATATATCTATGTCTATCTCAGGGTGGAAGATAAATATCCCACAATGGACAGGAATCCAGCAGGTGTCGTAATCTATCACTGAAGTAATTACCGTAGTCGATAATAGAATTCAAATCGTAATCAGAAATTTCATTTCACATTTTATTTCAAATACGAAAAATTCTAGAAATATAAAAATATTCAAAGGACAGGGACTAATGGAAGGCCACGCCACGCAAAAATTATCAACATTCTATTCCATATGGAGTTTTGTCCCACATTTGTCGAGGCACGTTGTGTGGCTTCTGAATCGAAACATTTCATGTCCATTATGATAGATTCGAAAAGAAATATTGGACGGAGACGGAGAAAGATACGATAAATAATGAATACTTTTCAGGCATTAATATAGAGTTAATGAAATATTCCTCAGTCACATCTACTTTTTATTATAAGTTTTTAAAATTGAATCTAACGAAATGGTAAAGTTTCATTTAAATCTTTACCTGTTTTAGTTTTATTTTAGGCAGTGCCTTATGTCAATTTTTAGGTTAAGCTGTTAGAACCATACTATTACAAAAATGCAATTTTTCCAAAATAAACCTAAAATTTTTAAGCTAGGTTGTTTAAGCTAGGTTGGTTCTACTGCAACAAAATGTGATTATTCAACAGTTTAAAATATATTCGGGAAGAACATGTTAGGCTGTGACCAAATCATAAATCATTTCTTAGAGAGAAATAATTAGAATTTACGTGAACTAAATGTGACAGCCAGTCAGAAATCATGCAAAAATCCCAACTCCCAAATTGTGCGGTATGACAGTTAAGGTTGAATAGCGAGTGCATGAAGTTGGGAATACATCATATTGAACTAAAAATATCGACATTGGCTGAAAACTCTCAGCTATGGTAACTAAATAAACGATCGGAAGAAGGAAAATAATTCGGGTTTGCAGTAACACTTGATGATAAAAAAAAACAGGCGACGTTTTTTGTCGCACACAAAAAAAAGGTGGAGCTATAACATACCGTAAAAATGTTGCATACCCTTTTTGATATGATACCAAAATTATAATAAGAATAATATTAAGAGTGATAAGCGACAGGAATAATAATAATAAAAATTGTTAAACCGAAAAAAGTACAATCGCGTGAATAGTTAAATTAAAAATCAGGGAATAAGAATCGAGAATTAGCAGGTAAAAAAACAAAACAAAATTAAGGTCAACCGTCCGGCGGAAAATCGATCTTAATAGCAAAAAATCTCGGAACTAACGAGGGAAAAAAATTAGCTTATTTAAAATTCGATTCGATTCGGTCCTAATCTTGCCATGCAACCACCGAATAAATTTGATCACGTGACAAGCTTAGAAACCGAAAAAATCGCAGAATAGATAAATAAAATAATAATCATCAGAGGCTAGCTTGCAATTTTTGCATTTGGTTCATGTTTTCGTCTGAAATTTCAGTCCTACAGCAGTTAACCGTATCGGTTTCCATATCATTATTTTTGGAGCAACCGTCGGTTTTATTAACGGGTGTAGATATATCGTCGGATTGTTCAACGTTGTCATTTTCTATATCACAGCTCTCGGTTTAGCAGACGATAACGGGGTCATCGCTTGCATCTTCCATCAATTCGTCTTCTAAAATGACTTGGTCATGTTCATGTAATTCTGTGGTCATTTCTGAGTCGATCACAGAGTCATTAATGCCGGTAGGTTCCTGAATAGTATTTTCGTTATTTGAGTGCTCAACTTCTAAAGAATCACTAGATTCCTCAGCCTCGACTTGAGTAGATTCTCCATGCACAATGTCTTCCACTTGAAATTCTTCTTTAAGAACATTTTCAACTTGAGTGGATTTTTCTTCCAAAACATTTTCAACTTGAGTAGATCCTTCTTCTGAAACCTCCTCAACTTGAGTAGATAAATCTTTCGAAATATCCTCAACTTGAGAAGATTCTTCCTTTGGAACATCTTCAACTTGAGTAACTTCTTCATGATAAACGTCTTCAACATGATCTTAAGCAATTGTTTCATTTTCAGGTGATGAAGTTTCAATTTCTTCATCGTGAGCAGGTTTTTGAATCTCCTCTTTCATCTCTACATCTTGAAGAAAATTGTCATCCATCGATCGACAATCTTCAACTTCCTTTTTTGTAGAAATACAGGGGCTCCCGAAGTATGCGAACCAAGATGGCGGACATCGGAATGTAATATGTGTACTAGGTTAGGGTTAGGCCATAATTTTAGGTATAAATACTACGGGAAGCTCTTGGCTAGTCTTCGAACTGATAATAGGACTAAAATAAGGAAAATTGGAAAAAAATTATCGCCTAACCCTAACCTGTTACCCATGTTACGTTCCGATGTCCGCCATCTTGGTTCGCATACTTCGGGAGCACCGAAATACATTCCTTCTGGTCTTCCATAACAACATCCTCATCTTGGGTAGAATTCGCCGGAATATCCTGAGAGAGACAAGGCTCCGTCTCAAGTACGAATTCACTGAGTGCCTCATCGTTTTCAATTCCTTCATAATCAACAGTTTCCTTCTTCAAATTACATTCGTTATTTTCAGCCTCAACAGGAGCTTCGGCTTCTAAATCTTTCTCATCTTGAGTATTTCTTTCACAAACATTCTTATCTTTCTCGTTCATTTCTTCCGTTGTTTCGTCTATTTCTGATTCATTCTTGAAAGAAATCAGGTCACCCTCGTTGTTTTGCGCTGGAAGTGCCACTTTGCGGAATCCTGATATTCTTCCATAAGTTCGTCTATTGACTGAGAATGCAATGATTCACAATCTTATTTACGACTTTACCTTACTTTCAGGCATTTCCTTTCAGTAGGGAAAACGCTTTTCAAGACAGGGTCAGGTTACCGAAAGACATCAATCCCGATTTGAAGAGAATATTAGAAGGAAGAAGAAAGGGAATAAAAAAGGCGCAATCAGAAGGAGAGAAATAATTGAACCAAGTCACGCCTGATTAGGTTCTCCTGTTCGAAGCCAATGGTGCTTAAAAGCGGATGCTTATGTAAATGACAATTCAAGTTCTTGTTTTCTGAGCAAACAAATTTCTACCAAAATCTCTTGGTCTCATATAATATGCCTGGTTTTGGAAATTTGAGTATTTATTAATAATATAATTGTGGCGTTTACTTCTTTATAATCCCGAATAACTGCTCTTTTCATGCGGCTACTTATAGTTGCCGAACGTTACCGAAAATAGTTATGCTAGCGCTGTAATTCTTTGCAGGTTTACAGAATATAACTTCTTCGGATTTTTTGTAAAAATTTGAATTTCAAACGAAATCTGCATTCCAAACCCTAACTGGATAATCCTATTTTTTGTTTTTCTTTTTATGAGCGGTGGCGGGGTGTTTTGGTGGGATTTTTGTACAAAAGATCCACATCTTTTAGAAAATTATTCTCACACAAGTACTTTGGTTTCATATGTAGACAAACAATACGATTCAAAAAAGTCGAAATTCAAATCGACTCCTGGCGTGCTATTTACAAATCTTGGGCGGCACTCTTGACAACCCAGTGTATGTAATAGCTGTAACAAGTTTTGTTATTTTCCCAACTTTATCATTATTTTGCAATAGATCCAGCCATGACAAAGTAACTAATTATTGCAAGTTTATTCCTTGATGATTTATATATATATTAGATTAATATTATTATTGTAAGTTGACGTAAGGTAGGCATTTAAAACTTACAATGAAATTTATATGTAAATCACCGTAACTGTTGTTACATAAGTCTGCTAATACTAATAGTTACTGATTAATTAACGAATAAATTTTTTATAATAAAACAAACGGCTGATGATCATCATGTTGTTTCAGCATTTTCCTTGCAAGTGGTTGTACAAGGCCACCCATTCGTTGTAATTATAAACGTTCAATCCATCGTCAATATGAACAGGATCAGAGGGACTCCAATATCCTCCCCATCTCAGACCAGAAGTATTTCGTACTTTCTGGATAAAACAATCTGCATACGAATTATGTCCCGCTAGAAGAAGAAATATGAACAAAACATTTTTTGTCTAGCAGACCCTGTCGATTTTTAATTTATAGTCTGTGTGTTTTATTTCATGAAGCTGAAACAATACAAAATAACGGGCTACTTATTTGCAAATAAAGAAAAAAATAACAGTCATATACCGTAGAGACAATCTCCATTACACCATCCGCTCAGGGTATCCAGATTGAAATCAATCGCATGTCCGACAAGGTGATTAGACGTCGTAGCTGGTGGAACAACCGTACCTCCGAGATTTTGCCCTTCCTCGCGGAAACCATGGGTTACCCAAACCTGTTTAACGTTGGAAATTAATACTATATGATTCACTGATTTATGGTTAATTCAAAATTAGGGGTCGGTACATTAAAACATTGCTTACGGTTACATCACATTGTCTTGCATAACTATTTAGGGTATCCATATCTGCAACAAATCCCGAGTCAACTGCTACTTTAAGGTTATTATAACCTTTGATATTCAGAGATGAATAAGTTACTAGGTCACAATCACCATCAGCTGAAATATTAATAATAATAACAAGAGAGCTATGCTCAAATATATGGACACGTAAAGTCACATAATTTTGATGACGTCATAGCGAGAGAAAAAAAGTAATAGCCTTCTGGAGAAAATTTTTTCTCTTCAACCACTGAAAATTTCAAAGCAATTGGTCCAGTATTCTAAGAGAAAGGCCATTTCTTCGAAACGTGTTGATGGGGACAAATAATAATAACAATAACAACAAAATTTTGAAACGATCGTTATGTCCACTACGTGTCCAATAAGAGGTAAATAAAACCAATATATATATACAATTTTCATTATGTTAAAAATATGGAAATTCTGATTTCAAACAGAAAATTTAAATATTTCACATTGTGACCCAAAAACACATTTGGGAAATTTTCTAGGAAAAATAGAACATTTGTGCAAAGTGTCCTATATTACTGAAACTTTGGATTACAAATAATAGAACAGAAATGGTAACCGTAACTTGTGTCCTACTGATAGCTACTGGATTTTCTGCATGTTCGTGTCGTCAGTTACATACGAACTTACATCCAAACATTTGCTGATAACTGGGATTTTTAAAATTGAATGATAATAAAGGGAATACAATTTATGCAAATGTATGAAAACAACATACCCGATGCCAAGCAACAAAACATAGATAAAAGTGCTAAACGCAACATCATCTATCTTCTTCCACAACTTTGGATGTTTGAAAGAATACTCTTAATAATTAGTAAATTTAGTTTATTTATTATCTTGAGAAAAAAACATAATTTTTAAAAAAACAAATAGTATTATATCTGCGTGGATTATTTCCGCGTGGGAATTGGCTAGTTATATAAATATGACGGGATTGAACTCGAGCGGGTCATATCGATTCATGCGTCATAATAGGAAAATCTACCTTAATACAACCAAATACTCCAAGAATATACGAGGTGTGGCTAAAAAGAAACGAGACTGACGTCACAGATTGCGCAACACGATTAACCATTGGTAATCAACACTTTTACAGTGTGGTGTAATATGTGTTCTTTGTTCAACAGCTTTTTTGACACAATATCGCAATTATTTTTGCTCTTTAGGAGTCGTAGGTGAATGTGATTAACTGCTTGTTGAAAAAAAAATTGCCGTGCGAGATCTGATTGAGTTTTTTGGCGATAGGGGGTTCAATTGCAGAATGACGATTGGGCAAAGAGTTAACATTAAATTTTGTGTCAAACTTGGAAAAATGCATGTCAACTGGGCAACATTTAATCGTTGAGCTTTCTGCTCCTCAGTCAACAGCCTTGGCACCATTTTGGCACTCACCTTTCACAAGCCAAAAGTGTCAACCAAACTGGTGCGAACCGTTTTTTTTTGTCTTTTCCAACTTCGCAATGACGCGAATTGTTGAGCGACGGTCGCTGCGAATCAACTGCCTTTCACAACTGAACTCACAACTGATACCTTTTCGATGTTGGTATCAGTTGTGGAAGTGCAAGGCCTTCCTGACTTCGAATCATCCTCCACATCCTCCCTGCATCCCACAAATCGCTTGTGCCATTCAAAAACTCTTGTTCTGGACATGGAAGAATCTCCATAAACATCACACAATTTCTTCAAAGTCGCAGTCGCCGTTTTTCCAAGTTTGACACAAAATTTAATGTTAATTCATTGCTCAATCGTCATTCTGCAATTGAACCCCCTATCGCCAAAAAACTCAATCAGATCTCGCACGGCAATTTTTTTTTCAACAAGCAGTTAATCACATTCACCTACGACTCCTAAAGAGCAAAAATAATTGCGATATTGTGTCAAAAAAGCTGTTGAACAAAGAACACATATTACACCACACTGTAAAAGTGTTGATTACCAATGGTTAATCGTGTTGCGCAATCTGTGACGTCAGTCTCGTTTCTTTTTAGCCACACCTCGTATACTATCACATTACGAAATGTGCTATGCAGTAGTAGGAAGATATACTATCACATTACGTCTCGTCAGCAGTCGCAGTTATTCGTTAGAGAGTGTCCTCTGGCAAATAGAGAACAAAAAATTTGTTCCTAACCATTCAGATGCAAATGATTCAGTGGAATCGGACATTTCTTATGTCGCACAACCTGACGCGAAGACACGACCTACCCAAACATAACACGTCTTCACTATGCGACGGCGTAAGCTATAAGACCTCTTACGGTCTCATTCTGTTGCTATAACAACTAGGAAATCAACGATACCAAACATGCGAGAGTGCTGTTATGATAAAGAATGACGCGTTCGGCAGGAATTGAAAAAGTTTTTTTTTTTTTTTTTTTTTTTTCTAGTATAAACCCCATAATTATGACAAATATAGGTATTTGTTGTGTTTCAGTTCTCTTTTTCTTTTCTTTTTATTATTATTATTAGTTTCCGAATTAGATCAAGATTAATAATAATTTTTTTAGAATTTTGAATATCATGGTTTTAATTACCACCATTTCAAAAAGTCATATTGTATATACGAATTATAAAATCATACAATACCAATTTATCAATCACATATATATACATATTACATCCATGTCCATTTGAAGTTCAGTATAGTTGATCCGTGTCATTTTATCAATTTATAATTATATTACCATCAGTAATTAATTTGCATGGAAAAATAAAAGTTTTCAATAAATTGGATAGGAATAAGAAAAACTTCCATACCATGATTATAGGGTTTTTCTACTTTCTATCCATGTTGATGATATACAATAAATACGGTAGATACCGTTGAAATTTAAATGAAATAACACTATATACATATTTAAAGCATAACAGATTTATCAAATAATACATAAATAGTTTCATCGCTTATTATTTTCAATTTTGTTCCTTCTCCCATATATTTGATGGCAGCTTTCAGCTTGCATTTGAAAATTGTTCGCATGGTTGATTGGTAAGTTTGCCCTTCTTCAAATATAATATAATTTCGAAAATCCCATATTGCCCCTTTTGCACACGCAATGATCAGTCCTAATATTGGTTTTACATTTTGTAAGAAAATTATACTTTTAATATTGTACTGGGGAGGTGCAAGGTTACACCATTCCCAGAATTGTCTAACATTAAAACATTCAAAAAATAAATGTTTACAAGTTTCTACAATGTTGTTGTTACACAGCTGGCAGTACCCATCATCACCGTCTACCCAATGCCTTATTTTATCCCCTGTTTGCAATGCCATATGTGCTATTTTCCATCCTAAAATTTGTAACTTTTTGGGAATATAATAATTCCAGATATCTATCCATTTTATATCGTCTACAGGTATATCATACCTCTGACCAATATGAAATACTTTCTTATTAATAAAATTATCATGCCAGTATTTTTTTTCATACATTATATGCAATTCTTTTGTTGTAGGAATTTCTTCAAAATCAAAAGGGTTAAGAATATCATTTTCTACACTATCATGAGAATCTGGTTGCAATAATAACAATTTCCATTCTATTGGTAACACCTCTACTATATACATTATGACATCTGAAATTCTTCTCTCATACATTTTTTTACTATTAATAGACATTGAGTTTCATTTAGCATGGCCAATAACACTAGCTGCAATATTAACACAGTTTCTTTGAAAAATGTCTCTAATATAAATGATATTTCCTCTTATCCAATTGCCTACATGTTCTGGGTGAATAGACAATTGGATAAGAGGATTCCACCATAATATTTCTTTCACTATTTGTTTTTTATCAAATATAGGTTTTCTCGAAAAGTTCAAACTTTTAAAATGATTAACGATTGTTGTATAAAATTTAGGTATTTTCCTATTTTCATAATTATGAATCGAAAGATGAAGCGTTTCTAAATTTGAGGTTACTAGTCGTTTGTCATACTTATTAATAAATACTCTTGCTCTGGATGACCATGGGGCTCTACTACCTTTTAATAACCAAAATATCCATTTAATTTGTATGTTTTTAATTTGTGTTTCCATATCAATACATCCTAGTCCACCATACTGTTTACTACAACAACATATTTTTCTACTAACTAACTCACGTTTTCTATTCCATATAAAATTCCAAATTAGTTTAGTAATATTTTTCAAAAAATCTTTTGGCACACATTCGAAAGAAGATAAGTACCATACTTTTGACAAAATAAAAGTCTTGGCTATAATAATTCTGCCGGTCATGCTCATATTTCTTTGTTTCCAAATATTGAATATGTTACAGATTTTTTCTTGCACTTTAAACCAACTTTCTTTTATGGCATTTTCATTATTTCCTATCCACGCACCAAGAATTTTTATTTTGTCTTTAGATATGGTAATCCCACCTATTTCAAATAGTTGGTTTTGCTTTAAAGGTCCGCAAAATAAAATTTGTGATTTTTTTTTATTAATCAGTGTTCCAGTGGCATTTTCAAAATTTTTAACTTCCTGTGAAATTTCATACAGTGAAGCTATATTAGAAGTCGTAATCGTCGCATCATCTGCAAAACCTTTAAATTTTTCTTCAATATTCGCAATGGTATAGAATCCATCGATTCTTGGATTACATCTTACGCTACATGCAAACGTTTCCGCTACGAATGAATATAATAATGGTGACAAAGGGCAACCTTGACGTAAACCTCTTTCAATTATTAATTTTTGTCCTAAATATCCATTTGTAAGAATAACAGCGTTAGTTTTGGTATACAGTATTTTTATCATAGATATGAAGTTTTTTCCAAAATTCAATCGTTCCATAATTTTCCATAAAAATAGTCTATCTATACTGTCATAAGCTTTTTGCCAGTCAATGGATAAGATTGCCAAATTTTTCCCATACGCATTCGCATAAAAAATGTCATCTCTTAAACAAATAAGGTTTTCATGTATACATCTTTGATAAATGAATCCAGTTTGATCTGGGTGTATTAGTGTAGGCATAATAATTTTTAATCTATTTGCTAATATTTTGGCATAGACTTTGTAATCAAAATTTAATAATGATATTGGTCTCCAATTGCTAATACTTTCTTTTTCTCCATTTTTGTATAGTAAAGTGATAAGGTTGATAGTTTGTTTACAAGCTGATGCTCACTCAAACATAGGCGTGACGTCGTACGAATAATGGTCCAGGAGCGACATCTAGCGTGTAGAAAACAAAACATAGCTTCCAACGAGCCCTGAGTGATGTGTCAGGCGTTATTGGTTAACGAGAAATTATGAATTAAAAATTGGGCTTAGATGTACCGGCAGCGTTGGGTTAATGTCTCTTTCAGAGAAACAGCGTCCTGAATGAGGTAACACTACCAATCAAATGTGAAAACATTGCTTCGTTTTCGTACATATATAATTCAGATAATGAACATGATTCCATGTTTGCTGGGTTTTGAGATAACTTTGTTTGAGTACATACGCTAGTTTTTCGGCTTAATCGTTAACTACTTGATGCACAACATAGCGGAAAGAGCGATTTGTCATAGATCGGCCATACGCGATCAATCAATCCGCTCTTGAATTGAAGAAAATGAACAGGTGTTTTGAAAACATAACGATGTATTAATGGTAATGGAGGTTCAAAATAGTTTGTTTATTGAAAAGAGATAGAACTAAGATTGTGACAAAATTTGCGCTTCGTGTATTATATCTAGAGATGTACCGATACCACTTTTTTCACCGATACCGTTAGCAGTGAAAAGTCACCGATATATGAAACTGTCGATATCACCGATATGCCAATAATATGTAACTAATAGCAATGTATATACAATGTTTTTGAGTGTACGGGACGAATGAGATAAAGTATTTTTCTGTGAATAGTAATTTACAGTGAAAATTATTTCACCTAAAATAACATAATATATACATATTCAAAAAGTACATTAATGCGCGACTTCAAATCCGTATTTGTGATTCAAATGCATTAATAGTGCGTCACTAGACTTACTACTAAGGGTTTAATATAATACTTTAATCAAATGCACAGTAAAACATTTGAACGTATGGAAAGATTCTCGTCGCCAAAAGTTTCTCTGTGCACAGACGCATGAAATCGCTGTGCTAGGTTAGACAAGTCATAGCGGGCTAGCTACTATAGGTGAAATACATCTATATACTCTTTCATTCAAGGGCAATCGTTCAATATACTAACTGTAACGAGGCAGTAAATATTGCGTGCCCGTTCCATCCGCCCAACCATAATTTACTTCAAAACATTCTGGAGGAGATTAAACAGCTGAATATATTGAAAATATCGGTCTATTTAAGTCGATACCTATAATATGTTATATATCTAGATCACGTTCTCTTACAGATGTATGTGGCGCCTCCAGTGCTTGCAAATATTTTTATCAAATGCGCAGGTCGGGCTCACAGTTCTGATTCGTTCAAGTTTATATATTGTCGTAAATATTCCATATCGGTATTTTTCGCCGCTTCGTGGAACTTCTTTTCTGAATTTTTTACACGATCATGTGAACTGTAATGATCACAATTTTGCGTCAATCAACTCAACACGCGGTCATGAAAGACTAAGTCGGCTGCAGACTTCTGCAAATTTGAGACACCCGCATGTACTCTTAATTAGCTTGCATAGATGTTAGAAGTCTTACGTAGTCGAGCCCGCAAAGTTACAAGAACCAACGCTTTTTTCCTAACTGGAATCAGCGGTCTCGGCAAACAGACTACACGTTTTGAACTACCTTTTTTAAAAACAGTGGATTGTCAGATATCAGAACCTTTCAGTACAAAACAATCACAGATCCATCACAAAGTACAAGATTCGTCCGCTTTATACGAAAAACAACACACAGCCCATTAAGACTCACAGCGCCCTCAATTTTTGCAGGACCGTTGTAACAGACCGAACCGACTATCTTTTCAATCTATATATTACTATTCGTCAATCTCGACTTATGGCGCACTCAAGCTGAAGCGCTCACTGAACCGACTGTCTTTTTAACAAATTAACTTTTCAATCTATATTCATCTCAGGGTGGAGGATAAATATCCCACAATAGACAGGCATCCATCGGCTGTCGTAATCGATCACTAAGTGATACCGGAGTCTCTACTAAAAACCAGATAGGAATCAGAAATTTCATTTCACATTTTATTTCAAATACGAAAAATTCTAGAAATATAAAAATATTCAAAGGACAGGGACTAATGGAAGGCCACGCCACGCAAACAAAATCAACATTCTAATCCATATGGAGTTTTGTCCCACATTTGTCGAGGCACGTTGTGTGGCTTCTGAATCGAAACATTCCATGTCCATTAGGATAGATTCGAAAAGAAATATTGGACGGAGACGGAGAAAGATACGATAAATAATGAATACTTTTCAGGCATTAATATAGAGTTAATGAAATATTCCTCAGTCACATCTACTTTTTATTATAAGTTTTTAAAATTGAATCTAACGAAATGGTAAAGCTTCATTTAAATACAATCTTTAACTATTTTAGTTTTATTTCAGGCAGTGCCTTATGTCAATTATTAGGTTAAGCTGTTAGAACCACACTATTACAAGAAAAATTTTTTTTTTTCAAAATAAACCAAAAATGTTTACATAAGCTAATTTGGTTCTAGTGCGACAAAATGTGCTTATTCAACAGTTCAAAACATATACGGGAAGAACATGTTGAGCTGTGACCACGTGATAATCCATTTCATAAAAAGAAATAATTGGAATCTACGTGAACTAATTGTGACAGCCAGTCACAAATCATGCAAAAATCGCCACTCCCAAATTGTGCGAATGATAGATAAGGTTGAATAGCGAGTGCATGAAGCTACATGAAGAATACATCATACTGAACTGAAAATATCGACATTGGCTGAAAACTCTCAGCTATGGTAACTGGATAAACGATCGGAAGAAGGAAAATAATTCGGGTTTGCAGTAACACTTGATGATAAAAATAAAAGGCGACTTTTTTTGTCGCACAAAAAAAATAAGGTGGAGTTATATAACATACCGTAAAAATGTTGCATACCCTTTTTAATATGATGCCAAATTGATAATAAGAATAATATTAAGAGTGATAAGCGACAGGAATAATAATAAAAATTGTTAAACCGAAAAAAGTACAATCGCGTGAATAGTTAAAATAAAAATCAGGGAATAAGAATCGAGAATTAGCAAGAAAAAAACAAAACAAAATTTAAGGTCAACCGTCCGGCGGAGAATCGACCTTAATGGCAAAAAATCTCGGAACTAACGAGGAAAAAAAATTAGCTTATTTAAAATTCGATTCGGTCCTAATCTTGTCATACAACCACGCTCGAATGAATTTGATCACGTGACAAGCTTAGAAACCGAAAAAATCGCAGAAAAGATAAATAAAATAATAATCATCAGACGCTAGCTTGCAAATTTTGCATTTGGTTCATGTTTTCGTCTGAAATTTCAGTCCTACAGCAGTTAACCGTATCGGTTTCCATATCATTATTTTTGGAGCAACCGTCGATTTTATTAACGGGAATAGATATATCGTCGGATTGTTCAACGTTGTTATTTTCTATATCACAGCTCTCGGTTTGGCAGACGACAACGGGGTCATCGCTTGCATATTCCATTAATTCGTCTTCTAAAATGACTTGGTCATGTTCATGTAATTCTGTGGTAATTTCTGATTCGATCACAGAATCATTAATGACGGTAGGTTCCTGAATAGTATTTTCGGTATTTGAGTGCTCAACTTCTAAAGTATCACTTGCTTCCTCAGCCTCGACTTGAGTAGATTCACCATGCACAATGTCTTCCACTTGAGATTCTTCCTTATGAACATTTTCAACTTGAGTGGATTCTTCTTCCGAAACATTTTCAACTTGAGTAGATCCTTCTTCTGAAACCTCCTCAACTTGAGTAGATAAATCTTTCGAAACATCCTCAACTTGAGCAGATTCTTCTTTTGGAACATCCTCAACTTGAGTAACTTCTTCATGGGAAACGTCTTCAACATGATCTTGAGCAATTTCTTGAATTTCCTCTTCCATCTCTACATCTTGAAGAAAATTATCATCCATCGATTGACAATCTTCAACTTCCTTTTTTGTAGTAATACATTCCTCCTGGTCTTTCATAACAACATCCTCATCTTGAGTAGAATTCGCTGGAATATCCTGAGAGAGACAAGGCTCCGTCTCAAGTACGAATTCACTGAGTGCTTCATCGTTTCCAATTCCTTCATAATCAACAGTTTCCCTCTCCAGATTACATTCGTTATTTTCAGCCTCTACAGGAGCTTCGGCTTCTAAATCTTTCTCATCTTGAGTATTTCTTTCACAAACATTCTCATCTTTCTCGTTCATTTCTTCCGTTGTTTCGTCTATTTCTGATTCATTCTTGAAAGAAATCAGGTCACCCTCGTTGTTTTGCGCTGGAAGTGCTACTTCGGCGGAATCCTGATATTCTTCCATAAGTTCGTCTATTGACTGAGCATCAGTAACGTCGTCCGCTGCTGGTGCGATGTCATCGGAATGTTCCTGGTCTTCGCTTGTGGAGATGGCGTCATTTTCCTGTGATTCGGCAACTTTTGGTTCAGATTTTTCAATTGTGATGTCGTCATCGGCTTTGTCTCCATTTACTTCGGGATTTTCACAAGTTTCGCAGTGATGTGATTGGTTCGTAGTGATATCTTCTTCGACAGCATTTTGCCTCGAATGTAAATCATCATTTGTGGCTATAATTTCGTTATCTTCAACCACGGTTTCATCGCCTTCCACGGGAACAGTGATTGTTAAAATCTCATCTACAGTACTCGACGCATCAACTTCCTCTTCGTGCTTATTTTTAACCACGGGAGAGTCTTTTGGAGTAGCTGGTGTGCAAACAATGGCGATGTCAGACTTAGGTAAAAGATTCGAAACACCTCTTGGCAATGCAAATTTCGCTTCGGGTGCCGATGTTTCTTCGACCTCTGTGATATTTTTGTCGGAACTTGTAGATTCGGATTCATGCGACAAAGGAACAGTTGGTTCAGGCTGATCACCTTCACTTGATGGTTTTTCCTGACTTCGAACTCTGCGTAATAATTTCGCTTCCTCCGCCCTTCTTTCGACAGAGGAACTACGCAATTCTGACGTTGAATTTCCACCAAGACCTTTTCTCAAATTGCCAACGCTGCTGCAATTATTTTGTCCTGCTAGTTGATTCAGTCTGGTGGAAGACCTTCTCGATGTGAACGACGTACTTCTGGCTAATGCTGTTAAGTTAGGTGTGGATTGCGCCTCGTGGATTGACTGCGAGTTGAAACTTGGTGTTCGTCTGACAGAATACGGCGATGAAGTTGGTCCAATAGGTGGTTTCGCTGAGTTGGGCACCGCTAAACTACTTGAGCGAATCTTATCTTGACTGTGCTTTTTAGAGCCGAAACGGGAAGCGGTAGATTTAGTCATCTGCGGAGAAGATGTTAAACTTCTACTACGCTGGCATTTGTTTCTCTCTTTTCCCACATCATCGTTACTTCTTGTCCTGATTACGGGTTTTGCTGATTTGTCGGCACCAGAAAGACTGAAATGCCTTGATATTCCAGATTTCTTTTTGAAACTGGTGCGCAGAGGTGATGGTGGACCGTCTTTGTCGAGTTCTAGCCCCTTCAACTTTTCTTTCAGTTTTTGTGTGTCGAGCTCCTTTTTACTTTCCTTTTGCTTTTGCTTCGTCGATTTATCACTTTTCGTGGAAGATCCTGATGACTTTCTTGAAATGGATGAGCCGCTTTTGGAAGCGAGAATCGACGGGTTAACGGTTTGACTCCTGGTGCGACCCCAAGGTCCCATTTCATCCGAAGTCGTTGAAACATCTTCTTCCTGCGATTCCTCTTGCAAAGAACTCTTATCTGTCGAACTGGCTATACTCCTGTTACTTTTGTCCGAGGACGATCTCAAAACTGCTCTAGCCGTTTGTTTTTTGCCACCGTTGCTCGAAGGGTCATAGGTCGCCCGCCTTCTCGAAATTTGCGTCGCCAATATCTCCGGTGCATCGGGATGTTTCGCTTTGTATTTTGTTAGTGCTTCTTGGATAGCGTTTATCCATTGTTTTCTGTCGTGTTCTTCCGATGCTTGCAGAGTATATGACACGTTTAATTCTTCTGACTTCACGCGGAATGAGTGTTTCACTGTAAAATATATTATAGATAAGTTAACATCGGGCACGGCATACTTGTAATGGTGCAATTACAGAATAAATGAAAAATCCACAAAAAAAATTTGAATGAACTTTGTCTAACCTTTTTCTGAGCTCAAGATGCCTCCTCTGAAGGATCCACTAAGTTTTTCGCCTTCGTTTGCGTCCACTATCAAACTACGCAAGGGCAGAGGTGGTCTGTATACTTGGTAGGAAATCTTGTTACTGCGTGTCGTTTGACGAGTCAAGACGAAAGCCTCTTCGAACAGGAAGACGTGCATTTTCTGAAAATATGAAAAATTATTTTAAAAAGTTATAAAACATAAGCATGTTGGGTATTTTAAAAACGGTATACCGCGCACTCGATCTCACATACAACACAATTCAGCATAAAACGTCACAATTAACATCGTATTATCGCGCGAAAAGGTCATCATCATGAATTGTTTATTAAAAAACCGTTACCATGACGACCTTCAATCTATAAATAATTGAAATACACCGTCCAGGGCGACGACAGTATTACGGTAAATTAACCTGTACGCATCGTACGATGTGCTAAGAATAAGCGTAAATGTAACGGAAAATCAGAGTAAATCGATCGCATCATTTTGAATAGGTTCTATTGATGACTACAACCAAAATTTTCAGTGCTATGAGTGGTATAAGTTATGGGTATATAAGACATTGTTTGGTCAATTATACATCTCATAGTTTCAACAATATCCGGAAAGATCACAAAACGCTGTATTTCAGAGAGTTTTATTATTTAACGTAGCACCTGCTCTAGAGAAAACTACTATCGTGAACTCAATTATTTCGAGTCTGAAGACGATTTATGAGACCTATTCAATCGTGACGAAAAATAAAAGGATCAATATGTCTCCATACTAAGCCGGGTCATCTAAAACTACTGCCAAACACATGTATATGGCCGGCGTTTGAAAATCCAAAATGCGACTGTTTTTGAAGATCTAATTACGGACGTTAGCTGACCTTTAATAGTCCGAACAGGTCTGAGTATAAACACCTACTGATAGATAGATAAGGAGATATCATTTTCGGACGGACCTGAATTTTTTTCGATCCAACATTGCTTACCCAATTTATTACTCTCTGGTTATACTAGTTCAAGTAAAAAATGAATATTGAAATGGATGACATCATGTAGTGTACCTTGGAAATAAATTAATTAAATTTGATATCGACAGATTTTATATGAGTCGAAAACCTCCATTCGCCAAAAATTCATTAATTTTCATTTAAGGTAAATCAATTTTTCAGTTGACATCTTTTTATTCAGATAATGATCTCGTTTTTGCACGCTTCGCAGATGCCACGAATTCTTTCTGACGCCACAAAACTGCAAGATGACTCGCTAGGAATCGATGCCCGAACTTGGTGCATTGAAAAACACGCCTGCTACAGTTATTTCTAAGGTCCCGCGCTTAGCCAAATATAACAAAACTATGTCTTGAGGACAGAAAAAGTCGTGTATCACAATTTAGACACTTTAATTTATTGTTAAATTTGGAATAAAAAATGCCACTATGCGCCAAACATATGTCAAAATCGATGGTGTTGTGTTCCGAGGAAACGACAATTCCCGCGACATAAGCGTTGCATCACCAAGCGTCAGGTGACGTAACTAGTTCCAAAATAGAAGCGAAACATAATAAAAGTGTCGTAAAAAGTCGTGTAGTGCTGAAGAACACAGAGACGAAGTAAGAAAATTAAAACACAAGCTTCTCAGATACATCATAAAACATAATAAAGGATAGGGTATGGAAACCTTCAAGCACTGATACCTCGTTCATTACGTTGCAAAACACCACAAGCCAAGCAATTATTGACAATACCTAAATTGCGCCATAATTTCACCCTTGAAATTACATTAATTGACGAGAAATATGGTAAACGTTTAGATAATTGTATCGTTTATAAGCTAATATATTAAGTTGCCCTAAAGTGAATTCCCAGAACATCAACCAAATATGCACAAACCTGACAATTTCGCCATCATTGCCCGCAAAAATGAGCGCATTTGAAGAAGGCACAATTAACGATATAAATGTGTAGGACAAGCACGGTTATTTTCGGGCAGGAATTCCGAGTCGAATGACAACTATGATCTGCTTACCGTTCCACGATTGTTTTTCAATTGTCCTGAGCATAACATAAGACGACTGTTATCTACGAAGGAAGACTTGTGCTTGTCGTCGAGGTATTCAAGTTTTGATCTTATGTATCTGCATTGTTGTTCGCCTGTTGTTTCGTCAACTCGTTCAATAATTTCTCCGATTATCTCCATCTAAATTGCAAAGATGTTTAGAGTTAGACCTAAACGGTTATATTGATCATCTGAATTATTAATATAGATCTTTTTCAATTTTTTTCATTCTAAAATACGTTTAAAACTGAACTATTTGAACATATGAGCTGTGTAGCGGTGGGATGGTGTTTAAGCCTTAGACCAGGAATGGGCAAGGTTGGGCCAGGGGCCAAAAATTTTGCGTGCCTAGATTGGCGGGCCATGTGAGTGTGATGTAAAAAGTTACATTTTACGATAATCCTCGCGCCAAAACTAAATTTAATCGCAATCTCAACAAATTCCTGGAGCTATTTTTCAGCTAAAACATCAAAATTGGTTTCAGTTTGGCTGTGGCAGCACCAGGTGGGCCAGATTGAATTACACAACGGACCGGATTTGGCCCGCGGGCCATAGTCTGCCCATCTCAGCGTTGGACTAAACTATGATGGCATCGCTGGTTCAAATCCCGTATTCAAATCTCATGTCCACCACCTAACCCGAAAGATTCCGATTCTTCCAAATTAAGTGCGAGTGACACATATTGCATATACCATGTCATGTTATGTTTGTATGTAATGAAAACGTTTAACATTCAAGACCGAAACCGCTATCGGTTTTCATATCTCGTAATAACAGCGATGGTCGTGCCTTGAGTGTATTTTTGAACGCGTTAAGAGATCACAGTCCACATATTATACTCTGCATAACCGCATAGCAAGAGGCCCAATGACTACTATTATCGCCGTAGTAAACAAAAACCATATGCGATGTAACCAATAAGTATTACCCTTGAACCGTTATGTTAAATGTCAGGGCTAATTTTTTTCAGTGGCGTCACAGAGGGAATAGCGTGACGTCACAACGTGCAATTATGCGGTATTAGCCGAACTATATTGGATCGCAATGATCATAATACCGCGTTTTAAATGGGCAACAAAAACATATTTGTTGTTTATCGACTTCACTAGTCGACTGATTTATCAACCATTAATAAACGTTTTCAACCCGAACACGGTTGTAATAGCTTCGTTCGACAACAAACCACTTATGTTGGTTATTAGGTGAAATGAACTTGTACTGAATGGCGCCGACGACACAAAATTGCGAAATATGGAATCGCGCCAAAGCGCTCTCGGCGAAGTGTTTGAGAAGTTGTTTCAACGGAATGTCGCTTTCAGTCGCGCAACCTAATAAAAGTAAAATATGAAAATATACGAAGATTCCAATATACATATATACTTGTGACGCAAAAAAACAGAATCTGTAATTTTCTTAGTTCTATAAAAATTTATTTAACACTTGACTTCAGTAATCTAAGAATCTTCAGACAGTTACAGTTATGCTTTCTCTAGCATAATTTCCAAATAAATTGGGTTTTGCTTTTTTGTCACCCTGTATATTCCGGGTATATGCATCGAGTTTGACTTGTTTGCTGCTAATTTATCGCAATACAGCAAAAAAATATTGATATTTTAATAGCGATATCAGCATCTAAAATAAAGAATTTTATTGCATTTAATTCAATTTAAACAATTTTATCTATATTTTGGATAAAATTCGTCGTGAACTAAAATTGAAAATTTTACATCTTTGATGAAGACGAAAATAGCCGCCATTATTAATTGGCTTGGTTGCTGGGGCAAGCGGCAAAAAAAGCCAAAAAGATATATTGGCGCCTATAGGTACTTGAGTTAACTTCCGGATTATGCTACCTTTTGCGATATCGGTTAGCAAACATCTTCATTGATAGCTGGTTTGAATTTTTGTTATAAGAAAAACCGATAATTATCAAGTGGAAAACATTCCTAATAATTGCAGATAAACACAATGGTCTATGACCAAAACTCATCGTAAACACATATTTCTGTAGGCCGTAGATGAATCGATGATGGCGGATATCTGTAAGTTACCGTTTGGTCACTATAGATTATTTCAACTAATTGGTGCGTTGTACAAACTTTTAGTGTCTCATATTTCAGTATAAGGCAAAAGTACTTAAAATTGAACTACTCAAGAATGCAGGTGAATTTCACGCCAATTGTGAACAACTGTGGGTGATCACTCCAGGAATTACACAAGAATACAGGTGAATTTTACGACAATCGTGAACAACTGAGGTGATCCCTCCCGGAATTACGCAAGAATGCAGGTGAATTTTACGGCAATTGTGAATAGCTGTAACGTGATGCCTACCGGACTTGAAAAAAATTGAATTACGTAGGAATGCATGTGAATTTTACGCTAATTGTAAACAACTGTAAGGTGATGCGTTCCGGATATCGGCGGATCGACGTTTCATTACTACGTAACCTCGCCTGCCCCATTGTTGCATGTAAATCTGATGTCCTAAAAAAGTTTACATCATTGTACTACTCGCATGTTGGTTTTAAATTCGAGACAATACACGTTATAGTCGTAAATTCGATACCGGAATCGATTGGGAGAAAGTCACAAAAAGCCGAGTCGATTGCCGCTCATCTTATTGTCATTGCTATTTAGTTATTGTAACGTTGAGCCAATTGTTTACGATTACGACAGCATCATTGATTGATCCGACACGATTATTTTTAGAACGATAATCTATAGTAGACTATCATGCTCGAAATATGTATTGTGCAGAACAATAGCTACAACAAAAATTAAAATAACACTATCTCACATTGGAACTATATTATAGCAAATGTGCCAAATTGAAATAGGATCAAAAATAGGGATGTCCGAAACAATATTCGAATGGATTCATTCTAACTACCAGTATATACAATATTTCAATTTTTTTTATTCCCTTCACCAATCAAAGTCTCTCAGTAAGACCAATAATGTCTTCATTTAATTTCTATATTCATTATAATATATATATTTCATCTAATTTCGAAAAATCTAGAATACCCAATTATTGCACCTTTTATGCGTTTTCAAATAAAATAATTAATTAAAAACATCTTATTTAGAAGATGTTCGATGCAATAACGAGACGAGGAATATGCTCAATTGGAAAGTGCGATCGTTGGTGGTAAGTGGTAACGTTATTATATCAGTAATTACACATTCAACTACATTTTGAAAAGCACAAACTCTAATGTCCAATCGAACTCATGTACCAATTACCCTATGATATGACAACACGGTTCGTCTTCGCGATGTATTACGTGGGAACGGAAACGCTACGTGTTCGGTAACTTGTTATCGAATTGACAAGCGAAACAAATATGATCCTGTTACCATAACCATCGTTAACAAACGATCAATTGAATAGGATAGGTTGTAAATAACATCATGGGAAATTGATGTCCAATTGTCCAGTAAGCTTTTACGTGACAATAAAAGCTCATTATGACATCACTTAGTTAATACCCTCGGCTCTATGTATGGCGCTAAAATGGCAATAGGCTTGACCAGAATAGGATATTCATATGCATCATGGGGAGAAAAAAAACGATAAGACAGTTTATTGAGTGGCGAACAATGGCTTCTCGTTTGGTTACCAATCCATGTTGGGTATGGGAATATTACCAGTCCACGTCGGGTACGTGAATAGTTACCCAGTTACGCGTTTCAGGCACATGGACTTGATGGTGGAGGGGGCCGCATTCGAAAACACCCTTGCCCAAGTAAACACAAACAAATGTCTACAGCTAGTTCCCTAATTGGCAAACACAAATTGCCATAAAAATTTATACGAAAACATTTATTATGAGCATTCTCACCACTTTGTCCAAATTGGTCCTCTCCTCTTGCATATCTCCCGGAGTTCTTTTGAGCACATTTTGTAACAGCAGAGGATATTTGACGAGTCTCGTTCTCGGGAGGTCGAGATAAGACCATAAATCTAGTTTTCGACTGAATGGCGACTCCAAACACCTCTGCAAGAAGTCTCTCACTCTGGCATCCCTTTCGACAGCGGCGTCCAGAGCGTACTTTGCGTCTGCCTGGTTGGCACAATATTCCCGGTAGGCGGTTGAAATTCGTGGGAACTAAAAGAATATGAATATATATAATAAAAATTTATTGCGCCTAGAAACAAGATGTGTTTAGATTCGTGCTCCAACGTATGCATTTATAACGTAAAAACTAGAAGGTGGCCAGATTTAACTGGCATCGCAAGTTAAAATGTCGTGCTCAAGTACGTCCTGCCAACCACCTCTCCGAGAGTGCAACAAATTGGACAAACAACGCCGAAACTGAAAGATTCCGGCTCATCCACACAAGATAGTAGTTCTTTTGCCTAGAAATGGCTGCTTGTACAGAACCTTGTCGGGAATAAAAGCGTATACATACTTTTACATAAAATTTTAACATTTTTAATTTAATATGACTATGTTTTTGAGAATTGCTCTTCCAACTTGACAAGTTTCGTACACGCCTTTTGTGACGTGCCCGATAATCTGAGTGGACAAAGCCATTAATACTAACTAACAAGACAGCCTAATGCAAAATTGAATGAAAATTAAATAAAAGCATCTTTTCGTGAAATATACAGTATGACATGATGATAATATCTAACAATTTTACTTATTGCGGATAACATCGATCGGCCAGCAGAGACAATATGACACACACCAGATCGCATTCATCTATCGTTTGTGTACATATATCATGTAAAAAATCTTTGCTAATCAAGTGACATACAAATGACATGATGTGCTACCGGGAAACGACTTCAAATCTCATGATTCAGACAGAATGACAAATCATTCTGAGTGTTCCCAATCATAAATTTGCCTCGCATTGCCATGTTTATAAAGACTTGAAAATCGTGTGGGGGAACACGTATTAAGTGCTAAAAATTAAAGCATGGACGTCACCAATGCCTTCGAGCTATGAGCTACTCGTAACATAATATTAAACGAATCATATAATCTTGGACTTGAAGTTTGAATTCAAGTTTCAATATAATTAAATACATATGAAGTTTAATTTATGAGTGGGAAGTATATGACAACTGCTGGCAATTAAGATAAAAATTTAATAACGATGAAATAGGGTTGTTTTCTTTTACAACCTTGAAAAAAAAAGTTGAATGAGTAAGAGCGAATATTGGTCTCGAGAAATATTATAGTAGATATTATACTTGATATTAGACCTATTCCCAATATATATAATATTGCTTACCCATTCAACGAAGATATATCCTATGGACAATGTTCTCCCATCTTCTCCCCTCGCTTGTTCAAGTTTATTGAGTAACTCCTCGTGCAGAGGGAGTAGACATCCCAATTTACCGAATATCAAAGTGACTTCTTCATCGGAAAGCATTTTCAGGGTAACCATGGAATCACGATAGGTCTATATAATAGAAAAATAATGAAATTGGAACGTTTTCACATTCACAAGTTACAATTTCTAATAGTTAGTTTGTGCCTTGTATATTGGTTGTTTATATATTGATGAAATAAACCATGCCAGACGTCATATGTATAAGCGTTGTGCATTCGTGGCAATATCAGACTATTTTCTTGGGAAATTCATGTTCCTAATATTAAAATATCGTTGACGCATATTGCATTTAGTCGTTATTGGAGAATATATCAACTTCATATTAAAATTATTTTCAGCTGTACTTTGAAAAGTGGGACAAATGCTAGTCACCAAAAGCACTTTACACTGAATATAATTCTATCCTAATCTAATTCAAAAGCGAATCAAAGGATCCGTGTATAATTCGTGGTTTAAACCATTCTCTGAAAGCTATTTATTTAAACTAAAAAACTGGTGTTTGTATAAAATACAACTTAAAGTCCCCAAGGCTACTATGACTGAGAAAAGTTTGAAGATCATGTCAGATAGCGTTCATCATTTGAAGATATACAAGATTAAGCACAATGGCTTACGAGGTCTAGAACAAAGGATTTGTGTATTTTCATTACATTTGTGGTCTGGGAAAAGCTGATTTCGTTCAAATACGTGCTGCTGTGGTCGCAATGCGATAAACAAGGCAAGGTAAAACGAAAGAAAATCTGATTATATTATTATATCGCCGCTGTAAAACCATATCAGCTTATGTCATATTTTTCAGAAATGATTTTTTTTGTCATAATAGATCATGTGTCGTTTTTTGACCTTAAAGCTGTACCTGTTTAGGTTTTGATTTAGGGTATCGCATTATGTGCAATTTTGGTGGGTTTGGCTGTTACAAAAATGCTACTTCCGCAAAACCTTAAAATGCGACCTAAACTAATTTGGTTTACCGCGGCGGTATTGCAAATTGGATTTCATGGGGGGAAACCTCACCTGTTTTGCCATGGTTAAATCTTGTACCAAATCTCTTTCGCCTTGATACAATTCGAATATTGCTTCTTGCCATTTGATTTGTCTTTCGTTTAATCCCGTGTGATCGAATGTTTCGCACCATAATTTACTTCTACGATTATTTTTCAATTTATTTGGTGTGTTTGAAGGTGGTCGATAAGGTTTGAAAGAGGCGACGGCGGCAGTACTGGAAGACACCGCGGAACCAGATTCCTTAAAGCTGGATGAACGCTGGAAAGAAAATCAATAGCTTTGTTATAGGCAGTAAATTATAAGCAATATGCAAAAAAATGCAACGATTCTGGCAGTAACTGGCATCAAAACACACAAAAATGCACTGACGTCCCAAGGGTACTTTATCACAAAATTGAAAATTTAACGCACTGACATTTTCAAATTAAAGCAATTTTCGACTTCAAATGTATGCTGTGCACAATAGTTAATACTAAATGTGGAAAAAATATGATGACTTGACTTGGTAGCATACATCAACTTCGATTTTTTTTCAACCAGAACAAATTACCGGTAATTCTTTATTTTTACGAAATCGAGGAGAAATGAAATTCCAACCTGTAACTTGCTGCTGCTTTTCTGATTTGGTTTTCCCGGCGAAATTAGATTTGCTAGGGAGACTACAGATTTTCTGATCGCTTTCGCTCTTTTGGAACTTGGCTCCTGTTTGATAAAAAAAAGGTAGTTGCTTGAGATGTGTAATTTATCGGTTTCACTTTTGCATAAAAAGTGGTGTAAGATACGATTTTGAAGCACAATGATAACGTTGAATCATCTCCAAACAAAATCATAACTTGGGATGTAACTTTAACTTATTCTAAATCAAAAATTAACGATACAGCCATACGGGATTAGGTTCAATAGGAAGAAAAAATATAACACCAGACCTAAACGTCTGAATAATAAACGTTATGAAAAAGTTGATACACAAATCACTGTTCTGTTTAGCCCTAAGGGAGCTTTACAAACGAGCACATCCTTGGGAAAATATTCTTGTCGTTGCCCAAGGGAAATTACGAAAGTAAATAAGCATGTATGAAGGTAAAGGAATAATTTAATAGCGAGAAATTCACGAATACAAAATATAAAGACAGATTAAAAACTGTTGGCCGGTGCAAACAAATTACGTAATGCAAATAAGACCGGCGAGGTTATAGAAGAGTTCTTTAACATATGTTTGGCTTTACAAATATTAAACGGTATTTGAATAACCATGATGATGTAATGTACATCGATTATTTATTTACAATTTACTTATGATAAGCGTCGAGTTTCATAAGACGCTAAGCTTCGTATGTTTTCTATTGCGCATGAAAATAACGAGAAATAAATTGAACGAGCGATGAGTTTCTATCGGCGTAGTCCACTTGGATGCTCATTTGTCCTATTCCGTAGAAATATTCAACCAATACATTATCGGCGGAATTGGCTGTTGATGTGCTTCACTAAGTATTTCGGGGTGATGGGAGTGAATGATGGTATATTTATATTGTTGAAACTTCTGAAATACGTCTTGTAACGAAAAGATTAAGAATATTTTGGTATTGTGATATTTTAGCAAATGACGATGAAACGTTATAGTACGCTTTCTTACTTGGGATATTAAAATAAAAATATTTTACACGACTACGTCCTAGAGAGATCAACAAATCAGCTGATCTGTGCAAACAAACAAAGTCAGGCGGTACTCTCAATCAGAGCCGAGCAAAGATGATGTACACAATCAAACAAAGCTAAAAAATCAATTTATTTTCTAGTGGCCTTGTTTATGCGATAGAAGGATACAGAGTATAAAAACATATGTACGGACCACGGTGCATAAAAGCTAGCTCCGAGGTCAAAACGGCTCAACGAGCTCGCCTATATTCAATATAAAGTTTTATGGCCCTTAAAATACGACTTGAGTGGTCGAAGCGCCGAAAGACCGTTCGTAAGTGTTTACCGCAAATCTAAAAAAGTAAAAAGCTGGAATCGGAGCTAGCATCGCGGGAGGCCTATTAGAGCAAACTATTGAATCTTTAAATTTTGGTCGGCTTAAGTATATTTATAATTTTTGTTTATCGCTTACCGCGTCTCTACATGGGTCGAAAATGACAAGCGTAAAATCGGTCTCAGTGTGATGAGCGCAATGTGGAAAAGACTTATGCGTAAACAAAGGATTTCATAATGGAACTACAATAACGGTATAAACTCAATGTTGATGAGTTAAAAACAAAGTCAACGCGTTTATGAGTTTATTAAGTTCCAGTGGGGGCAGAGCGTTCAAATATACCCAGACAAACAAGATTGGTTCGACTTCAGGGAATACACAAACACGATGTTTTTGGAACTTCCATTTATAAACTTGCACACAAAACACAACAAGCAAAGGGCTCGTAGTTTTACGTCACACATCCTTAAACTATTGATATAGCCATGTTATGATGATAAATTAGACCCTGCTATATTAATTTATCTATTTCGATTATTTCGTAGAATTTCCCCTCACTCCGATCATTGTCCAATCAGCGAACGCTAAATGTACGTGAAAATAAAACGTCAATGCTAAACCTTTATTTATGCGTAATTTGGAAAAAACCTTATACATCTCAACAATCCAAACGCATCACGACTTTTGGATCGATCATTGACACCGGGTATACCGACCATGGGTTCCATACACAACACATGAACGATACATGCAGATATAAATTATCTGACTAAGAATGGATCAATTTTATTTTAGGTTCCTTTAAAACTGTGCTGTTAAGTTTACTAATTGTGGCAATCCGCAACGACCACATATGTTATAGGAGTTAAATTTATCTCTATCCAGGCAGCGCCATTATGGCATGTAATTCCAACCTACACAGATATAGAATATACTTATAAACAGACAAATGTACAATAATATTTATTAAACCGCGTCAAGCTGGTCGTCAGAAAATAAATAACGAGAATATCAATCGTATATTAGACATTTAAATACAGGTATCCCTAACAAATGATATTTGCATAACATATCACGACTATACTCGAGAAACAATAACATTTAAATTTTTAACTTACAATCTGAATGTGTGTGAAAGGCGAAACCGAAAACTGCTAACAGCATATTATAGTCTATCGATACAATATAATAGAAAACTAAGACTTTTCATTGAGTTTCATAGAGTACATGAGGTACAAGTTGTAAGACAGGGTTTCCATAAAGTCTATTCACATTTTTTTTATTATTTGACTTTGTACTAATATTTTTATATTTTTTATCAAAATATTACTACGATATAATACATCCCAGGCCTAAGAAATTGGAAATACCAATGATTCTAGGCCAAGTATATGTTTGACTATATTTGATTCATTTATATGGTTGTAATAATAGGTTATTCGTACGTTAACAAATTCCTCTTCGTCGACCTCTTCGATGACAGAAATTTGTTTGAAGTAGCATCCATCTTTAATAAATTCTCTTTCCTCTCGCGTATCGTTTGAAATACGCATTTTTTTTCTAATCACGGCAAACTTTTTTAATAAGAACCTGCCACACTCAAAGCAGGATTCGCTTTACGATACAATCCAACTCTTTTTCTAGACTATTTCTTCCGACCTTATGCGTATAACATATTGCTAATGAAGTTTAAAATGTAAAATAAGTCTTTAACATGTCTATAAATCTATATCTAAGTATAAATCCCCAAGAGCGTGACGCCTTATCGATCAATAACACTATAATATTACCACGAAAACAGTGTCATATCTTCGTGGTATTAAAGTCAATTGATTTGTTGTACTGTATAGACGACGGTTCCACACACACACACACTCTGGCCAAGTCAGTCATCGTTCATCATTGCGCCAAAATTGATGACGTGATCCAGTATCTAGAAGGCTAAACAACACACCAACGCCACGCTCAAGGAGTCATCAGCCAACGAAACTCCCACATCAACATTTAAAGCGGTGGTAACAGGTTTATTTATGACGTCATTAAGATCGTTTGGAGGACCGTGCGAGGTCATCAACAGAATGCAGTTTATAACGTACCAACTACATGAAAATACCAATATCATTCAAACTTATGGCCGACCGTGGAATACTATAGTGAATAACGCTTCACACTTTGATTAAAAATTAATCTATTTCTTTGTACTTTTTCAAACAATTTTTTTTCGAAATTTCAACATTTTCCCCTTTGTCTTGAAAACCCTCGTACTCGTAAAATATATATTGTCTAATCATATAACAATCGATGTTTCAAACAATCTGGCTACGTGACCCGGTTTTCCTACAAGAATTACCCCAGTTGGCCAAGACATTCAAATCCGCACCAACCCTATATTTTATGTGTAAATGCTATGAAATTTCGCCAAATTAGTCAATATAAAATTTATCATTCTATAAAAATAATAACTGATTATTAGTTTATGAATTGTCGTGGAGGTTATAATAGCTATGACAAATATTTTTCTCAGTTGAATGTGATAATATTACATCTGAAACATTAATGTTGGCGATGCGTCAAATGTTTTGAAATGTCGTAAACGTGGGCACTGGGCAGTCATTTTTCACGAACTGGTAATAATAATGAAACGAACAAATAACAGGTCCTAAATGTTCGCTTTGTTAATAAAATAAATAAAATTTGGTCCATTTATAATATATACCATAATTATAATATTTACCAAAATTAAAACAAATCGCTTAGACTTATTGAAACTTGTTAAATTCGTAATTTTTCGACCGATTCCAACTCACGGCAGCGCTCATTTCAAGTAACACACTGTTTCTCTAAATGAGCAATTGCATACAAAATGACTACCGGTAAATAGCGAACATAAATAAGAGCGGAAGATTCGATGAGATCAGGTACGTAAATATAATGGTGAGTCACGTGAGAAGGTGACGTCACATCGACGACTACGTTTTTGCGATGGATGGATGGCTCGTAAAACCATCGTTAAAACGCTCCAGGACTCGTACGAATAATAATAAAACTAACGACTGAAAATATAAGTTACCGTTGAATTAAAGCGCCAAAGTGGGCGATTTCGTAATTTTTGCCAAATATGGTGTGTTTTCCGTGCATCGATTTTAATTTGGTAACGTTCAGATTAAAAGGTCTGAAGTGCAATTTTAAGAGAAAATTTGGAGAAATTGAGTAATTCGACCAAAATAAATACGCACTGTATGCTTATTTTCTGCCATGACGTGAAAGCTTTAGTGAAGTAGGAATAAACATGCTTGTATACCAAATTCTTATTTTGGAAAGGTACGAATTTTTAATTCCCACTCGAAGACAATTAACTAGCATTAAGCAGATTGTACAAATTGCCTACATACAACTGTTTTTGAATAAACAAAAACTCCACGGCATTATCGCGGTAAATGATACCACGGGTGGACAACAATCGAAAAATGGTTGAAATTACCTCAAAATCTAAGCCTGTAACCTATCTAACCTATACATATTCTGTATGGTAACGGGCCACTAACGCCTTGCCTAGCATTTCGCAAAAAATTAACAACCAAAAATTTGCATTCACCCACATTCGCTCTACTAATAATGCAACTTATTGGAATAGATACCATTATAATAGACAATATGATACCATATCAAAGAACAATACTATTTGTCGAAAATACTGCAATCCTATCAAACCTATACAAATCAAGTACTGATGACCATTCTACTAATGCAGCAAGCTTTGTTATGTAAACGTCCTTCACGTGAACCAAATGATATTTATTTGCACCATGATAGACCTTTTCTGTGACCCCATTGACCATTCTACTGGCTTCGCAACTAACACGTACACATAAATCAAAGGTAGGACAATTATGCACCGAAACAAACAATAAATATTATTGCTACCTAACACTAGAAATATCACACGTTTCAGAAAATATCAAGAACCCAGTATTGGCATTTAGCCAATGGTCATGGTATTCATCACACGAAGAAGGCTTGAAATTACTTGGAATCCTTCACAAACGATAATTCTTGAGAACAAAAGACAGAAAGATCAAACCGATTAGCATTTCACCTATATAAATCGGTAAAATTCGAATATTAGGTAAAGGGCAGCGCAGTAAATAATATTATCAGGTGTTTTCGCATAAGATGACCGAAACAAGAAATTCAACTCCGGGGTCGAACCACCTTACAATAGGCATATAGTGGCAACTTACTGTAACGTACGAATTATAGAATATGGTTTCCATTAAGTAGTTTTTCGCCTACAACACAGTCGCGACTATTTTAAGCATTAAAAAACAATCGTTACAGCGACATGGCCCACAGTTCGGATTATACAGCACTAGAACGAAAAATTGCTTCACTTCCGCCTCAGCAACTAGAACAGCTATTTACAGTTAATTTTCTATTAATAGTCACCATAGGACATGGATCCGAGAATTACAAAATGAACTAAATTTAGCATTGTTGCAACTTGGAAAACGCAAGCACAAATAGAACACAAAATTAAAATTAACCACAATCAGATTATGAGCTGAGAATCGAACATCGGTAGCAAATACGTTCACTAATCTACCATATTCTGTAATACAAAAACGCGGTCCGCTAAGCTTTTGAAAATAAGACTTCGAACTAAACTATGTTGGTAAATACAACGAAACGTTCAACCGACTATCGTACACGGAAAATGCCTTTGAACTGGCCGCACAAAACATGATGCGCTTGATACACACACACACAATCACTGTGATAGAGATTACGTAAATCCTACCTTTCCGTTTTAAATTTTCCGCGAAACCATAACCAGCTATTGTTCATAGTGATTGACGATTCTTCACATTTATAAAATTTGTAAGGGTACAAACCTGATGACGAAGGTTGCCTGATGAAGTATGTGTTGATGCGTGGCTTCTTGCTAAAAACGCATTTAGTAATTCGTCGTCGTCCATACGTGGTAGATCCGATAGTGATTGCTTGGATCCGTATGTACTAGTAGATAATGAGTCCAGGTCGTCGACGCTTGCAGCAACTGAAAATCCCATTGACGCTCGTTGACCATAGGCGGACAAAGTGGCACCCCTGCGTCTGGCCCGGCTGCTAGCTGTGTTGCCGTATTGGGAACCGCCGGATCCCCTTTTGGTAGAAGCAGCACTTTCGCGAACGGCTAAAATATCTTCAGATGAGGGAAATTGGCTTCCATTTTTTGTCATTTCATGCCACATTCTGGAATAAGTAGGGAGGTCTTCCATGTTGAGTGATAAAACGTGTTGAGTTCTTTGATCGGCGTATGCAGAATTTGGTCTTTGATTATTTCGTTTATGGTTTTTACGCCTAAACACTACAGGCGGATAGCCTATGGCTCGTAATACTGGTGAAGGGGGCGCGATAAAATCCGCACTAGTGCTCATGTTCTCTGCACGGAGAGCATTATCTTTGTCCTGCTTTTGTTGATGAGGTGAAGGCGTGGGAAGCCTTCTTCCATTTTTCGGTTTGTCGGCATCTGAAGATGACCTGGGTATTGATATCTGGGGTTGGATGCTCCCTACAGTAAGATTAGATACGCTCTGACTACATCGCGCCTGCACAATGAAGTCAGGTACAGTTTCTTGTGGCATCTCATTAGATAACGCCCTTTGCACCCTTTGATTTTGAAGTCGATTAGGAATTTGCGGTACAGAACCGGACATGTGAATTTTCTTAGCTCTTGCAGCTAAAAGGGCGGAGCTATCGAAGCTAGCTATAGAATCCTCGGGGAGAGGGGAATCTCTTGGCTCGCAAACGGTACTGGATCGTCTTGAAGACGATTCCGTAGAATTAGAAGTAGAACGTACCAAATTTAAGGAGCTTGTATCTGAAGTTTGACTTCTCAATATGCTGTGGCTGGAAGTCGGATCCGATCTGCGCATATATTTCCGAGATAAATTATTTCCTTTGGCCTCTTGGAACGAAGATTTAGAAGTGTTATCACCCAGATAGAAAGCCGGCTCCCCATTAATTGGTACTCTTTTGTCAGTTGGGTCAGGCTCTGGGCGTTCGTCTAAATAATTAAGTTTCGGGTCGCTATCGTAAAGTCCGGGAGGTGGTATTTGTGTTTCGTCGTCCAAATTTGTGATCGTTTGTGAAGTATCGCTAAAACTCCTCATGCGGGAGTTGAATTCTGGGTGACTTTGATTGAAATCTTCGGGTTCGCGCTTCTTTTTGCTTCCTTTCTTTTTACCTTTGTTTTTGGCTCGAAGAGATGACCTCCCAGAATTTGAAGGCAAGCTACCCTCTGAAGGTGCCGAATCTCCAGAAGACGACCTCTTGAAAAAATTAAAGAAACGAAAGTCCATCGTTCGTCTTTTGGTTGCGTAATCTTGATTTCCATCCGCACTCTTTCTTCCGCCTGCCGTCGAGACCTGCTCAAATCGTTCAGGTGTCAGAGAGCGAGGTAAAGTACACGCCCCAGAGTCCCTTGCTCTTCGTTGTTTCCTTGTTAATGCCGGTGAGTCGCCTACAAGCAGTTCTTCCTCGTGACGCGCGGGTGGTACAGATATGAAATCATCCACAAGCTGACTAGTGCGCGCTGATGACGAGGTCGAGTAAGCACTTTCCCTGCTATCCTGACGCCTAAGCTGATCTATAAATGACCAAGGTCGACGAGACTTTACTTTGGCTGAATTATTCGACGATGTTGAAGAAGCTCTGTCTTTTGTTATTTCCAGATCGTATTTGTCGCTGCTTTTCCGTGAACCTTTCTTACCCTTCGATCGAAGGACAACAACATTATCGCCTGCTTGTGACTGTGATGTCACTGAATTAATATTGTTCACTGCGTCTAATATCTCGTTTTCTTTACCAGAAGTATTACCATCTGGAGATATAATTAGCTTGTCGCCATGACTTGCGTTGACATCACCAGCCGATGAAGTTTGTTGAAGATTTTTCTTCTTTTTGTTTTTCCGATTTGAAAATATATTTTTCACCTTCATGTCTTTGTTTTATCCCAGTATAATATCATTGATTTTCAAATATAAATATATAGTTCACTTTTGTTTCACAATATCTACCATCAAAACAACTTACCGATATATCTATTTATATATAACAATATGCTAAAGCAACAGAGAGATACGTTAAGATATTTTAGTAACAGTACAATGCGCATATCACATATCTGAGCCTGTAAGAGGCAGTAAGCAAATAAGGCCACGCAATGAACTACAAATACCGGTTAACTTTGACTGGCATTTTACCGTAAATAGGTTCAGCAACTGCCTGGTATTATTGTCTACAATGCAAAAATGGACTTCTGCCAATCTGTGGACCACATTAGATAGAAACACTGGCTCGCTACGTGAAGCCTGACGAATTCTACAATATCTTGCAATATTTAGTTGCTTCACATTATGTAACTCATAAAGCATTATCGCTCAAGACATTACAGTAAGAACGCGCCTGAAAGCTATCAATATACACATAATGACTAACATCGATTGTCTCAAGACGACACTAGTTTCTGTTATTTCTCATCGTTTAATAGTAAATACCAAACGTAACGCGGGGGTCGACATCTCGCGAGTCCCATTCTGCTTTAGAGCCGGAAATGAGTTCATAATGCGAGGCCACAGGAAACTGCTTTTGGCACGTGCGTGCGTGTGCGGGACATTCACGCTTTAGCATACGAAGCCCGTTTGCATGTATGCTTTTAGTCATAAAAATACAATTCAAAATATTCATTAGTCAGATTAGTCAAAAGAAATTGATTATTCTCGATGAAGATATAGATAAAATAAACTGAAGAAATGGCGTCTAGGCAGACGATATATTTTTGGTTCACCCTCGCCTCCGTATATCCCAACCTCAAAAATTTCTCTTAAAATTTTTTCTAACCTACGCAGATCAATCGTGTACGACCAAATATGACTATGTTCTCGATGGAAATATTTCTCGTCCAATTCATTCCGACTGGAAAAATACACTACAGATCAAGAGACTGCTAGGATAGATGTGTATCTATCAATTTATCAAAATTTGGCGTATGAAGTCGTCTGTACCTTGGCGAAAAATAAATACACAATATAACGTGATTCTAATAGTCGATTTGAAAAGCAACGCACAGGAAGTTGAGAAAATCAATCAGAACGGCCAATATATCGTTGACAACGCACATAAACAGAGATGTATTAAGAGTACTATATATTCCTATCTACCTGTTTCATCGTTAAGATTCAACCATACTTTATATTCTTATATTGAAAATGCTCGTAGTAGAAATTTAATACGAAAACGATTTTGACAATATTGTGGTGGCGTGGGCAAAATCAATGAAAAAAATCACATTTTTTGACAAGAACTTGATTATAAAATGTCCATTATTATAATTAATACTCCTACAAAAATAGCATATTGAATGATGCGAAGACTGAAATAAACGGATAATGCGTTACGTTCAATAGTGTGTACTGTGTAGTAGTAATTCATTACGTTTAATGCATTCTTGAAGTTGCATCATTCGCTTGAAACTGGCTTGTGTTTGGCGGTGCCAACCGGCAGAACGGCAAGTCATCAATTTTTGATGACCGAATTGTTAAAAATACAAGACTATTGAAAACAATTGTTCCTCTAGCTCAAGATTGATTGTCCGACAATTTACCGAGTTCCAAGCAGCGCCTACCAAAAAGCGGGCTAGAAATTACATCCACATACATCAGCCACACATGAGAAACGAAAGTTATGACGGAATGCAATTTAGCTCTTTTTTGACAAAATAGTATAGGAACATTTAAATTGGAAAAGGAAGCTATACAACCTTAAGTCGTGTACCTCAAACCACAACATTGATCAATACACATCATCAGACACCTACGAAGCATGCAATTAGAGAGAATAATACAGCTATACAGATTTCGCGAATTCAAGTTTAAAATGATTTGGGTCACACAATCGAAAATATTCGTTAAAATGGCCGTTATGCAATTCTCGAATAGTCGAACTAATTTTGAATCAAAATGGGTTAAATAAAGCGTCAGTCTAACACGATTGATCCTTCAGTTATGCAGAAACCATCTCCGTATTGATTATGTTAACAGTCGTATATGTTAACAGAAAATCAAAACACTGTTCATATGATTTATTTTATGTTTTTATGTAAGTATCAATTTAAGACCGCTGCTTAGAGATATAGAACTTTGTTACCAACTAGCTTTCCGAAGTGTTAATCAATACTGGCACAATCTTGAGATTTTGCAGTGAAAAAGTATTTCACAAATTTTCTTTGTGCGTTACTAAAATATTTTCAAGACAATTACAGTATATGAAATGCCAGAAACTGTCACTCCGCATCTTGAAGCGATTTCCCGTCATTCACTGTGAACTGAATTCTGTTGCTTCCCTTCTACTATATTCCTATGTAATCAAATCAATTGCTAACACGATTCTACCCGCAATAAAATGTCATAAACTACCCGGAGTTTCTTATCAGACGAACAACGTAAAATATTGACTACCAAGAACCGCCATCTTGGCTCAAACAACATAATAAAAAAATTTCTACCTCAGAAAGGTAAGCGAAACTGGGTTTCCTCTAGAAAAACGCATTAAGCTACATAAAGCTGAGACTAATTCCGCAATCACGCAGAGTTCAAAACAATAACTTGGCTTGAGTCTATAGACCGAAATGACGGGATGGGTTAAAATGAACGGGAACGCCGCATGTGCTAACGGATTCGTGCGAGAATGCACGCTGGTCGGGTAATGCAGTCGCGTCACAAAGCAGGTGGTAATCAGCATTTGATAAAGTAATTGAAGACCATGATTGGGCTCATCATAAAAAGTAACGCAGCACGAAAACCGTTAATGGGTACGCATATTCAAACGTAGTAGAGAGCGGGAGATAATGCCCTGAAAATTGAGCACGCAAAACTGAATAGGATTACTCATTAGGTTATCAAATAACTAAGCGGGTTAGGGGATTTCAAGCTTTACGAAATATCCAACAAACAATAGTCCCCAGCGTGGTCGTGGGCCGTGGCATTACAAAAACGTAGAAAACTAAATTTGTGTGACCGTTCTTGCGAAGGTCAGAATATAATAACAATTGTAGACTATTGGAATATACAATGAAACACATCAAATGGCACGCGTGGCACATCAAATTGCGTACGCCGCCGTTATATGCGAAACTAATAAGCAATACTTTTGACTAAATTAATCTGTCGTGATACTATATCATTACAAAACTGTACCAAATACCTCCAACCGTTAATGCCTTGCTCACATTTTGTAAACTGAATCATTCCAACCGTCCAAGCTCTGTCTGTCATATGGAACATCAAATTGATATAATAAACGCTTTCCACATTTAACAACGCTGATAAAAACGATCATCCCGCTCACCAAAAAATAATAGGAAATACATAATTGCTATTATAAAACAGCAACATGTCTAACGTCGTTGTTAACTGCTTACTTCCACATGCCGGTCTTAAGTTCTAACTAAATGCCGCCTGATTAATCGATCACTTCACTTTTCCACGCGATTTTAATAACAACATACCATTTATCAGCCCACATACGGCAATATTCTAATATTCTGTATCTGACAAAACTGCTATTCATGACATCTAACGTCATCTGACATGTTTGTTCATCAATAAGGTAATAAACAAAAGCGAGAAATGGGTTAATTCATTTATATACATTATACATGATCGAGATGCAAATATCGCAATCCATATCTCTCTCGTATACGGACTTCGGATAAAATCGAGCAAAGATTTTTAAAATTCAAACTGCGCTCAACTACTCGTGTATGTAGTTCATTCAAGCATTTCCTGCAACTGTCAACGGCTAGTCTTTATCCGTGCGGAAAAAGATAATCCTGGAGCGGCGAACGGAACCACACGAAAAATTCTTACGCCGGGTCGCGTCGGGACAGCAAGGGTGAGACGAACTCAAACATAATGTAACGAAGGCAATATCATATGCAGAGCTATTATTAGCGGAAATATCGCTTGCAAGCAGAGTGCAACATTTTAGGATATTTTTTTTTTCCGTCGAGGAAAGATAAGAAAATAAACGTGCTGAATATGTCAGTGAAATTCCCTCCTGATTAATATGCGAGATCTCACGCAACGTTACTCCAAAAAGCTGACGGAAGACCCCGGGATTCGGGTGCTTAACAACACTTCCGCCTTTGACACATTCCCAAACAATACTATTAAATGGTCTTTGATCTTACTCCCCCTGACAAAATAACCTCTATATCATGCGAAAATGGGTTCAATTAGTTATTAGCTTCAACACTACGACTCTTGATCTAACGGTACATTTCAAACGTATCATGGTTTCACAAATAGACATCCTGGGCAACCCCGTCGCATTGTTTTGTCATTTATATCCAGTCGTCTTCTACACGATAAGAAAACCCCCATTTTTCATTGTCATCATAGGAAAAGTGGGTGACACGCGATCAAAGGCGCCAATGAACCAGTCAAGCACGCGCCGTCTCTCCTCTTGACCCACTTGCAACGTTTTGCTCATCGTTTCTTCGACTCCCGTTTTACCCGGTAAACGGGCGTATCTACATCATACTAACGTTTCGATGTTTACAAATTTTATCGCATTACATCACGGCACTTGATAGAATAACGATACATACTCCCATTTTCCAACTAATTACAGGTTTTTAATCGCTTATATTTATCGGAGAATTATCGCAATGACTTTTGAGTGGATAAAACCCCCGAGGCTGCATTACCTTATATTGTAATGCATATTGTGTCGACAGAAAAACATGTTTTTTCAAAAATATAGGTATGTGTATTATAGTAAGCCGTTGGCTACTCGTCTTACCTGCATAACGAAAAATTTCTAAGAAGTTGTTAGTCGTCAATATGACTGAAATAAGTGAATTATTTTAATCAGCCTCTGACTCGGTACTATTCAGTAAGTTTCAAACCTCTTATTCGCCATCGGGTTAAGTCTGAATGAATTGTTGTACCACGTATGATCCCTACTACGAACTAAACAAATTTTGATCGTTGTTAGTTGGCGCCCTAGCTCGATAAAATGCTTTTTGATGATACAACGAATTCTGGTCGAGGACGAGGG